ACATGGACAAAATGTAATCAGAAAGGTGGACTAATTGGTATTATTTGTTTTGATTAATGATTATACATAACTAAAACGCTATGTTAGATGTCTGTAATCCCCCCCCCTCTCACCAAGGGCTATGCATTGTTTCAAGTGATATAAAATCTAGATTCGTAGAACATTGATACCTATACTACGTATTTCGTACTTTCGCACATTAACAATTTATTACAAAATGTCATGTTGACCTCGATTTGACCCTTTTGACCTACCTTTTGAAAACAATACTTTTTGGAGCGCTAATTGAATATTAAAGGGTTACAAAATACCAACAATATTGAAAACAGATAAGTAATAATAAATTGCCGGGGGAATTCCAAATATCCAAATCCCTCCACCATTGCGACTATGTGTTATAATGGGCTTTTAATTGAAAGTCTGTCATAAAAAGGTTGCAGACATTAGGCTCTTTAAAAGTATGTCATATTGCTATTTATATACCATTTGTCTTCTTAATAGCTTCTTAAGCATCAAATATCAAATCACAATAGTCCAGGGAAAAAATAATTGTGAATGATGGCAAAATGTTCATTCTTAATTTAATGAAATTCACTTTTGGATACTAGTACAGGTACTTTTGAAAGTATATTATTTGTTTGATTGAAAAAATTGAAATATTGTTTTTTTATCTTAACATGGATTTTTTAAACAATTTTGTAATAAAGTTAGTAACAATAGCAATCAATAATTTGTAAATTATGTGCAGGATATGTAATCCGGGATATGCACACAGTGTGTCAATCCTGTATGTATCCAGGCGTCAGGATTCATACAGGATTGGCACACTGCGAGCGTATCCTGTATGAATCCAGGAGGGAGGATTCATACTGGATTTCTACCTGCTCCAATCCTGTATAAATCCTGACGCGTGGATACGTATAGGATATGTACATTGTGTGCCAATCCTGTATGTATCCAGGCATCAGGATTCATACAGGATTGGCACACTGCGAGCGTATCCTGTATGAATCCAGGAGCAGGATTTATACTGGATTCCTACATTCGCAAATCCTGTATAAATCCTGACACAGGATACGTACAGGATATGTACATTGTGTGCCAATCCTGTATGTATCCAGGCATCAGGATTCATACAGGATTGGCACACTGCAAGCGTATCCTGTATGAATCCAGATGCAGGATTCATACAGGATTCCTACACGCACCAATCCTGCATAAATCCTGACACAGGATATGTACAGGATATGTACATTGTGTGCCAATCCTGTATATATCCAGGCATCAGGATTCATACAGGATTGGCACATTGCGAGCGTATCCTGTATGAATCCAGATGCAGGATTCATACTGGATTCCTACACGCGCCAATCCTGTATAAATCCTGACACAGGATATGTACAGGATATGTACATTCGGTGCCAATCCTGTATGTATCCAGGCATCAGGATTCATACAGGTTTGGCACACTGGGTGCATATCCTGTATGTATCCTGACGTCAGGATTCGTTGTATTCGTACACATTTTTTGCTGTGATTTTGCGAGGGAAAAACAAGCCTGTGTCATTTAGATGGTACGCATTGTCCCCCCAGTCCTTAAATGTGTGGCTTAATTTGTTAATAGAGCATGCTTCTTGGGTGGGTTGTGTGTGATGATAAAATGGGTGTACCATTTGATAACTATTTTGTTATCCAGTACTAACATATAGTTGTTTTGTAACTAAATATAATGAAATAAAAGGTAGAATTTTTTCTACATGTTCATTTCATTCATACAAAGGCATTTTCAGTGCTTTTTCGACATTTGCACTTATATCTTAGACATTGAATAATCAAGTTTTTACAAGATTTTACTAGATTTACTAGATTTACTAGTTTTACTAGATTTACTAGATTTACTAGATTTACAGTCTACCAGACGAGTGCGCATCTGCATGTGCGCATGTTTACAAAGACTGATCTATGGAAGGATGTGGAAGAACTTTCAAGAACTGGCATGGTGTGAGGATTCACCAATGAAAGGCTAAGTGTTCACCCATCCCGATTCCAAAGCAGCGCAGTGAGGTTAATACTTAGCTACAGGCTACAGTCAACCATCAGACGGAGGACAATCCAGACCCGGATGTAAACCATAGTGTCCGAGTTGTCCAAGCAGAGGAGTTGGAGGTGACCGAAGAAGCGCATAAGCAAAGAGAGAAGTCTTAATCAACTCAGAGACCAGTTAATATCCAGACCTAAGTTGTTGGTGCAGATCGAGAGACTGCGGAAACGCCAGCAAGAAAAGAGGAAGTTTCGTGAGAAGTTCTTTTAGAACCCTTTTCAGTACGTTGGAAAATTTCGAGACAAACCCAAGTGCGAAAAGCTCACCAGCTCTATGGAGGAGATTCAGGATTTATTGAGATCCAGACCGTGATACTTCCCTAGGGGCTATGCCTAGAGTTATTTACCCCAGCTCTCCAGCCCGTTTTTCCATTTAAGGAAGGAGAGATGAGGTATCCAGGGGATGAGTTTTCTAAGGTTTGAGTTCTCCAGGGATGAGTTGTCCGTAACACCCCAGTCACATTTGTCGTACGGAGGGCGTGCGTCGACCGCAGATCAATTAAATCAGTGTATTTCTGCGGCGAGCGTAGGAAACTACGCTCGCCTTGCGGCCTCCGTGCGGCGTATCCAGTTTTTTAGAGGCCGCAGGGTCGCCGTAGAAATTATAACTCGGAGTTATAATATTTGTTCATTTCTGAGGTTCCCGTAGAAATCAACTGGCTCGACAAGATTGAATCATTATTTGTCAATGTTTCACGACCACTTTTCATTTGATATTACATCCTAGCACTTTGAATAACATTTATAATTTGTCCTGATGTAAATAAAATGAAAAAACAATTATTTATCAATAGAAATTTAAAATTCACCGTGCGGCTGCCGTGGGAAATGTGACTGCAAAAGTATGAGAGCGCAGAAATTCTGCGGCGAGCGTAGAAAAGCTAATGGCCACAGAAATGATAGACCGCAAAGTCGCCGTAGAAAATGTGACTGGGGTGTAACCCTTTTTAATCAGGGCCATGGAAGGGCTAAACTAATGTGGATCATAATCACTGCCCCGGGATCACTGCAGACCGAATTTATTTTAGTGGCATAGAGTCATGCATGTTGTTAACGAACTCCAGTTCCTAAAACAGCTCTTGGTATTTTCGATTTATTACGTATTTGAAGAGAAGAGAACCCGACATGCAAAAATTCTTTATTTATATGATTATTTTTTTCATTAGCGTGGGCATAGATTTAATCGGATCGTAATGCATTTGTCAGAATATGCATTTTAGATCCGATTTAACGCCAATGCTTATTTAAACGTTTGAATTCAGTAAACAATGACACGGGATGTTATCGCCTAATTACTCAGATGCGAGTAGGTAGTTACCAGTTTCGCCACCAGGTGGCTAATTCGGGGGAAATAACATGGCAGGGTATTACAAAATTCCCTTAAACTTGAATATTCATCAGTTTTACTGGTTCACTTTTCATATTATCCTTATGTATCTGATAGTTATACGAATCAAAATATGTCCAGCAAAAGAAAATATTATCTGCCCAACACAAGAAAAGATATTTCCATTTTTGTGATTTTTCAACATGGGGTCTATGGGGAATCTCCCCGAACTAGAAGTCACATTTTCAAAGAAAATTAAATTTTCAAAGTTGATAAACTCTTTTCAAAACCACATTTGTCGATGTACTTTTACATGTAGATTCCAAATATGACAATGATTTTGAATTTTAAATGACGTAAATCGAGTTTATTTCTACTCGCATCTAGGATATTGGAAAAGCTGCTTATTCACAGAGAAAATGAACCAGCACATGCGATGACATTATCAATCATACTTCTGCACGTCCAAGTTTATTATGATCACAAACAAAGTTACTGAAAAGGTGCGCACGTTAGACCGAAATGATCGTTCCTTTTTAATATATTCTAACGAAGGCTTCTCATAATTATCCTGGATAGTCTAAATACCGATTTAATTTTTTACTTCAAACAAGTTCTATGCCATAACGGCTTAGTATTGTTACCATACCAAGGCAAAATTCGTTAGCCAGATCTAACCAAAAATTTCAAAAAGGCCATAGTTAAGCTTTAATGTCCTATTTAAGAACCCATATTTTTACGATTGAAAATGGATTCTAGCAACTAATATGTTTTCTCATATTATAAGGTTATCTCTAATGCAATTCGTTTTTTGTATTTCTTCCCGAAGATGGAATTTTATCCATTTTAACCGGCCCTCAAAATCCAATGAAGACAATCCATTATTTTCACAATCTGCGATTTGAAGTGTTTTATCTCTCACAAATAGGCATATACTTCTAAACAAACTTCAGAAAACAAATTTTCTACATTGTAGATTGTATCACACCGAGTTTTATCAAAACATATAATATTATGACAAGGTTTGGAGGCTCCAAATACACCATGTAATCAAGGAATCGTGGCGTTAAAGAGTCAAAAAGATGTCACCGTAATGGTTATCAAAATAATTTATTTATTAGGCTGCGAGTCATTATTTTTGAACCGTAACTGGAGATGTAACGCAGTAGCCAAAGATGACCGAAGATGCTTCAAGGATTTGATTGGTTCAAAAGTACCACCCACGTGATACAATTGTTTCTTCTGTTGCTTGCAGTATAAAACTAAAAATATTCCATTCTTTGACGTTAATACCTAGGTTGATAGGCATTTTCACAAGTGATGTTTCACGAAACCCGTTTGTTTAACAATGATACTCATGACCTAGGGTTTTATGCCTTGGTCACATTTGGTCCGATCTTCACTACGGCGCCCGGCCGATTGAGTATTTTGTCAAAATTGAATACAATATTTATTAAGCAAAACACTCAATCGGCCGAGCGCCGACCGATGGATCGAAGCAAATATGACCCAGGCATTAATCATTCATAAAATTGCAAGCTTGCCAGTGATATGATGATTCATCATATTTTAGTGTAACATGGAGAAATGGAGCCTGCAATGCTGGTAGGGCACTTGGAATGGCTGTTGACATGATCACAAATGACAACATAGATACCATAATAGGGCCAGCATGCTCAGAAGGTAATGAACATAAATCATTAAGATTGAAATTGAGCAGCCGACTTGAAAAATTGGACACAATTCAATTTTTTAAGGAGGAAAATAGTTTTTGACAAACGACTTTGAAGAAGTAAAATGTTAATAAATGTTAAAATATTGCCCAAAACGAAAAGCGTTTTATCTTTGGTCTTTCCTGCAAAGTCCATTTTTTGTACCCACCATTCCTATCACACTCAAAATTCATTCCACACTACAGTCGTTATAGCTCAGGATGCCCCGGGGAGGGGAAATAAACCGAGGGAAAGATGAACACTGATTCATCTAAAAAAAATGGAAGACTTTGTACTTATAACATGCTCCACCCCTGAGCTAAAAGCGGATTCCCATTTTCATAAAAATGCAATTAATATTACGTTTTGTATTGTAGCTGCCATTGTTGTTTGTCACTTGGCCACATTCTGGAATTTTCCGGTGTTTTCACATGGCTCCAGTGATCCGGAGCTAGCAGATAAAAAGCTATTTCAGACGTTGGTTCGTATTCTCCCGCCGTTCAGTAAGATGGGAAGAGCATTTGTTGAAGTTTTCAAGTATTTTAAATGGAATACGGGTGTACTGATGGCGACGGAAAACATTGGTATAGTTGTTATATTAAGTTCTATTTATAGTACATGCAATATAGTTTAAAACCTTTATTCCATACTGATTTATTTTACGGATACAAAGACACAATATTGAATTGTTTCTATTGCAGGTCAGTATTCATTTAACGACTATGCTAGTCGTTCAATCGAACAAGAGTTCAGAAATGCAGGACTGACTCTGTCAGATAATGTGAAAGTTTCTCCGGACATCACAGAAAACGAGATTGACACGTATTTGAAACGATTCAGTAGGAGAGGAAGAAGTAAGACAAATTATGTACAATAATGAACAATATTGACAATCAACATGTTGAAAGGATTTGGGCCAAAGGCCCAATGCATTATATGTATTTTAAGCACGAATGTCTTGTATGCGACTTTGAATGAAGACGAGAGCCCAAATTCAAAGGTTAGCATACAAGACACAAATGTATTAAATCACCCACAATTCATTGGGATATGTGCCTAAATTCACAAAGAAAAAAAGATTTTGTACAATATCACGAGAATAATAAATACTCTCAGCCGCTAACTTGAATGTGAAATCATGAAACTGATGAGGTATTCAATTTCACTGATTCTATTGTAACTTACCGTTCATCTACTGTAAAAGACTAGAATGTGTTGTATCATGACATTGCTATGCGTGGACAAGATGTTTTGCATAATACATGTTCTGATGAATTTTCCGATTTAAAGGCATTCCAATCATGTATTCAAATTATATTGTATAAATTATTCTATAAATTATCTAGGATGGAGAATTGTATTTTATATGAATAATACCACACTATTATTCGTTATGATTAGTTATCATGCTGCAAATGAATCGAAGAAATATCCGTACGGTGATGGAGCGGGCTTACGCTTTAGGAATGTGCAAAGGAGACTATGTATTCTTGGTGACGTTTGACATGCTAAACCATGAGTACATGGCGTCACCTTGGCTCTTTGATGAAGAGGACGAAACTGATGTTCCACATAAAACGAAGATTGCATACGAAAGTTTGATCCATGTAGGTATAATAAACTGGTCTTGAAAAACTACAAATGCATATATATTATATGAATTAATTGGTTCAATAGGTTGATAATACTGTTGATTTTCTTAAGTTTTCATAATACTGTCTAATATAATTGCTATTGGATATTCAAATGATGCAGAAATTCAAATTCATTAGAATTGCAAAAAGGGGTCGGACGTTGGACCACTGAACAATTGGTTCAAAACTTACTTTCAGCTCGTGTCTATTCATTCTACTCTCATTATATAGATAACCGTATCTTCTGTAATGACCGAGGCGGCTGAACACTTCAGGCAACTTCTTCCAATTAAGATGATGGAGGAACCATGGAATTTCAATGACACCTATCTGAATGGCCTAAAGGTAAAATTACCACCAATAATTAGCTAAATGTAACTACAGTAAAACCTGTGTATATTGAACAATTTTTGTTGGTACATTGTGGTAGGTGTTCGGTGTTCACTATAGGTTAATTTATACAGGAGTGGGGAGAGTATTTGTGCGGAGGAAGGGTGTCCACATGTGTTCACTAAGACAGGTTCTACTATATTTATGCTCATCTGGTGTCTCTTGAGTATTTGATTTTACACAATAAAATTATTTGTTTTTCCAGGCGATCCACCATTTTTACCAAACTCCTATATCACTGGGCAACATCAAGCGAAGGTAACGGCCGTAACCTTCGTATCAAAGATGGGGGGATGCGAAGGTTACGGCCTTTATCTTCGCTTGATACTGACCAGTGTATATACGATCCTGCGATCGATGTTTATTGCTTACGTGTATCTCTTATCCTTGTTACTTATAAGGCAGTGGTGATATATCAGTTAACATATACAGGGTGGTCCAGAAAATGGGACAATCGTATTTCGAAAATAGATATTGATTTTCTTGATGAAACCATGTCATTTTATATACCAGTGGATAGGGATTTTACTCATCTTTAATTTGTTATATCATAAGTTCAAATGTATTATAATGTCTGTCAACCAGCGTCCATAATATAAATGACGTTATTTTCATTTCAAAACGGGTTTCCAAAACTAGCAAAAATGAGACAATGAATTTTACATCTTAAAGGACTGAATAGATCTTAAGGATTTATGGTATACAAATTTTGCCAGTCCTCCCCATACGTGGTAGTCGCAGACGTTGGGCAATCGGGTGATCTGGGCGAGGCAGTGATTAAGGAGGGATGAATCTAGGCACATTTTCCTTTAAACATTATACACTCTTGTGAGATCTATTAGTTGGAGCCCCATCGTGTTGGAAAATGTAATGATTCGAAAATGAGCTCATATCAGGATTGTCCAAAAACAACATAATCGGATCATCCGATGTCAACGTCTGCGACTACCACGTATTTGTAGAAATAACAGAATTGGTTTACCATGAGCCCCTTGCATCTACTCGGTTCCTTATGGACAGAATTATTGAGAAGTTGAATTCACTGGCTCAACAGCATGTCAATGATGCATTTGACCAGTTTAGACCAAAATTGAGGCCTATAATTGATCAAAATGGTGGACATATTGATCGTCTGTTTAAGTAAATCAAGTTGACAAAAAACTTGAAACGAAAATAACGTCATTTATAGTATGGACGCTGGTTGACAGACATTATAATAAATTTGAACTCATGATATGCCAAATTAAAGATAAGTAAATTCCCTATCCACTGATATATAATATGACATGTTTTCCTCAAGAAAATCAATATCTATTTTTGAAATACGAGTGTCCCATTATTTTGGACCACCCTGTATATGTATATCCATATTTACCATATAATACTAACATATTTACCATGTTAACGTTGTAATGGTGTGCCTGTTAACAGGGGTCTGCATATTCGTTATATCTCTACGACGCAGTGATGATGTATCTACGAACAGTCAACTACACATTAGAAAGGAAGGAAGATCCTGCAAATGGCACGTTAATGTTTGAAAATGCAAAGGCAATTACATTCAGTGGTATGTTTATATTACTTACTTAAGCGTTTGCAAAGGGCACAACACGAGCCGTCATCTTTCATCCAAGGGTATTTAACTTCTTTCCATGAATTTAAGCATAAATGAAGTCCTTTGAAGAAGGATGCGAGCCTTAGTTTGTTGGTATTTCTTTTTCAGCGTAGCCCGATGGTGAAAAATGCACTAGATGCTCATTTGTTACATCACATAGATTAGTCTCATCTTAATGGGCAGGGGTAGACGATATTATAAGTATTAAAGCCATTATAAGCACCCATTATGCGAATTTAAGTATCCCCTGTTTTATCGTGAGAAAGGTTTATCAACGCTGTTGTACTAATACACACATACGTACTCTCATTATCATTAGGAATGACTGGACATGTTAAGTTGGATCACGATGCTGAAAGAGAACCAAATTTCTGGCTGTGGCATCTCTCACCATCTGGTAAAGAGTTTACATATTGGGCTGTTATAGAAATGGAGAAGCCTTTGGGACAGGTATTACAGTTCTAAAAATCATTTATCAGAGCGATTGTCAAAACATTGTCGTTGTATTTAATCATACATTTTTTGGCTACATACCTTAGTAAATACTATTTGGTGGTCCGAATATCTTCGTAAAACCATGTCATAGCTTCACTTTGCTAACGCAGATAGTTAGCCCCAAGTAATACAGTTAGCTCCAAGTAATGTATGAGCAAACAAAAGGTGCGTGAGTATGAAAACTTGCATCTCTGTTATAGAGAGTTAATATTGCAATTGAACCTTTTTGGAAAACACGTGACCGCCGACCTCCCCCAGATGTTCCAGCGTGTGGTTTCTATGATGAGTTCTGCACTAAAAATATGAATATGTCTGGTAAAGTTAATTTTGTTGAGTTCTGTGTTTGGCTGTTTGTTGTCTTACATTTGAAATAGTTGAAAAATTACAATAGTCTTATAATTTGTATTGTTCATTACATATGACCCTAAGTGGTTTGCCTTTTCCGTGTAATACATCTATCTGTATTTCATATATCGTTGTAGGTACAGCGGTTGTTGGTGTAACACTTAGTTCTACATTAGGTATTCTTCTTCTAGTTGGTTTTGGAGCATTTCTTATATACAGGTAAGTTAAATGTCATTTTGGATATTATTTTCAAAGGATATGTATCGATATGGTGAACTGAATTCAACAATGTTTTTCTCTTAAACCAATTATTGAAAACGCTCTGTAAAAACACGGTATTTTATGTAATGTTGACTGATTGACAACAACTTAATGCGATTATTTAGAAATATTTTATATAACTGATTTTTGTTGATTTTTTTTTGTTTTTTTTTAGTGCAACTGTTTTTGCTCCTTTCTACCAATTCTTGAGAATGAAATAAAATGTCTTTCCGAACCTTGTTGGAACAAAATAGTATATACAACATGTTTTTAGACCTCTCAATATTATAGTTATTCAAAGGAATTAGAAAAAAGTATTCACAAAATTAAAACAAATTCCCCCAAAAATAGATAAAAAACAAGATAAACCTTTTATTTCATTAACAAGATACTTTTTTTAAATCAACCAAAATTTCCTTTGTACAATTACATTAAACATGTTGTGTTTATGTCGTTTTGTTCCAATGAGGTTCGGAAAGATGTTTCATTTCACTCTGGAAACATGATACCAAGAACAAAACAAGTGTTTGATATGTATTCTATAACAATATAGATGAAAGTATATATATATTTCAAATTATATTGTTACCATTCAAAAGATGAACAGACGATGTGTTAAATTAGATTTTTTATGACTGGTTTAAGAGAAACGTGTGTTCAAAAGGTTCACCATAGCGATTCCACTCCTTTATATATTATTCTTTCCCACACTGACTAGTTGACTGTTATGTGGTTAATTTTGTTCTTATTGTTTAGGAAAAAGAAGCTAGAAGTTGAGCTGTTGAAAAATGTTTGGCAGATACAATTGAAAGACATAACATTCCCTCAGACGAAGAAACAAGATGGATCGATGCATGGTGGATCAGTCGACACAAATGTAACATATCATTAACCTGAAAATTGCCTTTCCAGTATTCTTTATTATTAGACTGGAGTCTATTGCTTTTGTCTGAATTCTTTATTCTTTTCTCAGCGCATTTTCTTTATATCGTCAGTTAGGATATATGTGACTGACTAACATGGAAATTAGATCAAATTTTTATTTAGGTCAAAGATTAAAATCTAGGTCAAATTTACAATTTATCAATTATCTTTATATTGATTAATTACTTTTCTCGTTTTCCCTTTGTATAATTAAATTAAGGTAATAAAGCTATACATACATATAGCTCAGAAAGAGAGCATTTGGGAATGTGCTACCCGTTTTTGGCTACTCTTACGGATTTTGAAACAGATTAAAGCATGGATCAAGATTAGTATCAATTTGATAGGAACTTTGCTGAGGATTCCGAATTTTAAATCGAAATTGAGAACCGACCTCCGGTTGACCTTCTATAGTAAATAGTATTTGACCTTTTACAGTAAAACAGGTCAACATTTTAAAAGTCTATTTTGAATTAAGAAAAGTGAACCTTAAGGTCTCCAAATTCAACTTTTAAGGTATAAAATTGATAGCAAGTTTTCTCAGGAATCAGACTCCGCAACTCTGCGACTCCTTTGATCCAACTTCAAGTTTAGATTCTATGAAATTTCGAAAAATCGGATATGGTGATATTCAAAATCTAGGTCGAATGATGCCTGGCTGTCTGAACTTGTTTAATTTACCATATGCATTCTGTTTCATTATTGCGCTAGCATGAGGGGTGGGTGTACATGATTTTGTATATGACTGTGAATCTGCAAATCGAATCTTGAGTTATGCCAATTTCTTTGCATTGATACTTTATTTTATATCAAGTTTTAGTTTTATTTCCACATTTTGCATTCCAAATGAGAATGTTAGTGTTGTTTTCCGACTTTTTAGAGTGAGCAATTTGCTGAGAACAATAGTTCATCAAAGTCCAATAAGAATATGGGTAAGTCGTTATTAATTAGTTTATTAATAACTTTAAAAATAATTAAAATCAATGTAACATATTTACAGGTTGACATAGTGGCTATGACCCCCAAGAGGGAGTATTAGGTGCCACAAGATGGTACTTATTAAGCAACGCAAAGCGCAAAGGATATAAATTCAAATATTTGGTAAATAACCGTTGGATTTTGAATTTAGGTAACTACAAGGGTTTAACTGTGTATCTGAAATACTTAAGTAGCAAAGGATCAGTTCTACTATTAACAAAAGAAGACCACCAAGTCATGAAAATAGTGAGTTTTTCGTAGCTGTACATTGTGTTAATGACTAAATGTATGACTCAATGCTTGGAACTTAATTGTTAAACACTTGTGACAATTCACGTTAAAAAACACATAAAGTTGAGGAAACGAGGGTCAAAAGAATGACGCCTAAGAGGCCACACTAAAACATCACGTGTCAACGGAGAATAAACTCATCCTTGAACAAATGAACAAATTCTTTATGTGCTTTATTTTACAGATGAAAGACTTGAATCACGAGAACATCAATCAGTTTTTTGGACTCTGTGTCCAACCTGGGCAAAGTTTTATTGTATCGAAGTTTTGCCACAAGAAAAGTTTAAAGGTAATCGTCTCCTCACATTCCTCTGTTTTTAGAATAAATACTTACATGTAGACATTATACAAAAAGTGTCTGCCATTGAGGGAAATATTGCGAAATAATCCTATCCACTGACATGTTTCCGAGGCTGCAGGCCGAGGGAACATGCCAGTGGACAGGATATTCCCGAGGGGAAAATATTTACACTATTTGCCGAAAATGTTGCAGTCACTATTTGTTTATATAACCCTTCTGTAAACAAAAAACAAAATCAAAAGTCTTTTAATGTCAACATTTAATGCTCACGGGTTCTTATTGGCATTTAAAGCCATTTTGCCATTCAAGTCCTATAAATCACAGCTAGCAGGGAAGATAAAATGTACTAATGACTGATCACATGACCTAACTGGTGATTAGAACATTTCATCTTCCCTGTTAGCAGGGATTTAGTTCATCTACTTCATATCATGTGACTATGAATAAACCAATAAGCATCTAGAATACATATGGGGTATATAATAAATTGAACTATATGTTGCATACAACTATCCCTAAACTTTCATGCAGTGTCTTTTGTTTTAGGATATTTTACATAAAACTGATGTGAAATTAGATTCTCTGTTCAAATACTCACTAGCAACTGACCTAATTGAGGTATGATTTCTAATGTTGCTGTTGTCTCATGAACTGTATACACTGTGTTTATAATTTTGAAAATTATTTAAAGATTCGTGAAAACATTAAAGTTTTTTCATTATGTAGTACAATGGAAGAAATATGAACAATTTTTATTTTTTGTTTATAATCCATAAACGTTTCAAACGTCTCAGGACAAAGTGGTTATTCTTCCTATATATTATTCTGCAGTCATTTCCAATGTATACTCGAAGTGATTCTTTTATTCTATTTCTTGTTATATATACAGGGCCTGACTTATCTTCATTCTTCAAAGCTTGTGTCACATGGATCCCTAAAGAGTAGTAATTGCTTGATAGATAGTAGGTGGCAGTTAAAGATATCAGGCTATGGTCTAAGTAGAATAACGAAATCTAGTGGAGACAAAGAATCTGATTATGGAGGTGTGTATTTTACAAATATAGCCTTAGAATATGTATTTTATCTTATTTTTTCTAGTGTTTCTCCTCCCGCTTTGTATTTTTGAGATTTCCAATTTTATTCTAGGCAAAATATGGACAGCTCCAGAATTACTAAGGATGACAAACCCACCTAGCCAAGGAACTCCTAAAGGGGATTGTTACAGTTTTGCTATCATATTGCACGAAATTATATTCCGAGAAGAACCATTCTCTACAATTCGCTCCTACTTGACACCAAAGGGTAAATAAAAATTTTACACACATGTCAATCTTTATCCTATGTTCAAACCGATATGTTAAATCTCACGCTTTCTTCGTTTTTTGTAGATATAGTTAAACGGGTTGCACGATCGGAGAATCCCCCCTTTCGCCCAGCAGTGTCAAAACATGCAGAGATTGGACTTGATAACAAGATTTTAGATGTAATATATGATGGATGGCAAGAAAATCCTGAATACAGACCTTCAAGCTTGGAGATAAGAAAAACATTTACAAAAATAAATAAAGGAAGGTGAATGCGGAAGTTACTATGAATTAAGAAATATATGTTAAGAATTAATTAAACAGTCCATCGGTCAAAACGTAGTATTCCGTTCTATGTCATTTCTGGGTATTTGTTAATTTTCTAACTTCATTTGATGTCTGTATATTAATTTATAGAAAAGTGAATATCTCAGACAGGGCAATGATGAAGATGGAATCATACGCCAATAATTTAGAGGAGATTGTAGAACAGAAAACGCATGAACTTATTGAAGAAAAGACAAATGGGGAGAGATTACTTCACAGTATGTTACCGAGGTGAAACTTTACAAATACAATAGCATATTCTTATTGTGATATGTATAGCTATAGTGAGGTAATGGATGAATAAATAATGGATGAATAAATTACCTATTTACTTACACTTTATCTATGTCGAATGTCTAGAATTGAATAAGAGCTGAAATGAAAATGCAACAATGATCGACATACCAATTTTAATTTGGATTATATCTTTTGACATCAAAGTTTAGCACCTATGCAGTGTATGATTTTTGGATATCGTAATTTCAGAGTTATTGCAGACTCATTAAAAGCAGGTAAAGGAGTGTATCCACAAAAGTTTGACACGTGTACTGTATTCGTTAGTACCCTCATTGGCATGGACTTCTTTACTCGCACCAGCTCTCCTTTACAACACATGGAATTGCTTCATCAAATATTGTCACTCTTTCATGATATTGTCAGCAAATATGATGTTTATAAGGTATTTGTAAAAGCAATTTGTCATGAATTATCTTCCAAAATATATGTTATAGGTTTAATTTACTAAATGTAAGAAATTGTTGTAAATGATATATCAACTGCCCCTAGGGATGGGACAGGTTGTGGGCCAATTGACCTTCCTTTGTTGCTTTTTGACTTTTGCCAGACATTTTGAAAACTATCAAGAAAATGCCAAAAATGCATGACCCCCCTATGCTACCCAGGCAGAATTTGATTTTATTTCGACCTAATTTCTGACAAAACATAGTATTTTAACATGCTTTATAATGGTACCAATTAATATTCCACCAATGGTATCCATGGGGTCCAATGGGATTATATCGTAGATTATGAATATTTTCTTATCACGAAGACATGTGTAGATGCATCCATTATATCCAAGAAAAGTAAAAAATGTCGAGTGCATACTTCTAATGTGACATGTTTTATTTCCTAAAAGGAAAAGTGGATTGCTCAAGGGACTTTTAATATACTGAATTTGGATGACAAAAATGAGCTAAAATCAATGGATATCTCTATGGGGAAATAACAACATGGGGAACAATAATCTTAGAACAATTTAGTTTCCTTTCAATGACTTTTTTTTGTTTTTTTGTGTTTTGTTTTTGTTTTTCAAATGGTGAAACATTGATACAAATTCTTTGTAGGCAGAAACAACAGGTTATTGTTCATTGGTGGTGAGTGGTGTTCCTGAGCAGAATGACTCCACTGTTCATATTGTTGAAATAGCAAAGATGTCAATCATGCTTCAGAAGTCTATTGCTGCTTTCAAGGTACCAAATCGCCCAGACAGAAAGCTGGAAATACGAATAGGTGTGGACACTGGTCCATGTATTGCAGGTATATCAGTGTCAAATACAATTCTCATTGGTTGTATTGCTCACAGTTGCATTGTTTTATTTTGTTTCATTTATGTTACGCCTAAAAGTGGCCAACAACAGAAAAAATATTTAAATTTACAAATAAAGAATGAAACATATTTTGCACAAATGTACAAATAACATGTTTAGATAATATTTGTATTTTGTAATATTTTATGGTCTAACCAAGTTTTGCGAATTCATGTTGCATTAGAAAGTTAAGGAAGCCTGATAATTCTGTTTCTAGGTGTGCTGGGTCATGATGTACCAAGGTATTGCATTTTCGGAGATACCGTCAACATGGCTTCTGCTATGGAATGTACTGGATTGCGTGAGATATTTCAATGTCTTAAAAAACCTAATTTAATTATTGATATGATATATATTTGAAATAAAAGATCTGACATTCAATACTTTTTGAAGCTAGTACAATATGGAAACTATGTTGTAGCTTCGATGACACATCTCAGCCCAAACGCAAAAGCTGCCCTCGCTCAACACAGTGAATTCACAACTACAAAAAGAGATAACATTGAAATAAAGGTGGGTCAACATATAACAATCACGTTTTGCAATGTAGATCTCGCCACTAGATCTCCGTGCCACTCGACTATGAATAATACAATCTTCCATCCCCTATATGTTAGTCTTGAAACACTACTCTGCGGGGCCTAGTGTTATACGCATCACAATAACATAAGATACGCATCACAACAACATAAAATACGCATCACAACAACATAAGATACACATCTCCCAGGTCACTGACTCATCTACTTTCAGGAAAGAGGGCTGAGAGAACTAAATGTGGAAAAGTATAAATTCATTTGTGGTCTTGCACCAAGTCCTTCTATACTCCGTCCATCAACACATATGCTATCACAAGTATAAATGGAGTATGGGAGGACTTGGTTGAAGACTAGCCTTGTGTATTGTGTAATAGCTGTCTCAAACTATGTAGTTTTCATATATCCAGTACATATTGTATTTAGGGGATTGGTACGCTGACGACGTATTGGCTTGGTGAAAATAGTAACCCTGAGGTACAGCAATCATAAAATAAAATTATATAACATTAAAAAATTGTTGTATTCGATTGAATCTTTCAAAATGTAACGTAAGAAATCATTGTTATCAAAGTTATTTGATGTTAATGACATTATTGAAATTATATTCTGATTATATACATGTAAATTATATTAATTTAAATTCATTTGAATTTATTTTTTAGGAATAACCTTGATAAAACTACTAAAGGAACTGATGGAATAACATATCAACTTGCCACAATGCCATGAAAATGACTTGAAACTCACATCCATCACACATGATAATTAACACTGAACAACTGAGGAATTAAACATTCTGTATTTAACCGATAGTGTGGACGTTTTCGTACAAACCATTACAACTACGTTTTTTGACCTGCTCAAGTTAAGAAGAACGTCAGTGTTACATTTGTGAATGTATGTTTTCTTCATTCATAAATGTAAACAAATATAAAAAAGGGGGCTAACTAGTAAACCATATTTACCTTCTGTATCAATAACACATATAGCGTTAAACGTAAGTTCGGTACTATGGAAACCTCCTTATTTCCCGAGTGAAATCTGAAAAGATGCAGCCTACTAAATATAGATAGTATAAAAATGGCTACTGCTATCATATCATGAGACAGTGAGGTTACAAGAAATTTTTATTAATTTACAAATACCCATACTGTCAATTGGCATCAGCACGTTCCTCGATGCTTCACTCTCAAAGATATATTCATTTGTGTGTACTACATCAAACATGGTTCTTAGTAGCAACCAAAAACTTCCAAACGCCTTCCATTTAGTTTTCATGTTCTGTTGCAGAGCCTCTGTTTTCCATTTTTGAAACAGTAATATAGACAGTACTTGATTTATATATTTTTTACAAATCTAGCCAAATCCCTTAATTTACAGTGGAGTTAAACAGGGGTCCTTTTATGAGAAAGAACTCCTCACAGAAATCCAATTCATGAATTTACTGAGATATACTCTCTTTATAAGTAAATAGAAATTTTGACAATGGTTGTATATGTATAATGCTTCACTACAATATTAATTTGTATATGCGACTGTTCTGAAAGTGTTTTAGTAAATAAATAAAGAAATAAGAAATAAAGATATAATTGTTTTGTTTCAAAGAAATCTGCCAGAGGGATCTATATTTAATTTTTAACAATGCATAGCACCTTGTAAATCTGTACCTGGAAAATGTTTAGACATGCTAGGAGAGTTTGAGATTTTATTAAAAAACATTTCGTCACCAACATATTTTTAACTTAAAACAGGGTGTAAAATAGACATGTTCTCATCTTTAGCTTTAACATCCACATAATGTTGCATAACTTTCGTCTGCATGATATCTGAATTGTTCTTTGGCACATAAAAGCTTGGTTCCATGGAGCAACTCCAAAAGAAGTTTCAGATAACCAGCTCAACTGCATGTATGCACATACGTTCATACTTTTAAGGAGAGAACATATTTATTTGACACCCTATATATGTATTTGAACACTCGCGCTTTCCACGGGTAAAACAATTTTAACAATAATTCAATATATATCATGTTGTGTTTAAACTGCAGAAAAGAAATTATGGCCATATTTTCTATCTTTCAAAAATTTTTTTGATATTCATCACCAGAAAATGTGATATTATCATAAGAAGTAGGTAGGTCATCGATAAAAAGAAACAAATGTGATGATAACCAGTAGGAAGGTCATAGAAAAAAGGGAATTGAAATAGGGTATTATATAATATTTTACAACATTTGACATTTATATTTTATTTTTTCTGTCATTGTAAGATTCTTAATAATGATAATTTTTTGATAAATAAATTGTGTATGCTGTGTAGAGATTTCTTTTAAAGATATTTTAGAATAATTCTTGAGAATCGTCACTTGCTGAAATGTTACATAACTTGAGAAAACTCATGGCGATTTTCTCTAAAAACGGGAATCAGTAAGCTAATGTAAATTCAAAGGGTTCCAAGAAACAAGGACATACATCTTGATTTCTAGTGTTTGGTTACTGTTATCAACCAACAAGGCATCATTTACAATGTAAGCCATTTTTGATTTTTAGATATCATAATTACGTAGATTAATTGTCATTTCACCAAAATTCTTAGCTTTGATCAGTAAAAAAAGTATAAGCCTTTGTTGGAATTTTGGAGTGTCTTATTTCTCTCAATTGCCTAGTTTTGAAGTAATTCACGTATATGTGTATTATATGTGTTCATATATGATAGGCGGGTAATACTTGTACCTGTAAGACACTACAATCATTTTCGATCCCTTTGTCTTTAATTGATAGGGACCCCATAGTCTTAGGACCTAAAATACAGTGCTTAACCCATGGATAGCACCAGAAACCAGTCAAGCTTTACTCTACAGTATATATACTGGTATATAATGGCTACATCTGAAATATTACATTTTCAATATGAATTATGTTCTCTGCATAGAAAACAAACATTCCAGCCAAGTGCAAACTTAAAATTTCCCGTATGATCACGCGGTACTAACTTCGATCGTAAAGCATAACAAAAATGCCTTTCTGTTGGTACATTATTCTGTTATACAGAGTCCCTACTTCCATTGGCATTTTGCATGGTCACCAGCTGCGAGAAGGGCTTCTAATAGCTAGGGACCAAAACGCTGCTAAAACGAGGGACTCTTTACAATAAAGCAATGCACCGACAGAAAGGGCTGCGTGAGATATATACCCAGCGGTCTTAAATTCTCGCAAGATGTATTGATACAGAATGTGAAACAATAGTGTTTGACGAGTGATCAATCTATAATATATTTATCAACGTTAACAAGTACAAAGTTAAAATGAAAATGTTGCAGGTTCCATGATTCATTTTAGCAGAAGTGTCTGGAGACACGAGTCACTTTACAACTATGGAAAATGTTACAAATGTTGTCCAATAAAATCGTATAATGTAAAATAGAGATCCTTCTTTGCTCAACATCACTGTTCCACAACTGGATGACTCTAACTGCAGTTAGCTTCATTCAAGATGGTGGACAAAATTCGTTCGTTTTCGATAAATCTCCAATTACAGCCAAACCAAGCTGAATCTCGATCCCAAAAGTTTCGCCATGCAAACTAAAAAAGATATAATTGTAAACAACCACAAATAAAGGCTCAAGCACCCGCGATATTAGAGAAATTGAAAGAAAACGGCTTCACTTAGAATGACTCTAACTGAGGTTGATAATAAGGCTAACTCCAACACAGATTTCACCATTGATGACTCTAACTGAATGGAGATTTATAATGGGCTATACAAATTACCAATAAGCAGTTCCGTAACCAGGGGAAGCTGGAGGTTCGGTAGTTTTCCCCTCCCTGGCCAGAAATTATTTCAAATTCCCGCAGGTTTTCACCACTCTGAGCACTTTTCGCACGATTTTCTTAACAAAACTATCAAAAAGCACCCCCCCCCCGATTCGAATAGCACCGGAGAATATTATCATTCTAAATTGTAAGCGAATGATGGATAGAAAGGGTTTCTTTTATCGTGAAGCAACAATATTGTATACAATGATGTAACAACCTGAATATTGAAGACATGCAGTTAAAGGCAATGTTCATTTTTATTTGTTCAGTGCATTATCAAAATAATATAAGTGTATACGGTTTACTAAATTATTGCCTATGACAGAATTCACCTTCTTATTCTCCCTTTTTTAAACTTCGAACACATTTCCTTAATTAATTAGATTATTTGTGAGAGACTGTGTTTTGTCATACGCACTGGGCTTTGTCTTGTTATGTAACCACGTGACCACAGATGATGCCTTCCCATGATACTGGTGGTTAATTGTTCTGTGTAAATATTAAGTACAGGTAGTTGGTGTGGTGTATAGTGTTGGGAGTGGTGGCTTAGACCATGTCTTGAGACATTACCTTTTATCGACACGCATGGTCATGCAATCTGTGTCAATAGTATAGTTTCCATATAGCTTTTGAAATCTCGCTAAATCTCGTTTTTCGTGAGATTTTAAGAGACTTGCATATTAGACCTCTAATGACTTACATTACCTTCTTTTAAATGGCATATTTGAATTCAGTGAAATGTTTTCTCCTTTAATAGCTTTGATTTACACAGTTATGTAATTTGAATAATTTTCTATAACAATTTAAAAAAACTTGGGCCAAATGTCCATAGATGCAATGCTAAAATTCTTTAAATCCGTGGATTATTTGTATGTCAATCAACATTTGCATGTTTAATCACATCATGTACATAAACAGGGTCATCATGTGGTATATCATTCAAGTTTTATACAGATTCAACAAACACACTTTGATAAATCATGAAATTAAGCCACTTTTCCAAGATTTTAGCATGTAAATGAATGGAGCTCTAGCCCGAGTTAAAAGCTGAATAAAAGATGGCAGCACGAGATTTCATTGATTTTTCTGCTATTTAGAAACTATCCAATTGGTTAGAGGTCTCGTTGATTGGACCTGGGAGATATGGTCTAGTATCTAAGTTTCCCCAAACCATCGTCAGTTCTTATGTGACAGGTAGAGTATATTTAGTTGATCCTAGGATGATGCCATTAGTGGTGACATCTCCTATTGTCATTAATGTAGAGCGGCCGGACATCTCGATCCTGTTGCGGATCCTCTCCCTTATATGTTGTTCATAATAAGGGCCCAAGATGTTTCGAACTCATGGGGGTATTCCATGATATGTTTCTCATCAGCGGCCAAAGAAAAAAGGTTAAGAATATAGTGAGGGTTACTTTTTCCTGTTCAGGTTACGCGTTTCGCGGGATTGTTATTGGTTTCTAGAGAATGTTGTTTTGCTGGGTTAGGTTTTGTTTTGGGATTGTCTCCAGTTGGAGACAGTTAGTTGGGTGCTAAGTAAATTGGTATCATAGTTTGGTTGTGTTTGTAGATTGTGCCTGATTGTATTTTATAGTGTAATTTAATTGATTTAGTATTGGGTTGTGACTGACTCTGTTACTGTGGTTGGTGTCAGGTTGTGTTGTAATGATTCAACAATGGGTTGATTTGAATTCGGTCTCGTTGGCTATGTTGTATTGTGTTGGTTTGTTGTTTGGTTGTGTTCCATTGTGTTAGTTTGATAGTCGATTGTGTTTTGGTGGTTGTTTGTCTGGTTGAGCCTGGTTGTGTTGTGTAAGTTTGGTATCGGGTTGTGTCTCATTAAGTTATGTTAATTTCAAAGTGGTTGTGTTATGTTGTAATTGTGTTGTGCTGGTCGGTAGCGGGTTGTGCCCAGTAGGATGAAGTATGTGGTTGTGTCAGATTGTGTTGCGTGATTGGTGTTGTTTTCAGAGAGTGTTGGTTGGGTGTTTTCGTGTTCCAGTTTGGTTGTGCCTGATTGTGTTTTGATTGTTTTGTGTAAAATTGTGTTGTTCTTCGTCAATAATGGGTTGTGTTTTGGTTTTGTTGTTTTATTATTTGGTTGTGCCAAATTGTGTTGCATATATTTGACAATTGGTTGTGTTTTCGGAGGTTAAACTAAGGTTGTAGTATTGAGTTGTGTCGTATTGTGTTGTTGGCTTGTAGTTGGGTTGTGTCTGGTTGTTTATTTAGCCTGGTTTCGAGTTGTGCCTTATTGTGTTATGTTAATTTTAAAATGCGTTGTGTTATGTTGTTATTTTGTTATGCTGGTCGGGGGGCAGGTTGTGCCCAGTCAGGTTAGGTATCTGGTTGAGTCCGATTGTGTTATGTGGTTGGTTGTGCCTGATCGTTAAATGAGGGGTGGTGGCGGGTTGTGCCCGATTATGTTAAGATAGGTGGTCGGTTGTGCCTAGTCGGGTGAGTTTATTTGGTTGTGTTCGGTTGTGTTGTGTGATCTCTCTGTGTTGGGGTTTTAGTTTGGTTGTTCCTGATTGTGTTTTGATAGTTTGGCTTGGTTGTGTGGTTGTGCCAAATTGTGTTGTGTTAATTTGACAGTGGATTGTGTTCTTGGTAATTGTGAGTTCAGCTGCGTTCCAATTCTTCAGACATTGGTTGTGTTGCGTTGTTGGTGATCTTATGGGTTGTGCTTGGTTGTAATGTTTGGTTGTGATAGGTTGTATATTGAGTAGCAGGTCATGCCGAATTGGGTTTTGGTGTATCGTGGAGTATAGATACAAGTGGTGTTGTTTTCAGAGAGTGTTGGTTGGGTGTTTTGGTATTCCAGTTTGGTTGTGCCTGATTGTGTTTTGATTGTTTTATGTAAAATTGTGTTGTTCTTCGTCAATAATGGGTTGTGTTTTGGTTTTGTTGTTTTATTATTTGGTTGTGCCAAATTGTGTTGCGTATATTTGACAATTGGTTGTGTTTTCGGAGGTTAAACTAAGGTTGTAGTATTGGGTTGTGTCGTATTGTGTTGTTGGCTTGTAGTTGGGTTGTGTCTTGTTGTTTATTTAGCCTGGTTTCGAGTTGTGCCTCATTGTGTTATGTTAATTTTAAAATGCGTTGTGTTATGTTGTGATTTTGTTATGCTGGTCGGGGGGGAGGCAGGTTGTTCCCAGTCAGGTGAGGTATCTGGTTGAGTCCGATTGTGTTGTGTGGTTGGTTGTGCCTGATCGTTAAATGAGGGGTGGTGGCGGGTTGTGCCCGATTATGTTAGTATAGGTGGTCGGTTGTGCCTAGTCGGGTGAGTTTATTTGGTTGTGTTCGGTTGTGTTGTGTGATCTCTCTGTGTTGGGGTTTTAGTTTGGTTGTTCCTGATTGTGTTTTGATAGTTTGGTTTGGTTGTGTGGTTGTGCCAAATTGTGTTGTGCTAATTTGACAGTGGGTTGTGTTCTTGGTAATTGTGAGTTCAGCTGCGTTCTAATTCTTCAGACATTGGTTGTGTTGCGTTGTTGGTGATCTTATGGGTTGTGCTTGGTTGTAATGGTTGGTTGTGGTAGTTTGTATATTGAGTAGCAGGTTGTGTTGGGTTTTGGTGTATCGTGGAGTTTAGATACAAGTTAGTGGTTTGGGGTATTATAGTGTAGGTACACTCCCCTCCATAAGTTTGGCAACCTTTTTTCCTCATTGAACTACGTGTTAAAGCCTCTTTACCTTTGAATTTTTATTTACTTAACCTGCGATGAAAATACTTATACTGTTGATGGAAACGTAATTTGACTTTAATTCCAATACCTCCAAAGTTTCTCAATTTTTTTTCTCAATTACAATAGGTCGAAAATTGATGATAAATTTGATGAATTTTTGAAAATCGACATTCCCATGTTAACCAATGGGAAATGGTGGGTTTGCCGCAAGTCATATGACAGAATATCCATCCATCCGAGTCCTTGCAAAAAATACGAGTTAGGCAGGCAATTGAATTTGCTAACTTTATTTAACAAAAAATTGATATGTTTCTTCAGGTTCAACAAAGTTATAGGGCTTTAAAGTCAAAGTTGTTTTTCAAAAAAACTCTCCCATTGAAATAACACAGGAGGCGAAAAATTATTTTCAAAAATGACTTTGGAGCACTGTAACTTTTATATTCATCAAATAAACTAAACACTTAGTGTTTTAAAAAGTTAGACAATTCAATTTTCTATATAAAAATATTTTTTGCTGAATCTTTTACTGAAAAGATATCCTGATTTCTGATTTGCCCCAAACCCTCCATTTCCCATTGGATTACATGGGAATGACGATTTTCAAAAATTCATCAAATTTATCATCAATTTTTGACCTATTGTAATTGAAGGAAAAAATTGAGAAAATTTGGAGGTATTGGAAATAAGGTCAAGTTACGTTTCCATCAATATTATAAGTTATTTCATCGCCGGTTAAGTAAATAAAAATTCAAAGGTAAGGAGGCTTTAACACGTAGTTCAATGGGGAAAAAAGGTTGCCAAACTTATGGAGGGGAGTGTATATTCGTTAATTCTTAGTAGAGTCAATAATTAAATGTATTTGTGTTCATTATTAGTATATGCGATAGGTTTGGTACCTATTCATACATAGTGAGATCTCTGGTGTGAGAAGTGCACCTGGTATGATGGGCGTTAGCCTTGCGTTGTTCATTGGGTTTGAAGAGGTAGTTTCTTGTTGTTCTTGTCTCAGTATGCGGCAGTTTAGTTCGGCGCTTCTGTTTATATAATATTGCGCGGACGTTAGAGAACAAGCTTCCGGTTTTTGGAAATGCCTGGAAAGTGAACGATTTGCTCGGACTTTGTTTCTTGCCTGTTTTGTATCTTTTATAGTTTCCGTTGTGGTGCGTCAATTCAGATGAAATTTGTTACATCTTATTAGTTAGGCTTTGTAGAACATTTCGCTCGTGTTTTAGTGTTGGAGGTTGTTGGTAAGAACACGAATTCGACGATAATGTTCCATTTTTGGTGTCTTCGAACTGTGATTTCGTGCAATAATTGATTCTGTTGACAAATGGTTTCATTTTGTAGCGGGGGTTTGTGGCTACATTTTGATGTATAGTTTTATAGGTTTTGATATGGGTTTGGTGGTGTATGCGAATGTTTTGGTTGATAAACAAACACAGTTTGGCGCCGTGGGTTATGGCATTGAGATACGCAATTGATGGATCCTGAAATACAAAATTATGTCATCCTTTAACGCTTTCCTATCCGTTGGAGTCTGGTCTCTGTATCTGTCTTCAGTAAACCTAAAATAAGAATACTGCAATGTTCCATGGTGGCGTTTTTTAATTACAGGTCGTGTAGACCATTCTTGCTTGACTAGCAAAACATTGACTTTCGGACGTTTGCGGCATTTCGCCTTTTACATCATATACTTTAATCCTAGAATACTTACAATATTTTACCATACCGCAAGCCTATTCATTTGGCCATTCAATCATAAACTAAATTTTGTCTTGAAAAAGTAAATTTTCCAGATTTGTTGAAATTTCTACCAGAATTTGTCTGCTCCCCCTCCGTCCAATTTCTACGATCACCGGCCATGGGATTGAATAAAAACTCACTCCATGTCAAAATACAAATGGCTACAACCAATAACAACAGTCAATAACATTTAGATATCTTATAACAACAGACAGGGCCGTCCATATATTCATCCCATTGAGTTAGCTTCATTCCCCGTTTCAATTAGCTTCATTCCTACGTCATCACTAACTTCAGTTAGAGTCATTCTAAGTGAAGCCGTTTTCTTTCAATTTCTCTAATATCGCGGGTGCGTGAGCCTTTATTTGTGGTTGTTTACAATCATATCTTTATTAGTTTGCATGGTGAAACTTTTGGGATCAAGATTCAGCTTGGTTTGGCTGTAATTGGAGATTTATCGAAAACGAACGAATTTTGTCCACCATCTTGAATGAAGCTAACTGCAGTTAGAGTCATCCAGTTGTGGAACAGTAATTCAATCCCTAAGTTTGGCAACCGTGAGTTTTTATTGGATGACATACCAATATTTGAACCTTAATTTTATTCATTAATTGCAATTTTATTATTAAATTTATGACTATAATCTTTATGATATTTCTTAAATCGCAAAACATACACGGATTTTGATTAGTGATCCAGAGGTGGACTTCCGGCTGTCAAACTTATCGAGGGAGTGTACATCATCTCATTTATTATAGGTAATATTAACATACATAATATGAAGATATTAGTTTCCTGTTCCATTAATGCCGTGGTAATAAATCTGCCACTAGAGTGCATTAGGGTTTATATAATCAATTATTGGATAAACCCTTTTGATTTCCTTATAGTGATTGTACTTTAATTTTATGACCTTCAAAAGAGAAAATAACCTATTTCGATTATGAAACTGTTTCAAAGACATTCAATTTAATAAATGTTTTTCTATGAAACATACTGTATAGGTTATATTATTGTCATGGTCAAAGATGTAATTATATGACTTTTTGGTATGTATTGGTGCATAATCAACCTCTGGCTGAAAATCAAATTGGGTGACCCCAAAACATAACAATGTATTACAAATATGTCTAATCATGAGGTACAACAAATACCGAATGTCCTAAAAAAACTATACACAAAATGGATGGGAAAAACGGGGTTCTCTTTTATCAAAAAGTTGAACTTTTCACATGATAAAGAAATTTCTTTTTCTAATTAGCACATAATTACTTACAGAGATATTTGACATTTTAGATGATATGCTCCAATTTACCTCCATCATGAAGCTGGATGCGCATGCGCTGTTGAAAATTGGAAAAATGAGTGATGGTACTAAATCTAGCTTTTCTCTAAAACTCAAAAGAGTAGCCTGGTGAAAGGTTCAGATGTTCGTGATAATTGAATTGACTATCAAATGATTAGATTTAAAACATATTCCACTTTTATCACTCACAGGTTTATTCCATGTTTATCTCGGTAATTTTGAGATACAACCCCGTGTTATTACAACATTACTATATCTACAATATATGAATATTTTGAATAAACTTGTTTTTTCTTTTTCATCATTACATTGTATGTAGTTTCTTAACAACAATACACACACTACATTATATTCTCATTGAGCTTGTTACTGTTTTCCGATCGGTCCTCATTATTGTGGAATAGTATATTGTTCAGATTATTCAGTTTATCCGAATCTGGCGTTGTGTTTGTTTTATTGCGAGGAGGTTCCGAGTCAAAGGTAGTGTTTGCCATGCTATCACGGATGTCCAGTGAAATGTTTGAGGTATTTTGAAGGTTGCTGCAGTTAGAACTGAAATCATAATCAAATCTGATTCTTGGCTAGGTCACTGGTACTCCACTCGGTTACGCCAGTTGTCGAACGAAGAACCGTACCCTCGATGTTCCGACATTTTGTTACCGAGAAATGGTCCGTTTCGGTAACCGGCGTAATCGAGTGGAGTACCAGTGTAGGTGATTTATCGCATGAATTGCACACATTTCAAAGCGATTTAAATGTAGAAAGAATATTGCCATGACTCTATTGTCTATCGTAAGAATTGTTACTTACTGCGTATCGTCAGTTGGCTTTGGTAGCGGTCTAGAAAAATCGTCACGGCCTTCAAGCCAATGAGTAATCACTTTGCCTTTACCCTAAAATACATGTAAAATAAAGGCACTATTTCTTCAACTTTGATAAGAGTGCAACACGCATCATAGAAGCATTACAAATGGACAACTTGCGTTAAGTTAACAAGGCAAAAGCAGGAACATGATCTCGCTGGGTACTTATTAAAATTCAAAACAGAGCTTTATAAACCATTAATTCAATTCACCTTTATTTCCACGACTCCTCTTTCTACCGTTTTGTATCCCCTGTGCTGAATTAGGGCGCCGTATGCATTCGGACTTAATTGGATTTTACAAGCTATAGGGAGAAAAAATATGTCCAATAAAGAGACGATTCATAAATTCTATAAACTGGTATCGGTGTTTTATGTTTTCCCAGTTTTTCATTTTGCTGTAATATCTATTTTACTCTTTGGAGCTAAAGAAATTTAAATCCTAAAACTAATTAGATATTTTACGTTCTTTGTCTTCTCATTAGACATGCATACCATAATCTCAATTATATCTGTTATCTATACTTAAAATTTTGGATAATGCTCTTTTTAGTAAATATCAATATATACTTTTTATATATATGATATATATCTATAGGTTTTACATGTGATAATACAAGACGATGAGTAAATCTTACCTAATCCAGTGGATTCCATCCTTGATGCTGTGTTGATGGTATCTCCAAAGAGACAATATCGAGGCATGGTATGACCAACAACTCCTTAAGAAATCATACAATATTATATATTATAATATATACAGAATATCACATTTTGAGTGATGTTATTTTTATCGCCGAGTTAATATCAACACGAGTGAGCAAAGCGAATGATAGTTGACCTTGGACATCAAAATGATATCACGAGAAACGATCTGTTATTGGGTTAATCCCATGATTACAATACTTTTGTTATACTCTGAACCAATTTCCCAGACAATTCTTCTACTGCGCAGTTATTTGCAATTCTTTCCCTTAATGATCTAGTTCGGCATAAATACCATTTTCATCGTTATTTAGCAGCATCCTAATCAAACTACATACACAGCCGTAATTAATGTCATATATCAATGTAACTTCAACAGAATAGACCATCTGACCTATCTTCCCACAATATTGTGGCGCGAAATTCAATTTTGTTTATCACACGGATATACGTGTGATTAATGATATCAACCGCATACGAGTATGAGTTTGATGATTTTCTGGAAAATGTCACATGATTTCAATAATATCAGAAATATCATTAGCTGTTATTGTACAGATAACACATTAATCGTTAGGTAAAATAAAATAAATACAGAATATCAGATCATTTTGAGTGGTATTATGTTCATCGATGAGCTGATATCAAATATCAACACGAGTGAACAAGGGATTAAAATGATATCACTATAAATTATGTCATATTTGGTTTATCCCATGATTACAATTAAATTCGTTTATCACACGGATACATGAGGTTGATAAACTATTTTCTGAAAAATATCATACGGATTTGATTAATATCAGAAACATCACTAGCCTAGCTGTTAGTGTGTCCATTCACTTTAATTTGTAGAAACATAGATTCAAATGACTTCTGTACAATTTGTTTGTTACAGTGAATTCTTTTTTTGTGGCTTACAAGCACCTGTTGTTATTTGTGTTCACCATACGCAGTTTGCGCTTTACACATTACTGTACGCACCTGCGGCACAAGGCCCTGTGTTAATCCCTACTCTAGCCTGGAGTGATTTCTCTGGGAAATGAGCAATTTTGAATGTCATTACCGAACTCATAATGTCCAAAGACATGTCGGCAATTTCCGTTATATGTTTATCACCGTTTCTAACTGGCACTCCGCTCACAACCATATATGCATCACCTATAGTCTCAACCTAAATACATACAAAGTTTTGAAAACAAATATATCACTGACATTGCTTAATGCGTACACACTTGGTGAATATTTTTTAGAGGTAATGCATTAGTATGCTGCACGTGTTCTCTGATACGAAAGATCTCTCAAGAAACAACATGGACGAACGTGATTTCGATAACACTTCTGAACTTCTCCAATGGATATACTCGTATGTTTATGAGGGAAACGGTGAGAAAATGGTCCAAAGACGTTTCATGCAATATAATGATCACTAAGCAAACAGTTTTGATTTTGATCCATACCAGAAAAAACATCACATTCGAAAGTGGTAAATGTTCAATCCTACCTTATAGACATCATATTTCCCAATTATTTCATCAAACATAGTGTAAAGGTCATTTAGGAAAACAACAATTTCGAGTGGACTACTTTTTGCTGCCAGCAATGTGAAACCCACAATATCGCTGAAGAAAACGGTACTATTTTCAACCATTTCCGGTGCCACGTGTCGTCCAAGCTTCAGTGATTCGGCAATTACACTGCAAATGGAGGAGCTCATTATAATTATCCCTTATGGCTATTTTGTAACTTCATCCATAAGAACCTTGTACTAATTAGTTGGAGGCATGACCTTGTTGATCTTTGACAAGGGCGAAACAATACTTTTATAATTTTACGCTAATGAGACAAGTGCAAGTCGTTAAAAAACCGGCAAAGGTCGTTTCAAGTGATCAATAACGTAAAATCGTGTTCAAAAATGTTCATTCCGAGAATTTTTGTATGTGTCGATTCAAAAATGGTTTATTATTGTTATTTTGGCCTTGCCCACCAATAGATTAACACATTATGGTCCAACTTACGGGGGTAACATATTATATAACAGGGCGTCTGTCTTCTTCTTTTCATCGACCAACTCCTGCGTTCGCTGATCTACGATCTCCTCTAAGTTATTGGCATAAGCTTCCATCTTAATAAGCATCCTGTCCACTATGTTTACCTTTCTGCAATAACAATGATGAGCACATTAAATTTTTGTTTTTTGGTGACCAAAACTTAGTATTCTGATTTACAATCCCCTCCAAAAGTTCGGCAACCTTAGCTCCCTCATTGTACTACAGTACTTGTTAAAGCCTCTTTATGTTTGAATTTTTATTTACATAACCTGCGAGGAAAATAGTTATAAAACAATGTAAATGTAACTTGACTTCCTTTCCAATGCCTCCAAATTTATCAACTTTTTTTCCTCAATTACAATAGGTCGGATATTGTAAACCAATGGGAAATGTAAATTTAAAACTGAATGCCATTATATTGAAAGAGAATGGAAAACACACAATAAACACATATCGTCAGTGTATCCATATCATTGCCTCAAATGAAAATTAAAAATATGAAACATGAAAATGTATTCCTAATTTTTATCTAATGACCTACATCAAGCAATTTCAAGACAACTGAAAAATTCAAACAAATTATATACGGATACAATCAAAACCATCTTGAACCTCTGTTATAGAAGATTATCGATGAATTACATTATTACTCTATCTACTGTCAAAACGCCATCGTGAGAGAAAAGCAAAGTACGTCTAACCGAATATGAAAACTTTAAAATGTAAACCAAATCATATGGTTTTAATTAAGAACGAGGAATCATACCCAAATAGGGATCAGTGTGATACCTGTTTAATGACCATTGATTTCCAATGATATTAATGAAGCATATATGCAACACGTTGTGTTTGAAAGAAGGAAGCCGGGGTTCTATCCCGGGGGTTCTATTCTTTGTACCAATAATTAAACGTAAAATAATGATTTCACTCCAATGCACAAGGGAGGATTTCTATATAAAAGTCTGATATCAAATGATGGTTTCATATACACACTAACTGTTCAATGACACATATGCATTCAATCAAAGATGTTGTTGTAAGGTAAGTCTTATTACATAGAACATGGATATATTGGACATTAATCATTCTATGTGGCATTGGCTATTAATTAGAGGAATCTATGACTGCATGCAATTGAATTATCTTTACTATTTTAACGCCTTTTAATCATTAAGATACAAGCATCTATCTATCTGTATTGGAATTATCAGTTAGTATGAAGTAAATGGGTAAGTACAGTATTAGATGGTGAAACTGATATACTGTTCACAGTGACATAGTTGGTTGTTTCAAAGAACACATTTTATTTTGTAAATCATATCATACCGCCCTTTATTTGTTGATATTATGATTTTCTTTACTTCAGCACAAGTTGGTCTGAATTCGGGATTCTCCTGCCAACAATCGTACATCAAATCCATGAGCGTTGCATCTAATTCATCGCCTTTTGGAACTGTTGGTCGAAATGGCGGATTTTCTGCTCTTGCAATACGTTTCACAATATCTGGAATCATTTCGACTGGATTTTTATAAGCTTTAAAGCCAATTAACGTTAAATAATATCAATATAACCATAAACTGAAATAAGGAGTTTAAAAAAACTTCACACTTTTTTGATTGTATTTACTAATGGTGTCATCTGAAATGTTTTATTATTACAGATCAAGCACAATCGTCAGAGGAAGACATAATGTTTAAGCATCAAAAATGAAAGGCATTTTTATTACGACTCCTTGTTCTGTTTTCTTATATGTTGCATTGAACTCACATTGGAATTCAGAACAAGTTATCGTTTTCAAAATAAACGTCTGCATCCAATTGTAAAATATAGCATCGAGGCCGGGACCAGGGCTAAGATCAAGAGGCAGTCACGCACAGAACAATCGAGACACCATGACGCTATACTATTTAGCCATAAAATAATACTATTGAATACCAAGAATCATGATGTTCGAATGAACAAATTATTGATATAAGCATCTCCCTTCTTGTCAAATAGAAAATGTTATTTTCTACGTTGCCCGTAGATTTTCCAGAAGTGGTTCAATCAAACACATCAAGACACTAAATGGCTTTTGAGAATTGTTCTGGGCGTGATATATAAATGGAAATCCTTTTCTAGACCCTATTGTTGATAATTAAGTGAGAAGAGAACGAGAATATTATTCTCAGGCGACGATATAATAGGTCTGATTATTCTTAATGCATCCTTGTACACGACGCTGGCCAACAATAAGTGTGCTTCCATGAAAAGGTAAATGCCAATTGGGGAGAGACAAAAGCATTACAAAGCATAGTATAAAAAACACAAAAGCATAACAAGGCAAGGGAAAATCCCAACTATCCCAAACTCTGATCAAATGCTAGAATAACGATATCTAACACCGCCTCTCGGGAGCGTTCAGGAACCGTTGTCACAATTCAAAATCACAAAAACAATGAACATTGCATTCATACTTTAGCAATAAAATACACATTGAAAACGTTTTCCAACACTCTTGACAATTTACTTTGATTCACTACCTTTTGGTGACAGCTCTAATGTAGAGTATGGTGACTCTCTGAATAACAGCTCATGTAATATGATAGCAAAACTGTAACAGTCCCCTTTTGGAGTTCCTTGTTTAGGTGGCTCCGTCATCCTGAGCAGTTCTGGAGCTGTCCAGAGTTTGGCTAAAACAATACATACAATAGTTATACTTTGTATGCCAGATAAATATTTGAAATCATTTAGTTTGTTTTTCTTGCTGTGTGTGTTCTGAGACGTGTTTTTCAATCTGAATTTCAAATAAATTAAGAAATTCTTTATAAATTGAAATTGTACTGTGTCATACTTACCATAATACTCTGAGTCTTCACCCTGTGCAGTTTTACATGCTAGATGTAAATCATGCAAGCCATAATCCGAAATCTTCAGTTGCCAACGTCCGTCAATCAAACAGTTGCTGCTTTTCAAAGAACCATGTGAAGCGAGTTTTGTACAGTGAAGATAGTGTATGCCCTAGAAATAAAGAGATAATTCCAATACTCATAGTATATAACCAAATTATATATGGCAGATACTTCCCAAATACCCCAGTACCTATTGTGTGGGCCCATGTTGTATAATATATATAATATAGGTGTTCCACATACTCAAATAATCTTATAATATGTTTATTTATTGTTTATTATTTTTTTGATAATATCTGATTACCAGTGGATACAATAATATGCAAGACAATGTTTACATACTCCGCAAATATACACACAGTCTCCCTCAAAAGTTGGGCAATTCAAAGCCCCCCTTTGGGCTACGCATAAAAGCCTGTTATGTTTGGTAATTTTGAAATATTCACCAAAATACATTGTCTTGAATTTTTGTCCTATTGTAACCGTGAAACTAAAAGTAAGATTCAAATAAACACAAACACGGTTTGATTGGTACTTCCGGTTGGCCTGGGGTAACAATTTAATGCTTTGAGTCTTGAATATGGCTCTAAATATGATAAAACTATTATTTTTACTTAATTTCTTTTTAAACAGTGTGCATTAATATCAAAATAAAATAAATATGACCATACCTCTATCAGATCTACTAAAAACGAGTGCTTGAAGAGGAAGTCCAGTTTAACATCCGAATTATTGATGATATCCTGAAAAAACACGAAGTATACGAATAATAATCAGGATTACAGAAAATCATGCCCGTTGAAGATCATAAGTATAACAGGTGTCTTATTTAATTTGTTTCAAAAAGGATAAATGGATTCACTTGTACCTCAAGACTTCTCTTTGGACAAAATAATGTGACAATACTGCATGAGTTTTTGGCGTCCATGCATATGCCAAAGAATGGATTGATGTTCTCGTGGTTGCACTCTTTCATCTGCAAATACAATATTTTATTCTAAAACAATTTAGTTTAACGATTGCATTAGTCCAGTTGAAACATTTACCAATCTATATTACATATACAGGGTGGGCCAAAAAATTTGCAACCTTTTAAGAAGGCAAAAAAGTATCATGACATTATGGTATTGACATGATTTTTTTTACAGAAACTTAAGGATAGGCATATTTTATCATTCAAATACTTCAGCTAATTCTGACTACAAATTTTTTGTCAGATGTTTGAATATTAATGGTAAATTGTTTATGTGTCCGAGATTTACCGATTTTCCTAGAAAATGTGATTTTCTATAATTTTATGTGATCATCGATAGAACATTAATATGTTCACTAAATCTGCTGCAATCTTTTTTAAGTGGTGTATTGGGCGGCTATTCATCAGGACTAATGAATCAAGGGGTATTTTGCTCCAGATATTCCATAGTGACTTTTGGCCAATGGTCAGGAGCGCTATCATGCTGGAATATGTAATCACTTGGGGCTGAAAGAGCCCCCATTCTTGAAAGATGTCCCTTTTGAAGAAGATTAGTCCTTAGTCGTATGGCCACCCAATACACCAGATGCAAACCCCTGGGACTATCACACATGGGGGCACCTGGAGCAATGTATTGTTGTCGATGGTTAAACCCCACAAATGATTGATCAACTATAAGAAGTTCTGCAGGATAAGTGGAGACGACTACCACAAGAACTGCTGGATCTTGCCAATGACCAGTTCGGTTCTCGTCTCCATGTGATTGTGAAGGTGAAAGGCGGATGCATAGAACATTTGTTTGATAAATAATTAATACAGTGTAACAACAATATTACCATAGTGACTAGATACTGATATAAACCTGTACTAGACATTGGTTAAACAGTTATCAAAGATTGTAGCAGATTTAGTAAACATAATAGATGTGTTATTGTTGATCACATAAAATCATACAAAGTCAGATTTTCTAGGAAAAATGGTAAATCTCAGACAAATGAACAATTTACCATTAATATTCAAACATCTGACAAAAATTGAAGTCAGTATTAGCTTATAAGTATTTGAATGGTAAAATATGCCTATCCTTAAGTTAAGTAAAAAAATTCATGTCAATACCATAATATTATGATACTTTTTTTGCCTTCTAAAAAGGTTTCAAAATTTTTTGGCCCAACTTTTTTTGCAACTAAAGCGGAAAAAGTTGCTAAAATTGCAAAATGAAATAGATTCCAACTAAAAAGCAATAAACTTAGTATTAACAACAATTTCTTCTTTGCAATATTATCAAATAATCGTATAGATTGCATTGAATGAAATGAAATAGTAAGTGTTGTATATTACGTCAAAACAACCGTACAACCTTGGATGATGAAACCTTTTCTTTATCCTCGGTACAACTTACTATTTTCATTTCCTCATAGTCCGTTTTGTTTAGTGAAAGTACTGCACCATCAACTTTTATCGACTTAAGGTGGACAGTATAACCTTTATAAATTCCTGAAAATGAAATTAATAGCATGTTATCATTTCGGGTATGATGTACTAACAATTTTAAGATTTGTATGCGCCTCACTAACATGGCAATTTCAGGAGTGCACTGCAAGAAAATTTAACATTATTATAGTTATATATATAATATATATTATATATACACAGTCTTACAAATGCTGATACACTGACTCAATCTGAAATAGTTCAAATCAATCTCAAACTTCTGATCTTTGAAGAAATGCGTGACGTCATTTAACACTTTAATTGACATTAATGGATAGAGAATGAATTTCAAATACTCTCAGTTATGCATCGGTGATTACATTCAAAGAACTATTACTACAGTTCTTTTCATCACATAACCATAAGGGGCTTACCAATTTGATTATTCCAACTGCCCGCCAGGAGTCCACTTCCAAGACTTGGAGCATGCGTTCCCGAGAAGTGAGTGTTCTACAACAGCACGCCCATTTTGCAATTATATTTTTGACACAAAAGAACTAACTTGGCAGAAATGTATAAATTTAAAAACTAGTGTAATTTTTCTGAGTACCAATTTAGTGCTAACTGACTAATCCAGTCAATTATAGACAGAAGTGGGTTAACTTATTGTTAACTTAGTACTCAAATAGTTTAGTATTCATTTTCGGATACACACTTGGCACTCAAAATTTTCTGTACTGACCAGTGCTAAATTTGCACTATTTTCAGTATCAAATTAGTACTTATATAATTTAATTTGCTAGTGCATAGAATGGATATCATATTTATACAGGGGAATATTATGTTAGAATATAATTACAATATAATACAACAGTACAGTAATGGAGTACCAAATCTATATACAGGGTGTCCCAAAAAGTATATCCAAATTAGACAGGAATAATTTTGTTTTCCTTCATCGAAAAACGAAAAAAGTTGAACTGTAGATATATTATAAAGAAAATTAGTTTGACACTTTAGATGTCTTGCTCTGAATTGAATTACCTGTTGAAACCGTTAGATATTTATGATGATTAAATTGTCTTTCAGATGACTGAATTTCAAGAATATTCCTCCATCACTATCAGCGTTATTCTATGTTTTTGCCAGTACAACATTAAAACATGGATGTGGCAAAAAACAAGATGGTTTTTAAAACTAAGAAGAGTTTTCTAGTGGTATCTTCATATCTTTATGATAACTTTAGTTGTAAAAATATCATCATGCACAGAGTTTGTCTCAGTACAATGTTTTGGGACACCCTGTTAGTGTATATTCCTCCCAACTTACAGTGCTGCCAACTGAATTATAACCTGAGGATCCCTTGGATTTTGGTTTGATTGTCATAATCTCATCCGGACGTATTTTCCACATATCCAACATTTTTTCGTGGTCATGTTTCCTTTTCCTAAGATTTAAAACAAGAGATATCAAAACGAAAACAATAAAAGAAGCATTTTGCCTTTTTGCATCCTTCTTCAAAGGACTTCATTTATGCTTAAATTCATATATACTTGTAAAATACCGTTGCAGCAAGGATGCCTTTTTGTGGAAAACAGTATTTTTAATTGTTGTATGAAGTTTGGTCTTCTTCACCCGTACTGTTATAGATACTTTACAAGACAGTAAATATATACTACGTTTGTTAAATATGGAAAAATATACCTTAAGAACATGAGTATAACTAATCCAAGTACAAGGGAGAAACATACTACAACGCCCAATATGATGCCTATCAATGCACCATCTGAAACACAATGGAGACCATACATGAACAAAGATAGATATTTGGCATACTGAGTGATAGTTCATATGCTAGCCGGAAAAATCAGGAATCAGCTATATTTTGGATCGGTAACTCCTATTGAGGTAATAGTCACGTGGGCTAGCGAGATAGAGATAGAAAAGATACTGGTTCAATTCTTGAAAGTCGGTAATTACTTAAAATATAATCTCTGTAGCTTGTATTATATTGCATGGGGTTCATGATAATTTCTACAATACCTGACAGAGAGTTATCCACCTCACAGTATTGATTGTAGAAGCCACATACGGGAATACCAAGTGGTGGCCTACGATCTTTGGTCTTCCAAAATGGCTCTGCCTCAACATGGAACCTCTATAAATGATATGGGTAAATTAAATTATATGTGTAAAGGATCATCCACCGATCACAAGGCATCAAAATCCAGAATATATTATTTCTTTTTACCCCCTGCGATAAGCAGTTAGCATTAAGAACTCGCAATCTGATTGGCTGTCGCAACACTGCGACAGAAATCATGTATAAACACTTGTTGCCAAGAAAAAACCTTCAGTGTTGATGTTCACTGCAGAGAGGGTAATTAAAACAGAAGTAAGTGTAAAATATGCGGGCTGCGGGGAAGGGACGGGTGTTCACTAGAGACAGCTTTTACTGTTTAATGTATCGGGGGTACAAATTTAAAGGACTTGGTGCAAATCTATTAACAGATTATGAATATGACATACCAATATTCAGGTATCGTGATGCAGGTAACAATTGACTAACCATGGTGGCATATAATGGTGTGTGGATTGGTACCTGTTTGATTGGTTTGTCCATATCGATGGTTCCAAAGTGTGTAAAGTCGTTTTGGGATGGAACTAGCTGCCATATCCAGAAGTCTGGCTCTCGCTCTGCGTCCTTGTCTAGCTTTACCCTGCCACTTTTACCTGAGGAAACATCATAGTAAACAGTATATGTTAACCTCATTTATTTTCGTTCACACTCCTAGATCTAGAATTATAGCGAATATTATTTTTCGTATCATGTTTAAAACATTGAATCGATCTATGTAAACCATCATCTCGCGTTTTATCATACGGCATTTTAAATGAAATAATAAAAATAATTAATTGTTTGAGTAAAAAAGAAGTAATGAACACTGAGTACCATCAAATTCAATTTCCTTAGCATTTTCAAACATTAGTCTGCCATCTGACAGACTACCTCCCCTCTGTATTGTCTTATTGACTGTCATTAGGTACACCAACACTGTGTCGTAGAGGTAAAGGGAATACATTGAACCCTAAAAAGAAGGAATTTGTAGCCTGCTAGCATAAACAATGAAGTTATTTAATGATACAGGATATATTCTGCTCGAGAAATTTTGTATTGGAACGAGACGAAGTCGAGTGCCAATACAGAATATCGAGACAGAATATATTCTGTATTGCACTTCTAATCATTCAATAACGTTTTTATCGTGTGATCCTCTGTAATGGCTTTGTATAAAAAACGTCCTACCCACGTACCCTCGTACCCACGTACGTGGGTCCTGACCCAGTCTTTAAAGAGTTAATTTTTTAAATGTTTAAAACATTATTCAATCTCAGTTTATCCTGAATTATAGATGAATTTATGCATCCATATGCCTTTATTTATAGATCTGACATCTCTCTAGTAAAATAAAATAAAGCCGGAATTGCATAAATGTTCATTATTTTTGAGCTATTTGATTTATGTTTTTGATATGTCGAAATGTTTTTTGTTGATCGGGCAGTCTTACCTGTATAACACATCAGTGCTGATTAGAATATAGTCCGGAGTAGGGATACTAGCGGTTACTTGGTTTCTGTATAAAAAAGCTTTTTCTCCTTTTCTGTCCCGTCGCAGCGCCATCTAGTGTTTGATAAATGAATCTAGGTTTATTCTCGATAGGGTAAGTACTAATTGTGATGATCCTCCCATACTTAATACAATGTTATGTGTTTATTCTGAGGATTATCACTTTGTTTAAATTGCTCTTACCTTTATTTATCAATTATGTTTGTAGATACTTCATAATTCAGGAGTTTATTCAGAATTTTCTTATTTCACTACTTCCTTATTCAGCCTTTTGTTGATAGTCTCATATTAAAAAGTTTATATGTGAATTTCTTACACTAGACACATTATGCCAACTTTATATCAAATGTATGTCATGTTATTGTTTATTTTATCAATATTTAATGTTTATTAGGTGTGATTGTTTATAGGGGGCCAAACTAAGCGATTACATTTTATTTTGAGACTATAAAATTTTGGCTAGATTTGCATGAATCATCAGTTCTTCGGTGGGACTTTGAATCACCGGCAAGTAACAGGAATTAACTTTCTCTCTGCATTTTGGAATTAATACACATACATATTGGATATATAACATCTTATTAGATACACTAGCCTATGTGAACGGGTTGGTAAGGTAATGGAATTACTTTTACTCTAAAACAGAGAAACTGTTTATACTTTTTCCTTGTTGGTGAATCTTCTGATTTCTCTCACTCATTTTATAGCTTCATTTACATTAGCATAAATTCATTTAAACCACGTTGAGGGTTATTATATCAGGTTCATAAAGAATATTCAGGACCATTTTGTTTGATTACGACTTTGATTTCGATCTGCCTGGTCACGCCTTGACTCAAACTGTGGCTGTACGTATTTATATAGCAGATTGATTTGAACTCTCAGAATTTTATTTCTAATTAAAACCTCATAAGCATTGAACGAGCTACGTGTACATTATTGTGAGAAGCATTTCTGATTCATTTGAAATTTACAGATTGACCTACATGTATATTTAAGATTCAATCGCCAACTTGGTATTTTTGGCTTTATCTTATATAATTTGAGGGTAATATCTGCTTGCCAGTGTTGATTATTTGAGTCACTAGAATATTCATACTTAAAATCTACATTTTGAACTGAAAACTTGAGAGAACTACCAGCTATTTATTTCACTTTTATATATATTGCAACTGCCTAATGTATTCTATATATCCCCAAGGTCGGGTTTGATTTGGCGTAATTAAGCTATGGCAATTTATTTGCTGCTACACTGTTAGTCTGTGTGGCTCTTGAAGTAAGATATAACCCCCCCCCACAGCATGGTCTTGAAGAATTTGAACAAGCGTTGCATATTTAACTGTACCAGTAATATAGAACATTTCCCGAGACGAGTTGGTTTGGAGTTTTTCTAAGGCAATCATCAAATTTGCTGATACTCCGAGGGGTCTGTGATGCACCTGGTTAGTATCATCAGGCATGGACTAGTGACGATTTTTCAGTTGTCAAACAGCTTCACAGCAATAATCGACTTTTGAGCGCTCAATTGATTTCACTGGGCATATTTTATTTACTTTCCTTGAGATTGATTACATTTATATTGGAAATTCTTAGGGAATCTAGCAATTGTTGTATTTTTCACCCCATAACCTAATTATTCAAAACATCCCCGGGCAGGGTTTGATTTTGGGTAAGCAAGGGGAATTAATTTGCTGATACCCTTATTCGTCCCAGGGAACTAAGCATAGCCAGTGTTGGTATTAATTTGCTAATATAAAGCCTCACAGCATTTTAAATCTTTGTGTGCCTTTGTAATTACTGTGAGAAGATCCTATTTGGAATTTTGCCTAACTGTCTTAAGTTTTTGTTCCATTTCCTACCCAGTGACTATCCGACCACCTTTATATTTTCATTGCACTAATCAAACCCCTAGTCTTAGTCAGCTCCCATGTGGTCACTTTATCTGTATTACATGTAAACACCTTCTGAACATTTGATCATGATTACTATCCCGAACAGGAGATACATGCCTGTACTCATTGTATTGATGCGTATCTGGCTATTTTAGCCAGTACAGAACCCTTCTAAGAATTTATCTTTTATTGTTTTTATGATGACAATACAACCCCCCTTTTGCCTGTATTGAACTTATTAGACAGGTCATTTTACCAAGTGAGGAAAACTGGCAGGCAGAATTACGGTTATCAAGTTACGTTATAGTTTGCATTGAATTTCCTAGATACACTGAATTTCATAAGTGTATTTGACTGAAAAGAACGTTACTTTCTGTTGTTTTGCATAACTGACGGTAAATCTATGTAGAATTGTGTAACCAAACACATGTATATATTTTGAAATAGAGTTGAATTATATTCATTTTATATAATTTCCCATTACATTCTCTGTTGTGTTGAATGATTGTGTAAAGTGAATGTGGTATCGATCAGTGTTTGAAAAGACCCCCATTCCCATATATTTTACAATCTATTATCAAGCCAGACCATTAAAAATCCAGATACTTGATAGCTGGGTAACCCAGGACCACGCTACCCAACACCCTGGGTTGCCACATAATCTATCAGGAAACATTTACAAGTTTGGTTAGAAACAGAATTTTTATAGATGGCGGAGTGATTTTTGAGACTATGTAGAGCAGAATAATTTTCTGAAACAGGTAGCTTTACGGTGGTAGCTCTCTCCAGATTCAGTTATCTCGAAAACGGTGTGGTCACCGTATGCTTATTTTGTAACGGCAAGCTAGATAAGACTCCAATGAACACTGGGCACTGTTTCGCTGAGCTAGATCCATCTGTGCCCATGAATATATTATGAAATGAAACGTTATAATGGTCGTCAATGGGATTTTTTACTGCAATCTTGACCCTTAGCAATCTCCTAGCCTTCGTTCAGTGCAATCCGTGCCTCCTGTTACCTCATGCAGATTGTAAATGTCCCGGGAAGTTTACCCTTGTCCAAAAGTTGACATCTTTTTAAAAATATATTTCTTAGAGTTTCCAACCAATTAAATTCACCACATTTTATTAGATGTTTATTTCAAATGTTGTAGAATTCATTCTTACGAATATTATACGTTATTAACGTATGTTAGTCAAAGATTTGGTGTCGTTGTTGTCCATTGTATTCACGTTTTACGCGCAAAAAGCTAGAAACTACAAAGCTGAACTTTTATCATTCAAACCAGTTTTACATCAAATCATTGTCAAAATAAAACTCTTCATATTACCTAATTATGGATCAAACGGCCATGAATAATGTCGAAGTTTACAAAACCAAACTAACACTCCCCTGCATAAGTTTGGCAACTCTAACTTTTAATTCCATCTAAATGATTCACTGAACTAGTGCGCACAATTATCCTTAAATTGTGCCAAAAAGCGATTAAAAACGAATATAGCGAATCCTTCTACTTTTCAAATATTTCGTTATTCAATTGCGCCACGGTTAAACAGAAATGCAGCCTTTGTTATTCCTTGAGATCGTGTGAATTGATCACTCTATCACTTTGTATCTCCAATTCTGATGTTAAATTAAATAAAAGACATAAGACAAATACACGTATAGTTCAAATCTGTCGTGCAAACAATGAATACTTGTAATATCGTTTGAAAGAATAAAAAGTATATGTGATAAAAATCGAAACTACAGGGTGTTAAAAAACAGGACCGACGAAAAGTTGAATAACTTCGTCAATCCAGAATCATTCAGGTCATTCAATGTGAATTTTGTTGTGAAAGTTTGACCATATTCTGCTCATGGAGTCAAAAACTTCAGCACTTTACAACACATGCCCCATGTGGCCAATTTGCGCCAAGCAATAGATTGGTTGTACACTGTAAGACTGCCCGATCAACAAAAAATCGCTTCGATATAAAAACAACACTCAAATAGCTCAAATGAACATTATGCAATGCCGGCTTTATTTTATGACGAGACAGATGTCCGATCTAGAAATAAAGGCATATGAGTACATAAATTCATCCATAATTAAGCATACATTGAGATAGAATAATGTTTAAAAAATGTTAAAGATTTAACTCTTTAAAGACTGGGTCAGGACCCACGTACGTGGGTACGAGGGTACGTGGGTAGGAGGTTTTTTATACAAAGCCCTCTGTAATTGCTACTGAGATTGTCCCCTCCGTACCAATATTTTCTGTATTGCGATGGAGACGATCAGCGGGGACAATCTCAGTAGCAATACAGATTGGTACAGCACAAGAACTGACCGATCAGAGGGCTTCATTTTACAGATCATACGATAATAGTAAGTATTGGTCAGAAAAAGTGCTCTTAAGTTTCAAAGCTTTTGGATATTTAATGACGACTCGACTATTCATAATTATGCTCTTCCTTTGAGCAAGGGTCTCTCTTACAAGTTCCTTTCTCTGTAAAGGTCAAAGTGATGAGGAAACGACAAATGCACCATATTACCTTTAACCCATTCAAATACGTTTTATTGAAGTTCCAGGGTTCGTCCATCATTTTAATGGCTACTTGTTCTCTGAATCGATCTGACTCTTCATTTTTCACTGCAGAAACTGTGATCTACAACGGACATCTCATGTATGACTTGATTGAACCAATTACGAAAATTACGAATTAGGTTGAGACATCTCACATGACAAACTAAATGCATTGCTAGTACGTATACCATTTTCATCTAGAGTAAGTACACCGAGCCTCTGGGCCTAATTAAATGATGCCCATATTATTTAGCAAAAACCTTTCAAAGGGATATAAATTGAGCTTATTGAATGTAACGGAACGTAACTCTAGTAAATTCCAAGACGAACCTGTAGCAAAGATTCGAACAATCTCTTCTCGAAGAGAAGACCTTTATTCTCCTCATCCTGACCGGGTGTTATCAAATCCAGCCATGGACGGACCATGTTTTCGTCTGGCAACATACCGAACGTCGTGAGGAACACGTACTCTCCATTCGTCATTCCCAACCTGCTAGCGTGGTACAAAATATGCTTCACCTCCCCAGGAAATAAAAGCAGAATTATAACTGAAAGAAGAAGGGTGATTTTCACAGGAAAGCCTTGCTTCTGTTATAATAACATCCACCGCTAAATTAACAGTAAACAGGAAATTAAACCCTTTCTTGAAGAACACGCGATCTTCATGAACTAGAACTCAAATCAAATAAATTAATATTGCTGATGGGTAGCTTTCGCTACCTCTGCTAGTAAATGACACCTTATATTATCTTAAACTACTATGCATAGCTCTTTTATGGCAAAGGTCAGGGAAAGCGAGAAAATTAATGAAAGTGCTGTCTTACTCCTTGCCCTTTTTTGAAACCTTTCTAGATGTGCGTTAATTTCATCACTGCTGATGTTAGATGGTACTTTGACGTCATCAGACAACATAATATTCGCTTTTCTGAATTCGCCCTGAATTGACCGGTGTGCATACGATTCGAAAGAATATTGTCCTGTAAAGAAAGTGTTGTGTGGTATTATTATGGCGCATTGAATTCTTCAAGTAATACCTGAGTAATAATTAAATAATTACTTTATTACGATGTAAATCTTTTCCTAGACTAGTTTGTATTGTATTGTAGAAAGAATATTATTCACCCCTTCCCTTTGTAATACTAAGTTTTATAACAAAGGGAGTTCCTTTACCACTATAATCAACGGACATCATCGCTCCTACAGTCCAATTAAAATATCGAAAAACCTCCACAAACGCCTTGCCCATTTTACTATAAGGTGGCATTACACGCACTAGTGTTTGGAATGTAGTTTTATCTGCAAGCTCGGGATCACTGGATGCGTGTGAAAACACAGGAAAATTCCAGAACGTGGCTAAATGAGAGACAACGATGGCGGCTGAAATAATAAAAGATCAGCAATAAAGGTTATAATCACATTTGGATTATGGGGACTTGACTTGGGAACCTCCTGGATGGTGTGTACATTCCCCTCCAGAAAGGTTGTAACCGCAATTATCTAGACTCAGATACCGTTGTGCAATGTGCCCTGATCATTGGTGATCCACTCGATTACGTTGGTTTCGATAACAAAATGTTGGATCCTCGAAGGTACGATTTTTCTTTTTTCATTATTTTATCACAAACGGGTGTCAGTATCATATATTAGAAAATGCACATGTTTGCGAACAAATAGTTCAGAAGACATGATCAGAATCGTCGATTTAATACTATAGTACGGGTCAGAAGTGCAAAGCTTTTTGAAGTTCTGTTTACGTAACTTAAGTGAGTAACTTAATCGACGATTCGGTTGTCTTCTGACCTAATCGCAAACATAGTACATTGTACATTCCGACATTTTGTTACCGTTTCGGTAACCGGCGTAGTCCCATGGAGTGGATCACCAGTGCTGATGCTGCAATGATATCCTCACTGTTATCCTGTAGCATTGTCAGATCATATATACATCATGTCTTTAGAATCGCCGGGCACATCGAAAAGTGGAGACAATTAGAATGTAACAACTTCAACTATAACTCACTGGTATGGAGGCAGGAAAACAAGAAGTGTTTGTTGCCATTTTTAATTGCTGTCAGAAATATATATGTTTACTTCTCATTGTACCAATTTGCAGGGACCAAGAAGATGAAACGTAGTTCTGGTGTAATATTAGGCGTATTTCAAAGAATATTCAATTTAAAAAAGTAATGTATTCCATGAAATGCTGGATGCCACATCTGTTCAATGGGGAGTTAAATGGAATTGGGGCTTTAAATGTTATGGAGAGAAGACTGTATTTCAACTGTATCCCAAACTAGGCCGTCTAAACCAACATTATAGTTTACAGAAGCTGCTGGAACTAATATTATGAAACATACATCAGCTGCTTTACATCGAGCACTTTGCTGAAGGTTATGACAAATTATCATAGGAAAATAATCACCTGATTACTATAGTACCTAACTGATTTCCCTGGATAGTCATTTTTAAATATGGTGTCTGTATCTTAATATTACCTGCTGAGCAAGCTGGTCCTATTATGGTATTTATGTTGTCATTTGTGATCATGTCAACAGCCATTCCAAGTGCCCTACCAGCATTGCAGGCTCCATTTCTCCATGTTACACTGTAAACAGAATACATGTACAGAATGATGCCACGCGTATAAAATTCATCATATTTTGAACAATGTGATATTAACTTTTGGATGTCATTGTTTGTAAAGCTTGAAATTTAAATGAATGCTAAAATGTGAACAGAAATAATATCTAATGTCTTCCCCCTCCAATCGAGCAACAAGATCAAAATCCAGAACCAGAATAGCAAAGGAAATTTTATTCATACTGAAAAAATTGAAAAAAGTCGATACTCATAACTTTAAAAATAGTTGTAGAGTACTCATTGAAGATATACATGATATAGCATTCAGTCTCAAATGATGTGGGGTAGACAAATTCCACAATTGACAATTTATTAAACAATTCCTACATCCTTCAGCATCATATTTGGTAAAGCTTGAAACTTCGAAATTAATGAAATAGTTTTCTGTATTCTGTAATAATACAATATTGTATATATCTTGTAACGTATAAAAATTATTTTCGGGGAATATATTATCGAAAATCAGGTTATTATAAGATGTTTATGTGCCCTTGCTCAGATCAGCTTCTTTGTAATACTGAAATCTGTAATAACAAGCACTTATGTAAAGAGTGATCACTCATCCAAAATGAGGTATAATGCCTTGAGGTAATATGACTTAATGAAACGATGGAATTTCAATGATATCCTTCATAAATCAAACATTTATGCCTGCGGACATCCGCGATTTCATCAACGTGCAAAGTAAAAATCGAAAGTGTTTTTTGATTATGGCTATTACTGTCCTTGTGACTGACATATATAGGATTAATGCATATGTCACGTACAAAATACTCAATTCTGATATTTGAAAATCGAAAGTGTTTCTTAATTATGACTATTGCGTCTTGATTGTCCTTGTACTGACACGTGATCTACGCTGATCTCACGTACAGAACTTACAATTCGATATTTTGTATTTTGTTTATCCATCCAGCCCACTAAATATGTGTTGCTGCAAAATAGTGTTTAATATATTTGAAAATTACGATAATTATACAACAGAAATCGGCTAAAAGGTTATGTAATGTCATTGTGTGAAATCTGGGCTTTTTATAGTTCTTTTCTGATCTAGTTGAAAATCAGACAACAGTGTCACGTTTCAAGGGTGTGTTGAGTATCAGAATGATGGAATGTCAACGTTAGTTCACGTTGAACTCGGAAATGACCTTCAACGGTGATCTTTTCTCGAGTAATCAACAAAGAGGAAATGAGAAACGTTGCTGCTTAAAGCACTTTTATTTAAAGGATCTAGGTTCCACTTGCAACTATTGCGTACATTTACACTTTTCAAAGGCATTAAGTCCCTTCATGACACGAGGCACGAGGGGAACGGTTTTCAACTGACACTGACAAAATTAATTAAGTTTATTTGAATCTGCTACCCCTTCTTTTCGCCCATGGCTATCTAGAGAGTGTAAAAGGAATCATCTAAAACACATACCAATGCTCTCTTACGATCCAACAAAATTGAGCTTGCTGATTTAATATTATTATCTAAGTTATTGAAGATTTATTATGCAGAGAAATGCCTAAATTATTAGAAAATAAAGTTCAAACTATTGGAGTCACACTGATGGTTTCCTTTTGATGTATGTGAAATGTTTCAGATATCTCTCTTCTAGGTACATAGCACATAGATTATGCAAAATGTTTTTTAATACAAATACAAATCATGTTCTCTCCAAAACTGAAATTCCAGGTATTGAAAGATTAGCAATTATTTAAGAAAAAATACTTTATCTAAGTTTGTATGATATTGAATTTGAACTGTGCTAAAAACCTAAGTCAAAGGGGCACCTCAAATGGGGTACCAACACATTAATGTACAAAAACTTTGCGCCAAACTAACACAGTTCATATATTGAAAGATATAGATAATGGAAATGCAATAATATCATACATTCTCCTTCGCAATTTTATGGAAGATTTCACATGGAAAATAACAGGAAAATAACACAAAATTAATATTTTATAATTTATGGCGTAATTTATTCTGTTCATTGTTAAAAGACCGAAATCGCATAGGCAATGGCCAGAATAAAATTTGAGATCATATATTTGACATAAATCATAAAATCGAGGTCTTTGTTACGATTCTAATATGATAAACAAACAAGAAACAACTATTTGCATTGAATTTTAGCGGTCATACATACTCCAATATAGACCAGTAAATCAATTGTTCTAGCATTGTGACGTCATGTATCATATTAGAATCTAATAATTTAAATGCTAATTTTCACATAATACATTATTTACCCCTACATATACAGTAAAACCGGTGTATAAAGTATCAAGGATTTGATTTCGCGGCATTTTGCTACATGGATACCAGCTATTTAACAAGGCATCAGGGGTTGTTAAAACGTACTGTCTAATCAATTGGCTAATCGGATCAAAACTGTTGTTTTGTCTTAATACATTGCTTCTTATTTATTAATAAATCTATTTCATAACTATTTGTCATGCAATAGATGATACATATGTAGTTGAAATAAAGTTCAACTTTGACAGAAAAATGCACATGGATAACGTTTAAAGAATTAGAAACAACGTGTTTTTCTATGTGTACCTCTAACAAGTGTCAGACAGGTACATTTTCCAGAGGAATGTTTCAAAATGTCAAATGAAACCGTAAAGTGGTTTACCCGAAAATGTGCAGAAAGACTCTGACAACTAAATTGCCATTTGAAATAAAATCCGAACTCTTGGATTAATTAAAATACTGAAGAGATATTAGCGAAGAAATGCAAAATTGTGACGACAATCGTCACAATTTCTCAATTGCGACCATTAACCTCAGTGCTCATCAAAGGTTTAATCGGATGACTAAAAGATTTGATGTCCTACGTGGCTACGAATTAATTAGTTATGAAACCAATTTAATAACACAGTGAGACAAAATTGGTATCACATAGTTCTTGGAAATCCTGAAATCCTCTACACCTGAGAATGGGTCACTCACATTCATCCATGTCAAGAGGTTTATCTTGAAATGTGCTGATCAGATTTTGTAAATATAATTTCGTCAAGAAAATTAAAAAATTTAGCAACGCTAAAATCATCAGATTCTGAGAATTTATTTTGCCCACCTGACGGTTGCCCACTTATGTAGTAGAATAGCACTAAAATGGGAGTTTGAGATTTTCATACAAAGAAAAGATCTCTGAGAATAATTTTGACAGTTTATCTAAAACACATATACATGTGTTATGCATTCGTTAAGCATCATGCAATATTCCCAATGCACGATCCTTTGGATTTTCATGTCTTTCATGTCTATCACCCTGGGACATTGCAGTTATAAAATGATGACATATTGTAAAAGTAAGATAGATGCCCGAAATATTTCAAATTAAAGATTTTTATCAAAACCGTTATATAAGATATGGATAATATTTATATACTTTGCATATATGTTGAACATATAATCTTATAAGAATTATCTCTTATGCTAGAATTCCATACGAAGCTAATTGTAAATGCCAATCTTCAATGCTGCTGCTTTATAACCTAGATGTTGCTGAAAATATTAAGTTTGTATCTTCTACAGTTTAAAATGTTTTAGTTGAATCATTCTTTCTAATTTGCATAATGTTGTACACATATAAAAGTGTTTTTAGATTTATTTATTATAAGAAGTCAAATACATGTCCGATGTTATCACGTTTTTTGTCGTTCTTCTTGTTTTGGTACATAGCATTTAGATGTATGCAAAATGTTCGTCTAGGTACACAGCATTTAGATGTATGCAAAATGTTCGTCTAGGTACACAGCATTTAGATGTATGCAAAATGTTCGTCTAGGTACACAGCATTTAGATGTATGCAAAATGTTCGTCTAGGTACACAGCATTTAGATGTATGCAAAATGTTCGTCTAGGTACATAGCAGTTACATGTAGATGTATGCAAATTGCAAAATGTTTTTCAACCAATTTCTTAATTCTTTTCAACAAAGTAGGATGTTCCTCATGCATTGGCGTAAATTATTACTTCAAACAAATGTAAACCTTTGTGCGTAACAGCTGACATTTTGACTTAAATAAATTGTTTGAACAAAAAGTTGAAAAGTTTATTGCTGAATACTAGCTTCAAAGAAATTCATTTTCCTAACTGGTCAAGAATCAAGGATATAACTGTGACTTTTGTGAATACATGCACTGTAGCTGTGGCTTTTCGGGCCTCTTATAGGAATATCACTTGTGACAAATCTAAAGGTATTAGTATGACATATTTTTGTAATGTATACAACCTTTATCTTGTTATTGTTATCGTGAGAACGGACATATTTTGTTTACAAAGAAAATTCTGTTTTAATAGTTGGAGATCGAGTAAACCTACATATAATTATAAGCCTTTAAACAGAAAATGACATGAAGTTATTTTAAATTCATCATTCTAAAATACAACTAGTACTAAACTAATTAAAAACAACCAACAACTAGTACCAAACTAATCAAGAAATAACCACATGTCTACAAAACTAGCTGACTGCTAGTCTCAATTTCCCATGAGGTAATTGCAGGTTTATTCGGTAACAAATCATTTCAATTCTTTTTTCTAGACGTTCAACAACGTGATAACTTTCCAATAGGCAGCTGATCATGAATAATAACGATAGTTGAGGTTGATTATAGGCTACATATGATGTACGATTTCGATTGCCTAAATCAAACTATAATTAATCACATGCATTCTTCTATGGTTTATTTCTTAAAATTATAGCCAGGATAAAGTCAAAATTAATTAAGTGAAGGTGAATTATGCCGATATATCTATATAAAATGATCGTAAAAGTGCAACATCTTGGAACTCGTAAAAAACAGTCCGTTTAGAACTGGTTCTAGTCTTGACGCTTGCCTTTGTAATCAACCATTACAGCAATTCATGACAATCAAGAGTCCCAAATTGTTCATGGATGAATAAAAATTGCGATTGATATTAAACACTACAAATGCTGTTGAACAATCAAGCATTGTTGAAGAAGATATGACCATGTTGGGGCAATTTTGAGCAACTCTGCGAGTAGTTCTTTTGTTGCACTTAAATATTTAAATGGTTTATTATCAGCTTCCTCTTTCAAATAAAAGGAATACAAGTTTGGAAAACTAAAATCTGTTTACCTGAGATTATAACCTGGTAATAACTGCATCTCTCTGGCTTTATCTAGAGCCATAGTTGCAGCTGCAGCGTTAGTCTCCCAGCCTACATAATCCAATGCTCCATATCGTGGAACCAACAGGCCCATTCTTACACTATTATTCTTCGTTTCGGTGGTCACAGATCCTACATATCCCATAATAAGATACACAATATTCATTAAGTACTTAAAAAAGATTGCCATTGTGTTCTTGTTGATATCAATTCTCAAGTCATGTTATATTGGTATGACAAGTACCGTCATCAACCAGTTGTGAGAAATGCAGCAATGATATGAGAGCAACGAAGAAATGTGATATCCTATTATTGGACTGCTAGATTACACGCTTGGTCTACAGGTCTAGTACTCGGTAATTCCTTTCGACCAATCGGCGGATGATGCCATAGGCTACTCTCTAGTAAACAGACAATTGGCTTAAAAACAATTAGTTCTTCGCTTCTAATTTGTCCTATCAGTATGATACATTCACACACCGGAATAGCCTTACAACGGTAAAGTCAGATGCCGTTGTCACAAATGGCGGATATAACCGTCGCTTCAACTCTTCAATCACTTGGTCCTCGTTTCATGGGACTTTATCGTCGATAATCCTGTGCATGTATAAGCTCTTGTGATAATGTATCATATGAAATCCCAATTTCGATCAAATTGGGTCGTGAATCGCCACAATATAGCGTATTCTATATCGTCAATGACAACGGGATCTGAATTTGGGATAATTTACAAAGACAACGGCATTAGGTAAATTATTTAAAATTCAGATTCCGTTGTCATTGACGATATCGTAGACGCTATATTGTGGCAATTCAGCGATGAAAATACTTATGATAAAGGTAAATTTTCCCATTTTTTCTCAATTATTATAGGTCGAAAATTAATGAATGATGAATTTTTGAAAATTGTCATTCCCATGCAAACCAATGGGAAATGGTGGGTTCAGGGCAAATCAGACTAGAAATTTAGATATGAATGAATGTTCCTTTATTGTGAAAAAAGCAATTCATTTAATAGAACATCGCAGCTGAATCAATAGTTAACTTTGTTTATTTATCCCTTTGGTACATTGCTTTAGATAATCCAAAATTCACTTTCAAGGCAATTCAACCTCCAGGCATCATCGGGGCCTTGCTCGCAATATGATTGTTTACAGCGGGGCGTGGTTCCAATCTATGGTCAAGGGTGTCTTATAATGATGGAGAAGAAACAGCTAATGATAATTGATAAAAATGTCAAACAGAAATACCCAACTTTAATTTCTTAGACATGTTACGTATACATTTTTATATACATTTTAGAGGAACATTTACTGTTATATTGTTTTGTTCTTGAAGTCATATATCATTCATCACTTTGTCCATTGAATCTTAGTCAGTTTAGTGTGTTTCATTGTATTTATCAAGAGCAGCTTGTGCCACTGTTATATCAACATCGGCAATCATAGCCAAATAATCAGGTCCGATTCCTCCATCACATTCGTGATCCCATACAATGACAAATCCAACCTCAGGAATATCAACCTCAACACAGCAAAGAGAGCGACGACTGGCATAGGTAGACATCGACTGACCGCAACTGCCAGGGTCGTAGAAGATCGCGACTCTGCTGCCAGGGGGAGCAATGGGACCGAGATAACGCTCGCACATCAACTGTCCTAAGAAACGCTCTCTTGGTCCAGCAGTCGCGTTCACTGGGACAAGTTTGTACATGCCCTCTTCGCCCCAGAATGTTCTCGCATCCTCATCGCAACGTCGGGGACAATCGTCTAGAAGACGGCGACATCCGTCGCACTCCACGGTTGTTGTTTCGTAGACGTATTCTCGGTGATGCCATACCTCAGACCCAGGCAGAGAAGTACCGTTAATCTCTAGTTTGAATTTACAGGTGCATCTAAGAACCACAAAATGTTATTATCATAATATAATGATCAAAATGTTATACTAGTAATTGTAATTGTAAGCAACGTGTACGATTGGCCTACCTAGGTATTCTTTGTTCTAGATCTCTCAAATATATTATCCCCCAAGAGACCCATAGTGTATTACCAAACGGTATATTTATCTGGAGATGCTCTAGGAGAAACTTTTCCTGATTAATTTCTTCAATTCCTGCCTTCTCAAATGTCATATAATATCACGTATCTAGGTTTTTATAGCCCTATATCCTTCATTATGTCATGCTTGGTTTGAAATTAAGATTGCAAAGAGCATCCGATAAAACACGACTGAAGACAATGATGTTGGCTACGACAATGAACAACCCGAAGTTGGTCACCGTCTGAATTGCTTATGTACTTACGTTTCGCTGAAGTTTCCAATTTCTGGGGTAGGTGTCACAGTGGAAACTAAAAAAACAGAAAAAGATGACTCTAATAAATTACATGATAAATCATCCGGAGTGCCCTGCGTGCAGAGTCTAGTTAAACTACGAAGCTCTCTTTTAAGAAGTGAAGTCAAACGAATACAAAGGGTACGTCCGGAGTATTGTAATCGATATTTTTATACCCAAGATCGTGGTCACGTATAGAATGATCAAGTTCCCGAAGAATCCAAAGTGAAAATTACCCAAAGAAAATACATGACATGATACGTGGTTTAAATCATCTACAATTCATTGAGCCCTGAGCTTAAATCCGTTATCATTTACTCATTCCATAAATGTAAATTCGAAACTTACGCTGGCACTCTGGCATTTCTCCGGCCCATTGTCCATCTTGGCCACAAGTCAGTTCGGAGTTTCCAACAAGAGCGTATGGAGGGTTGCAGTAATAGGTCAAAATACTGCCTTGTCGTACACCATCCGATTGTCGGAATCCACCGTTTTCCAAGTTTTCTGGGGCCGGACATTCTCTCTCTAAATTGTAAAAAATGTTTTGTATAGTCTAAGAAAAAACTTTCAAATTACATAAAGCTATGTCTGACATTACCCTTTTTAATAGTTCGCGATTTCGCTTCTTTTTTCTTAAAAGAAAACAACAACTAGCCTCTTGACCTCGGCATAGACTGGGATGAGGCTCTCGGATCATATGTTTCTTTTCCAGAAACAGGTTGTTCACATAATGTATTATTACGATTGTGATTTTTAGATTATGCCCCTTTAGATTGAAACCGGGACAATATTCCCAGTACCTGGAGTGCAAGCCACGCCATCGGGACAAGCGCATGTTCTTCCTTCAGGAGTTGGCAGACACAGGTAGTTGCATCCTCCATTGAATTCGTTTGAGCAGCCATTCTCTCCTGTTATAAGAGAATATATTCAAATTCATTGCACGTAAAGGTTGAATGCGCTAAATGGCAGCCATTCTCTCCTGTTATAAGACAATAGATTCAAATTCATTGCACGTTTGGTTGAATACGCTAAATGGCAGCCATTCTCTCCTGTTATAAGAGAATATATTCAAATTCATTGCACGTTTGGTTGAATACGCTAAATGGCAGCCATTCTCTCCTGTTATAAGAGAATATATAGCACATTCAAATTCATTGCACGTTACATGGCAGCCATATAGTATAAATGCAGAAATTTCTGGTACATAGAAAGTAGAATTAATTTCTGATTTAGACAAGAAATCGTTCTCCATACTTGTAACGTTGAGCACGAAATCTTCGTTGTATAAATGTATTCCCATAAGTCTTCCGAAACGCTGTGGTCCAAATGAAGATCTTATACCATCGGATTTTCTTGCTCGGTATGGTCCTCTGCAATGAATGTATAATTGCTAAACGCTTTGAGATAATAGCTTTTAATTCGTAAGTTCGTGTCAAGCAGAGAACCGTGCCTTAAAACAATGTAGCCTTATAATTTTGTAGGCTAAAAATTTGATAAAATAATCACCATTTATGTAGTAATACGAGGGGTGATCAATAAGTAATGGACGCTTTTTTACACCGATGCTTTTTATAGACCAATTTCTTCGATTTTCTTACCAGTGATACACTTTTCGTGCTCAAAAGTGTTTTTCACTGTTTTTAGAATAATTATAATTTGATTTTTAATAAAAGTTGAATTAATATCTATATAGCCATATTTACCTGTAAAACCAATCGGTGTAATAAATGTAATCATTATCTATAGTCATATCGAAGCAATGTGACCTGGTGAGCTGAGCAAGAAGTTCTCTTTCACTTCCATCAAATCTGATCCTCTCAAAGCGGTCGAGTGAGGCATCACACCAAAATAGATATTCCTCTGAAAAAAGATTTTTACGACGAATTATTTATTGTTAGAACACCACATTCTGGAAAGGTCTGAGCATGCTTTGTTCTAATAATGAAACAGATCTTTATTGTCTATGCTCCCGAATGATTCAATGAAATTATACTGATCATGATTCAATTTTCAGTAGAATAATATATGAAAATAAATTTTGTATACGGTGTCCCATTCCCGGGGTCCCATCTTGCCACGGCGTGTCCTCATTACCAAGGTAACATATTAATCTTTTTCTTCATGTTAATTTAGAATGACAATTTTATAACATGTGAAAAGTATTGATGTTCAATATTCTTCTGTTCTTTAATAAGACTCATCAACTTCTCCCGTTTCGCCCCGGTCTCAATTACCTTGAAAATCCACAGCAATTCCGTTTGGCCATGTCATCGTGTTTGTTGCAATGGTTGTTCTTTCTTCACCGTCCATTTTCGCCTTCTCGATCTTTGCATCACCGCCCCAATCAGACCAGTACATCATTCTATACAAAAAATGTAAACTTATCTGAATGAAACCATTCTTAGATCGGCGACATTGGGATTTGTTAAGACGAAAAAATCTTATATGGAATTGCTGAGCTTGGACCAGAGTTATTGACTTTTTAATATTGACCGTCATCTGATATTTAAAAGTTCAAAAACAGCCTGATTTTACCCTCTAATTGGATCTACGACAATGGCTCTTGGTTGTTCCAAATCAGTCCTGACAAGGGTCCTGAACTGGCTACCATTAAGACGCATGACGTTGACAGTATCGGTACCAGTGTCGGTGAAATACAGAAGCCGAGACAGAACATCTACAGCGAGACCGTCTGGAGTACCTGCAAGAATAGAATTATATATAAGCACAAGTGCCAAAGGGAAAGGACCAAAGGTTGTAATGGAACTCAGCAAGAGAAAGCAAACTCTAAGTGCATACCAGTCAAGAAAAACAAACCCCATATAGCCCAAAACCATGATCTAACGTGGAAAGAAACAATGTCTAATACCCCTTTCCCCCCACCATTCAAGAACCAATATCACAATCCAAGACCAGAAGACCAAGGGGCATTTCATTCATACTGAAGTCATGACAATACATGTTGAAGAAAAAAATAGAAATCGATAACCAATACTCATATCCTCAAAAATAGTTGTAGATACAAGTACTCATACAAGATAGAGCATTCAGTCTTAAATGATGTGGGATAGATAAAATCCAGTCTCCAGTTCTAATGTAGCGTTAATGATTCTGTGAGGTAAATATTATATATTCTCTGTACTGATCATTTCAAGTCGTCATATGAGATCATCTTCCGGTTTAATACAGATATATTCGATGAAAATTAATCATATGAGTCAGTGTTGTGACAAAAACGATCGCCATTTTGAGCAAGGTCGTCGGAGTTACTCGCCGAATATTTGCACTACGTTTCTGGTATATATTTTGTCATACATAACATCTAAGAGATAGACTCACGACTCACCTCTCGGGAGCCTTCTTAGAATCTGAGTGTCTGTTCCATTTTTGAAAGCTCTTCTGATCTGTCTGTACGAGACATCTGTCCAATAAATACGATCCTCTAGCGGATCGTAATCCAATGCAACGGGTGTAGCTAGACCCCCTTGGATTGGAAGAAACCTTTAAAAATCAATTTGTTCATTTGTTTTAGGCCTATTTAATTTACTATATTACTATTATGGCCTGTGAATCTTTATCGCTTATGCAATGAGTACATTTTGATAATGTAATGAATGACAAACTGTTATATTTTTATAAGGATTGACGTAAACGTTTCAGATTGTGACTAAACTTTACTAATCATCTTTGGGCTAGTGTTCCTCGGCTCCAAAAGAAGCCCCTTCAAACATGCGGATTACCTAAAGTTACGTGGGGACTCCACGTCCATCTGTACGACCCTGTCAATCCCAGCATCAGCAAATAAGATGTATTGATCGTAAACTGCTTGTTCAACTGAAACGTTAATCATCATTTTATACATAAACATTTACTCATTATCAAATTTACTTATAAGGAAGAGTGCAATCATCAAATTGACTTAAAGGAAGTGTGCAATCCTCATTGGAGTCACATGATCTTACGATCAATGTTACGTAAATGTGTACGTTTGCAATTTTTATGGAATCCCTATTGGAGACACTAAATTGGTTCTAGTATTTTTAGGATTATAGATGCTATATTACAATGAATTTAACTTTAATGTCTTAATTCGTGCGCTTTTATGAATAAGATTACACCACTTTTTCAACAAGTCATGCTCTCTGCAGTGATAATTCATTACCTGGTTCATCAGGAGCAACAAATTCTGGTCCGTCATTTTTGAGATTTAGTTTCGTCATGAGACTATGGTTTTCCAATATAGTGTCGATCGTAACATCTTTGGGGTGAACAGCTGAAAGCAAATTTATTCATTGTATTATGCACACGTGGACCTCTTATTCATCATAGGCTTTTGTAATTGGAGGAATACCTGGTGTTCATGAATTCGAAAATTAAGAAGTCTCCATCTCGCCGTAACAACGAGGTTGCGAGTTCGAGACGTGTGTGCTCCTAGTGTTCTTCCACCTATGCCTGTTTTCAATTTTTCATTTGAAATGCGCAGTAGCTCGAATAGATGGCACATTACAAAGCAGTTGTTCCTGCTTTATTGATAGTTGAAAAAATAAATTCTGCAAATGACGATTCATATAAAATGTTTGAAATCATTAATGGATCATTAGAAAGGATTCTTCATATCCATTGTTCATCAGTTTGAAGAGACTCATCTACAATATAATATATTTAGTATTAAATGTATCAAATAAATCGTTACTTGAAATAAATATTTAGGGGGCAATAAATGTATTTTTTCTTTTTAGTTAGTTACATACTTTATTGTCAAACTATGACACATAAATTATACATCAACTGACACCTTAACAAGTGTACAAAGTTATTTAAGTGACAAAAAAATGAAAATTCAATAATAACTATATTGATAGCATACGTATGCATCTAACTTATGGCTAGTGGTGGTGGGTTGTAGCTGCCAATGTGACTCTATTTCGGTTTAGGAAAGTGTATGGATGGAAAGGTAGATGGTTGGTAATTGGTAATTGTCCCCGAGAACCTCATTGCAAATATCTGTGCGTTAAAGGACATAGATATGTAACATTCAACCTAAATAACCCTAAAATATTTCAATTACAGTTATTACCCAATAGGCAATTATCAAGGCATACGTGAACTCTTTTACCCACCCTCAACCAACTCACGTACACGTTTATGTATACAAGGTGAATGGGTACACGGCATAATCATCGAAGATGTTAGAAGGCAAAACATGATTGAAATGGGTCAGATAAAATCATTGTTACTTGAACAATTGAGAATCAAAAGTACTTTAACAGACTCGCGTATCTCTAACACAATGTCAAGTAGGGCGTAGAAGAAAAAATGATAGTCCGCCTGGGCTACGTAATTAACATGTTCATATACCTAGCTGGATGAAAGATTTGCATCGTCATTGTTTATTGATCAAAATGGAAACCAATTAATATTTGAAAGCATGATGTAGGACATGATGATGATTTTTGTATAAAAATAAAATTGATAATATAAACAATAACATAGCCATTATTGTTCAGTATAAAAACAAGTATCACGAAGTGATATCTATCATGACTCGATGAAATCTGAGACTAACATAAAAATTTATGATGGTCTCAGATGAAATACAGTTCAAGGAAGGAAAAAATAGGAAGGCATTTTCCAGCATTTTGATTCAAAAGGTTTCAATTGCTCCAACTTTCTGTTATAACCACACTTAAAGTCAAGGATGATTTTCCAGAACACTAATAATATGTTTTACTTCAATTGCACACTGATTACTGAGAGAATCTACTGGCCAGAAAAAGTTTTGTCCTATGCTAAATCAGAGCCCCATTCGAGCAATAGACAAATGGTTGCTCCCAGATGAATCAAAATGTTCTTATAGTTCTGTTTCTAGATACACAGCATAAATATAACAAAGGTACCAACGGATGAGTTATGGGTAATTGCACAGCCTGTACTATCCTTGGGAGTACTATTAAAAGCTTTAGATTGAGAAGGCCTCCGATAAATCAGAAAGTATCCACCCCTTTGAACCTATTCAGATTGTACACGTCTCTTTGCGTGTTACTTTGTATTTAATCGAATAAAAGTATCGCAGAGTGGGTCAAAAATCAGTCTTTACTTCTAACATAGAATTACAGCATTTGCTTGAAATAATTTCAGAATATCCTGAATGCCATACCCTATGTGTCTCTTTGATAAACTGCATAAGATCTGATGCCAATCGTGAAGTATTCGTTGAGGCATATCTAACATCAGAGTTAAATCGTTGATTCGTATATCAACTTGACAACTCTCTATTTTCATTTTGCCTCCTAGTATCTATTAAACTTTCTTAATCAGAAACAAATGAAATTTATTTACTCCATTTCAGAAACAACTGAAATTTATTTACTCCATTTCAGGAACAACTGAAATTTATTTACTCCATTTCAGAAACAACTGAAATTTATTTACTCCATTTTAGGAATTACTGAAAATGTATTTACTCCATTTCAGAAACAACTGAAATTTATTTACTCCATTTCAGAAACAACTGAAATTTATTTACTCCATTTTAGGAATTACTGAAAATTTATTTACTCAATTTCAGAAACAACTGAAATTTATTTACTCCATTTCAGGAACAACTGAAAATTTATTTACTCCATTTCAGGAACAACTGAAAATTTATTTACTCCATTTCAGAAACAACTGAAAATTTATTTACTCCATTTCAGAAACAACTGAAAATCTATTTACACCATTACCATTTCAGAAACAATTGAAAATTTATTTACTCCATTTCAGAAACAACAGAAAATCTATTTACTCCATTTCAGGAACAACTGCAAAAGTGATTCTTGCATTTCCATGAAAAATATATCTACAGTTACCAAAAAGATTGCCATATAAAAATTTCAGACGCTTTATGGCCCACCCTGTAGAACCATTGAACCAATGAATATTGGGCTTGCCCATTTAGAACTGATATGTTAATGCTGTTTGTATTGCGACTAGCGTCCTCGGATTTTTTCTGAGCGCAGAGATTGGTATCTATCTTGTAAAATATAAAAGAAATCACACTTTTAAAGCGGAAAGCGCATCTTTCATCTTTTATCAAATTAGATGGTTTCTAAAATCTCCATCTAACTGAAAAATAATTTGCGTTCATAAAGCACAGTGAGCGCACTACAGTGAGGGCGAACATTGGGAGTTACAAAGATTTTAAAAAATCGTCAAATTTTGGTAAACTAAAAAATATGTTTACATTCTCAACAATCTTAATCGCAAAAACAATTTACTTACCATTTGCATTGACATATGCCAGTGCTAATAGCACCGTTGCAAGCCTAGAAATCATGGTCCTATATTGCAGTCGACCAGTATTGAGATAGTCGTGTCTTAGTGTGGTTCTATTCCTTTATCATGAAGCAGACAAAGGAGGAGCCCAGAAACTTATGTTAGACAATCAAAAAAGACATCTTCTTATCTTTTGAGAGGGTGACGTTTATTATAGCTACGTATATAATCACCAGGGGTCGTCTCATCAACTGGGTATATGCATAATCATGGCATTAAAAGGTATACCATTCACAAAAGTTCGACTTCTTTGAGATTCATTGACACTGCATATCGTACACATCAAAAGTGTATCATACTCATCTGCAATATTGCAGTCTGATAGGGTAGCAGTTTGTCTTGCCGATTTGAATTCGGAAACTGCAAGTATGAAATATTCCTGGTCTAAATTAAGTCTTTATAATGGACCATTTCCTTTTTGATTCGTAACAGCCTATAATTGGAGTGATACAACCTTCTTTCCTCACTGATCAGTATCAAACGAAGGCAACCGTCGTTACCGTCGCATTTAAGGTGGCGGATGGTAAGTATCGATTTCGATAGTTTTTATCGGTTTAGTTCAAATATCATTAGCATTACGTCAACCTTAAAGCAGTTTAATTCGATGAAAACTATAAAAATATCGAAAACGACACAAAACGTCTGCCATCTTAAATGCGAAGGTAACGGCCGTTACTTACATTTGATACTGACCAGTGTTCCTGAACATACCTTGAGCTTACTTAGTAAGCGGCAACAGCTAAGTATATTGTAAAACGATGCTATCGTCCAATGGAATCAAGATAAACAGTTGTTTCTAAAATGGCATTTGCATTTGGAGACGAACCCCAATCAATCAGACCATCGCCCATTGTCAAGAAGACTAGATGTTGGTATCTATATATGTGTCTCAATGTGTGTTGTTGGCAGATAAAAAGTACAATTGGTGATAATAATTAGGACAAAGGCGAATGCGTTAGTCGGGTTCTTTTTTAATGTTTTAGATGTAGTACTGTTGTGCTGCACTTTATCCGTGTGTATTCCTAACTGTGTTGTACATGGACACTCTTTCCATGTGACCTTTAAAAAGATCTTTTAAAAAATGGTATGGATATCTTCAACTCAACTGGAATCATTATATAATTATTCTGTGGGGAGGGACATGATACATTAATTTTCCATCCAAAGCTGAATAAGATAACCCTACCTTTGTCGATATCTAAGGGTAGGAAAATTACCTGAGACTAACATAAAGTTAGTCTCAGAAATTACCGACTTAAGAACTTGAAACTGTAAATTCGGATCAAGCCAGGCCCGTCCGAAGGATTTCCCAAGAGGGGGAGGGGCGACTTTTGCGCACGGATGGCTAAGGGGGTATTGGGGCATGTCAACCTGATATAATTGAAATTTAAACCCTCCCCGGTACATGGTACATACTGAGCATATCTGAGAGCCTTATTTGCATCTTTAAATACAAATCTCTAAAATAAATATTTTTGGAAGGGGGGGGGGGCTCGACGCCCCTCCCCTTTGAACGGGCTTGCAAGCTGATGAGCATTTGATTATCCCTGGATGGTGCTTTTAGGGAACGGGTATCGCTTTTTCCTAGACTAAAGAATCCTCTGCCATTCTTTATTGGAAATCGGATTGAGCACATGTACTTACCCGTACCCATTTTAATTGAAGGCGGAGCCCGAGTACATTATTAGAATGGGTAAGTACTCGTACATGTGCATGATTGCGTTTAAATTCAACAAAAATGGGATACAGGTTTCTTTTTGCAATTCAAACATACTAACAGTCCTTTATAAAAAGTAACACTGTCCTGTTCTTTTTTAAGGCGACGCTATATTAAATAAAATGTACAAAAAATGACTGCCATATTTTTTTGATAAAGACACATGTTTAATAAAATCTGTTTACCTTGTATATGAATTGTGTATCTTGACTAATGAAACATGTCAAAGTTAACATCACACATAAACGCATTTTTCCAAACTATGAATTGGAGGTGCATGGATCCCCAAAGCTAGCATGAAGAGTGCGAAGTGAGGCTAATTTTTGAAAGTTTCAAGGAGTAGCCTTGCAACAGTCACACATTTGCAAGAGTCTAAAATTTCCTCAAATCATCTTACCTTACCAAGGAACAACGAAGGAGCACGAAAATGTGTACTTCTTGCATTGTTAGAGTATAATAAAGCTCAAACCATTGTGAATTCTAAATATTTCATGTCCACCATTTTGTTTCCTGGAACTATTTTTTAGTCCAGAGTTATCTTCATTCATGTTTCCATTGTTTATCATTCATAAAGCCTCTATCATGTATCTATCATGATAATTACACTGTAATAGATAAAACATACAAGTGATAATCCATGCCACTTGGTGTAGTCACAAAACTTGCATGAGGATTAATCAGGAAGTCTAGAAGTAGTTCCGGCAAACAAAATGTGGACATGAAATATTTGGAATTTACAATGGTTTGAGCTTTATTATACTCTAACAATGCAAGAAGTGCACATTTTCATGCTCCTTCGTTGTTCCTGGGAAAGGTAAGATGATTTGAGGAAATTTTAGACTCTTGCAAATGTGTGACTGTTGCAAGGCTACTCCTTGAAACTTTCAAAAATAAGCCTCACTTCGCACTCTTCATGCTAGCTTTGGGGATCAAAGCACCTCCAATTCATAGTTTGGAAAAATGCGTTTATGTGTGATGTTAACTTTGACATGTTTCATTAGTCAAGATACACAATTCATATACAAGGTAAACAGATTTTAAAAACATGTGTCTTTATCAAAAAAATATGGCAGTCATGTTTTGTACTTATTATTTAATATAGCGTCGCCTTAAGCCATAATGAACTGTTGTGACTGCAACCTTTTATCAATAATGCATTGTTTCTGCTCAGTCGACAGTGAGTATACCTTGAATTAATTCACTGAAATACTCTAAGCTGAAAGGCTAAGACACACTTGGCATATTTGTCATTATTTGAATTGTTTTTAGAATTTTCTTTTGTCCAACATTCGCTGGTCAGTATCATGAGACGATTACGGCTGTAACCTTCGCATCAAAGATGGCGGACGGTAATTGTCGATTTCGATATTTTAGTTTTCATCGAATTAAACTATTTTATAGTTGACATAATGCGTTGATATTTGAACTAAACCAGGCTTATATGACATGGGAACTCTGAGTATGATCATTTCTTCATATATATCCTTGGACAAATGATCATACTCCAAAGTTTCCATGTCATATAAGCCTGATTTGGTTCAAATATCAAATCATTACGATTACGTCAACTATAAAGTTGTTAATAATTTGATGAAATTTAAAAATATCGAAATCGACAATTACTGTCCGCCACCCGTCGGCCGTAAGATACTGACTACCATTGTCCTTGCTGCCGGGCAAGTCTCTATATCTAGCTCTACGATCACCTAACCAAAGATGGCGTTTCTTCTCTATCATGTATTTGAAAAAGTTGTATCCATTGGGCTAGCTTCGGTTTTGAGTCTGCTTATTTATAATGACTTCAACAATGGGACGAAGAAGCATCATAAACCTTTTAATATGATCTCTGGCACGCCTAACCATCGACAACGTATGACAGTGACAAAACACGCCGTCGTACACTTCAGATGTACGGTGTCACTATTAACCGATTTGAAGCAAAGACAATGATGTAGATTTGATGTAGGTTTTAAAAAAAATATCTGAGCAATACATTAAGGATTTCAAGTTTGATTTCGTGTGTATTCGTTTGGGAAGACATTTAACTTTCTAGTAACATTAAAATATTTTCAAACAGTGCTCGGTTTTTTTCGTTGTTAATCTACCCATAAAATTGGTCGGTTGAAAAATGTTGTTTTTACACATTTCCTTTGATCATTTCCTCGCCTGTCGTCTAAGAGTGTCGAATATTTTTATGAGAACATGTTTCTCTAAACTACACAACTTAGGACGGGTGGAGATAACGTTTTGGCTATAATTTAAAAAAAAATCATGAATGTACGTTGTCAACTCGAATGTACATTGTCCCATTGAACTTACTCGATTCACAGTTAACCCCAATGCAGGCAACGTATTTTCATAATACTTACAGACAGGGGGGGGGGGGGGGGGGTGGTGGTCAGATGCATTCAAAATTGAAACAGAACAATTACAGAATTACTTTTCAATTTGATTGAACTGTTGAAACTATTTTTTCTAGATATATCATAAACGGGATTTTAAAAAGTCATATTTGATATTTGAAATCTAGTATAGATCTATCTATCAATGTAACTAACAAAACGTAAGGTACAGACGCCAAATAATCAAAGAGGCTGGAAGCAAACTGAGTGGCGGTACTAGTCTTCAACATACTCTATTCCGAGACACTGAATGGGAGTTAAGGCTACACACAAAATCAAACATGAAATCCTTAATGCATTCCTCAGATTATTTTTTAAAACCTACATCAAACCTACATCATCGCCTTTGCTTCAAATCGGTTAAATAGTGACATCGTACATCTAAAGTGTACGACGGTATATTTTGTCACTGTACGTTGTTGATGGTTAGGCGTGTCTGTATAGCATCGAAAGTTGGAAAACAAAATATAAGTACTTGAATATCATTATTATAAACGCGTTCGTGTCACCTAAGCAAAATATTATAAACGATTTTTGAGCAGTTTTCACACCTGAGCAGAGTTGCCTCATGGCGTAGAGACTACCTAGGATACCCAAAAATTTGCCCTACTTTGTTTTGCTACATCACAGGTAGGCTGAGTTTTTTTGATGTGATACCAATGATAAAACTTTTGATTAAACTTTAAAGAACCAAAAATATGACTGGGTTACTGATTTTTGAGAAAATTTCTTGATTATTATGTCACCACCAAAAAGTGGTGACATATGTTATGGTCTCCATAAGATCTGACTTACGAGTTAAAGATTTGACCGTCAAAGACCTTTTTAATGTCAAAAAAAGCTTGGCGATCGGCCGGTGGCGTCTGTTACAAATTTTTGCAACTTCCAATAACTTAACAAGTACTGTTTAAACTGACTTCAATTTTTTTCTAAATCGTCTACAAGTTTTCAGTAGTTCAAATCTGACTTAAAGTTTATGATTTGACCTTCAATGACCTTTTCAAGGTAAAAAAAGCTTGGCGATCGGCGGGTGGCGTCTGTAACAAATTCTTCCTTGACCTTCAATGACCTTCTCAAGGTAAGAAAGGCCATAAGGTCTTTAGGCTAAAAAAAGGTCAAAACGGTATTTTTCTGCAACTTGTTTCAAATTCAGGATTAATTTTTTTTCAAAATCATCTACAAGTTCTCAGAAGTTCAAATCTGACTATAGATTTGAGATTTGACCTTCAATGACCTTTTCAAGGTTAAAAAGGTATTTTTCAACTTGCTTCAGATTGACGATTTTTTTTCAAAATCATCTATAGACTACAAGTTCTCAGAAATTAAAGTCTGACCTTAGATTTGAATTTAGGTCAAAAGGTATTTATTTAACTTACTTCAAATTGATTAATTTAAAATCATCTACAACTATTCTCCAAGTTCAAATCTGCTTTGAGATTTGAACCCGGATTTGAACTTCAATGACCTTCTCAACTAGGTCAAAAAAGTATTGTTTCAATTTGGTTGAAGTTCAAATCTGACTAAGATTGAACTCATAATTTTGTGAGCAACGGTGGTGACTTGTAAAACCTTGTCATGCAAATGACGAAAATGGCATGGTGGAACGGTGTGATCTGTAACCAGTCTCTGTTCTAACAAATGAAATTGTGATTGGATATTTTTGGTTTGAAACAAATATATAGATGTCACTGCAAACAAATAATAATTAAAGACCCCTTGACTCATATTTGAAGTGTTAGAGAAAGCTCAAGGAGGATTGGCTCCCAGAATGCACCACCGATATTCTGTCCCATATATGGTAGCGGTGACCTTTGACCTCACAGGTTTCAAAATGGTTTCAAACCTGTCACGTGTCAACAAGGTCAAAGGTCACGCTACCATATATGGGACAGAATATCGGTGGTGCACTCTGGGAGCCAATCCTCCTTGAGAAAGCTTGAATATACTTATTTAGTAAAGAAACATTTATGTCATCCATGGATATATTTTCAATCGGTACAGATTGATTCAGAGTTTGTCATGGATTCATCCAAAAATAGAAATGTACTGATATAAAACTTCAAAATGCAATATTGTCGTCGATGACGTCACGGGAGAACCCGCCATCTTGTGAAATACAAGATTCTTATCGAGTTTTTATTCATCCAGATTTATCAAGATTTCACCTACGAAAAGGACGATTTCACCACTCAATGAAAACGAACGTTTTGGTAAGTAATTGTTGATATATTCTGAGCTATTAAACTTGACATCAGACTTGGTGGTGCGCTAATTTTGCGTTTTTCATAGAATCAAGTCAAATAATTCTTTTTTTCAAAAAATCAAATCAGAAAAGTGAACTGTGACTTTGTCTGAATTAAATTTTGCAGGACCAGAAGCATTAATATTTACGGTATTATTTAAATTTTACAAAATTACAAAATATACCCAGATTTGGTTGGTTGATTAGATCTAGTTTAGTTGTGCTGTTGGAGACTCACGGTGTCCTCCTTGGAACCCCGGGCTTGGAACCTGGACATAAGGGGTTAGCTTCCTCATCATTGTGCTACATCTATCAATATACTAAATTAATCTATTCTTGAGCAACACAATAAGTTATTTCAACCATTTGGTTATTATGACAATGGCTTTTGGCCAATAATTCCTCTCCTTCAGAGGGGAATGGCACATGGGAAAGACCATGTGACATCATGAATAGTGTGATTGACAACCTAGAAAGACAGGAAAACCTGGGTCCACAAAACTAGGCATATAATTCATGGCTGTGATGCCATCTATGCAATGTTAATGTGAGAGAGTCAGTTCGCTCCGTAGCTCAAGTGTTAGAGCACCTGACATGTAATCGGGAGGTTGTGGATGCGATTCCTACCAGGGTCGAGTGACTTTTTCACATCAGCCCTAAGCATAGGATTTGATCCTATGTTTGAAATTAATTTGCATATCTGATATTTTCCTCAGCTTTATTTCTACGTGACAATATGCTATATTACTTTTTATGGCATTTAGTTATTCCTTACTACCAAATTGAGGTGTTACAATGTTTATTTTTGTGAAGTAAATGCTTTCTCAAATTGGTAATTTTGCGCATAGAATTTCACTGACATCTAGTCAGTCTGTCAGATACAGACTAGATGTCATGTCACCAAATTGTTTCTTGTGCTGTTTTGTCTCAGGTGATTTCTGTTTGATATCCAGTTTCCCTCATATTAATGTTGAAATTTGAATAGTCAGTATAGTTTAAATTTAGTGAAGTGTAGTGGGGCAGATGTCTGGTTGAGCCCTCCATTTTCTTCGCCATGTTCTTCTGAGATGACAAAAGGTTTGATAATCTCAACTTAACAATATAATTTCGGAATGTCTACCATTGACTTCTGAAATACTTATGGCCTAATGAACATTACCTAAATAAATGTCGGTTCATGGTCTTTCGGAGACATGCCATGCATTTTCTCTCGAAGAACCCAGATCAGCATTCACTTCGGTAACATTTGTTAAATCTATTTGGAAATGTCTTCATAATTTGCTACGAAAATCATCATTTCAAAATTGAAAGTGGATTGGAACACTTTTTTGTAGTCCCAAGGTCGTTCCACTTACATAGGTTCTACTGTATTTATGATTTAGCAATTATATCTTGTAAATGCAGCATTAGGGTATGAATTGCTTTAAGTTATTTTTAAAATTGTATAGAGGAGAGATCATGACATATGACGATGAATCACTCCAACTCTTCATTATTTAGAACCTTATCATTGTAACAATATACCTTAATTTAGGATAATATCATGAAATGAGAATTATTATCTCGTATTGACAATAATATTATCTGTATTGAACATAATATCTATCTCGAAGTATACAACATAGTAAAATGGAATAATATATAGTATAGCATTGGGATATGGCTAGTAAGGGGAATCAATAACAAGTAAGTAAATGAGTGGTATAACTGTATAGCTCCTATCCTTGAGGCACATATTGATCTTTCTTGTAGACTGTCATCAAAGGACAGTCCCTTGACAACAGTCAGATCAATCAAGCAAGTCACGTTTTATCAAAGATCATGGAAATGTGATTTTCTGAATATTAAATTGATAATTAGTGGTATGTAGACACCGTAGGTGTGTCTGTATAGTGCTAAGCTCTAAAATGCTAATGAACGTGTTTTTTGTGAACAGAACAACTAATCTTGCATAAACTCGGTATCCCCACATCACAAAATTAACACAAACAGAAAAGGGTTGGGAGGTACGATCAGGGAAGGGGCTGATGAGAAATGGAAAAAAACAGATTGGATGATGGCTGTCTTGGATTGCATTTCAACATTCTGATACTCATTACACCTTTTTACCTAAGCAATATGAAAGGAACTAACAGAAAGTAAGACCGTGATCCCAGGATGGTTGATGGTATTTTACAATGTTTTGTCTAGACCACTTTGTTCAGTTCTTGTTAAGTTATTTCTTCACTCTGATTCTTAATCGTCAATATATTCTTGTTTAGCTGCATGAGAAATTTTATCATAGCTTTTAAATACAAAGAGACAAAATCATATTCCTGTAGTGTAAACTTTGAACCATCATCGAAGATAATTACCAAAGTCTTCACTTTTTTAAACTTTTGATCTTCACTTGGAAATCTTAATGCCAGTGCCCTGAATTGCGAATATAGTCTATTTTTAAAGGCCGTGTTTTTAACCTCAATCATTGCCTATCACCTGTTGATTACCGCTCTAGATAAACAAATATTCCAAGGCAGGGAAATAAGCTGCAAACTTGGTAATAAATGAATTATCCTCTAGACATGACACCATATATTTTATTTCTAGTATAGAAGGGTAATATTGCTTCATAGTCAGTGATTAGTAAAATCGCAGCACCAGTGCTCAATAAAAGACGAAATGTACGTGTATATACACATATGCACCACAGCACATGTGAATTTTGCAATTCAAACAACTGATTTTTTAAAACACTTTATTAGACTCAAAATCATTAACAGATTTCTAGCATATGATATCATTAATTTCATATATTCTCATACCATGTACTGCCAGATATGGTGCTAGAAATTCCAACTTTGAGCAGTAAGCCAAGTTTTGACCTTTAGATAATCTTCAGTCTAATCGTCTTACAACTCATATTCATCTAGGATATAGCAGATCCAGTTCAAATAGTAAACACCACAGTTCTTAAAGGAAGTTGTACAGTAAGGTATGCTCTACTGCTGTTACCTTATTCAGAATTATAAACCAAAAAGAGGTGTGAAATCTTTGCTTGTTAGTATAGAAAACAACGGAAGTACATTTCAGTATATTCCTTGAGATTCTATGATTCAAACTCAATTGCATTTAAATATAACTATAAGTTCGACCTGATAAGGTTAAACCAAAAGTTTCAGACTTTGTTACACCATAAAAAGGATAGACTTGTTAAGGCCTGTTCATAATACAGTACTTATAAGAAAGGATTATACATACATTCCAAAGTTGTAGTTGGTCTTATTTATGGACAAATATTTAGGTAAGTAATATTTTTAACAAGATAAGTGACATTATCCATATATTAAATAAATATATTTGTTCAAAAAGGATACATAAAATTTGGTCTGATATTTATATGACTGATCCTATTTTACAACTCATTCAACAACGATTGAATCTTGTACATTTATTTCTTTAAAAAATTCAATGTTATTCGCGAATGCAACTTTCGGCTGTCGGCTACTGGATTAACCTGCTATTTTATGGGTAACTCATTGAAATATAAATAGCATCTGCCACTATTCCATTCATATTTATTAAATAAGGTGGTTATATAAAGTTGCATTACCGAGTACAATCTGAGATATATATATATATATGAATATATGAATATTATTTATAAATTCAAGATATAATTTTGATTCAGTGATACCACAATATAGAGACCCAAGTTATATTACAGATGTAGTTGAAGGAAGCATCACTATCTTCATTTCCCGAGTCAGATTTTATATATTTCATATGTATATTTATAACTCACAACTTATACATTTAATAAATGGCCTGGGTATGAAAAATAAAGCTATTATAGCCAGTCTATGTGGAGGATAAAAAGCATGGTTTAAACAATCATTAATTAACTGTCAAATATTTGAATATCTTGAACCAGCCTTAATTATTACGAAGACTCTGACCCTCTTCAGATCTTATATTAAGTATCATATAACACAATTGATATGTCATTTGGATTTATGACCATGCGCTTTCACTATTTGATTCGCGATTGCAACACTTCAGTCAGACTTTCTTTTTTCTTTAGGTAAGACATGTAAATGAATGAATAATGTGGACTTTCTATATGTTGGCTTTCATACTTGACATTCTGAGATAACAGGGAATAAAGTCTACCTACTAGCCCTACCTTAATGATTTACCTTAATATCTGATATTACTTTATTTTATCATTTATTGCTCGTTAGTCTGTGAGTTCACCAAGTTCTTTAAGGACAACATTTCGATCAGGACCTGTATTGGTGTAATATTCTATAAACTACAAATACTGACCTAAATTTCACCCCACCTACAAGTCCTACATTCTAGAAAAAACATTCTTGGTATTTTAACCACAGAGAAGTAATTTGAGGTTAGAAAAGGGATTCCATTGGTGTGTTTTGACCTTAACAATTTTCGTGTTGTTGTTTGGGCTTTGCTTATCCAGTAAAGAGGTAAAGTATGACCTTGTCTGTGCTGATAAATGGAAAAATATTTTTTGTACCGAATGCTCTATTATGACCTTCTAATGCTTATTTTGTGGAACATTCACCATACTGCTGTTAATTTTGTGAAATAGTATGTCGTTAATTAGATGAAATTTATTTGTCATTTGTTATGTCTGACATTTAAACGTCATCCATCCAATGAAGTTACTCCTCTGTCTTGAATTTCTAATGTATGGTACTATGGGCTTGTTGTCCCCTCTGTGGGATTGAATAGGTTCAATAAGGATAAGAATGTGGATTTGCGATAAGCTTGTCCCATAATGACCTGAAAATATAGAAAAATTACATACAATATACATGTATATTACCAATAGGGAGCATGGTGTGTTCTCAGTCTGATGAACTGCTCCAAGAAAACATAGCTATATATTCAAGAATTAAACCTATTCTAGGCCTCTAAAGAGCCTCTTCTGCACTCACATTAGACTGGTTTTGCCTTCTTTGACATTGAGAGACTGACGCAATACTTAATACGACTGAGCTGTGTGAGGCTGCGTTATTCACTTTCGACCTACTATTTACAGGTACATATACTATGCTAGTAAAATCCAGTTTATGAACAACTCGAAATAGCTCTAGCGAAAAGCATTACTTGATTTATATCATGGCAAGGTTTTTGTTTCAAGGACATACATGTGTACTATCTTTTTACAGACATTTGTTTATTTGTAGACTTGTTGATTATACAATCAGTAAATTGTTGGTCTAGTCTTTATTATACTGATTTTCTGTATTGTATATAAATCAATCTTTAAAAAGTATGTAGAATTGCTGGCTTGAAGTCTGAGAAATTTTAAGTAAACAAATCAGGCTTTAATGCCCAATGTTCAGCATACAGGGAAAATATCAGTGGACCACTGGTTTGCATGGTTTGTTTGGTGGTCCATATTAAGTGTAGGTAGTCAAGTGGACACCCTGTTTTCAAAAGTGTGTGGTCTATATTATGACAAGGTGGTGGTCTATTTACTATGGATATAGCAATCATGGTGTAATCATAGTTTATGGCAATTTTTGAAAAAATTTAAAAAACGACTCCCTCCTTGGCAACACCTCTCGTAGAAACTCGGAAGTTTTCATTTTGTCCATTAAATTTTTGTTTGAAAGTTGAAAAGATCGAAATATCTACCAATTTCAAGGTAATTTTACTTGTTTTGTCTAGTTTTACGGGTGGTCAAGAGTCACTTCTAAGAGGATTGTTTATGGCAAAGTAGGGAACGAAACCAGGTTGTCCCGGGCCTACGGACTCCCGCTTCTGCCGAACCCTGCTTATGCCTACATTGTATAATTCTTTCAGAAAATTTTTTGAACATTTTTTAAGATTTTCAATTTCATAAATAATGTTTTATATAAAAAGTAATAAAGGACATAAAAATGACCACTACGATAATGTACATAAAATGACCACAACGATAATGTACATAAAATGACCACAACGATAATGTACATAAAATGACCACCCTCACTGAGATATACATGTTTAAGGAATTAGTTATTAATCTAGACATGGTAGGCCTCTAGACTATAGGACCTTTTTTGCATTGACATATTAGTCTTGTCTTCAGCCTTCTGATTATCGTAATGAACGGAAAACTCATTTATTCATGGCTATGATGTTGCGTGAAATAATTTTGATCCACAATATAGTATAGTCTTATTTCAAGCCTTTGGGAACACCTACAAACCTCATGGGATCAAGTAGATAAGGGTTGTCTAGGGAGTCAATACAAGACCATCTCAAGTATACTAAATAACAGGTGTCAAATTAATAACAGATTTATGCATTATTAACTTACCATACAGTGAATGTAGGCAATACATGGTCAATTATTATTTGACTATTGCTGTCAAATACATAGGATTGCATAAAAATATGTTGTTTTTATAGTGGTATGATTCTCTTTATGTCAATAATACAGTCTTTATAAATTCAAGTTTATAATTATCCCAAATTCAAATGAATCAATACATTTGTATCCTCTTGATTCAAAAAACTGTTATTATATGTGACACAATTTTGAATTTTCAAATCTAAATCACTTGTGCCTTTGCTTTCAGTTTTTTGGACAAGCCGGTGTAACATTTATGGAGTTCCTGAGGAACAGTGGGGAGTACTGCCAGGCCCAACACGAGTGAACACTCACCTGATTGCCCCGTCCTTGCGACAAGTCACACCTCATACCATACTCACCTAGCGCTTGATACACGACTCAAGGGCTTATTAGGCAATTTACACAGAAATCGAATGGGGTAAACTCACTGAACTTTCGTATTGTTTCTCTGAGGGAGGGGGAGAGGATTATCCACCACATTAGGGGACACAGCTACTGCTGGGGAGATATCGCTGCTCTGGAACCCTGGGTAGGGACCTCACTTGCAGTTCACTGGTGCCAAGCCATACATACACTGCTGACACCTATTTGGAGTATTGTGAATCAATAGGGAATTATTGTCTCAATACATACATCGGCCATAATATTCTAGTCTTGTTTGTCATATACAGAGCATGACAAATATGAAGAACCGTAAACCAGAACCAGCTGAGATAGAGTTTAAGAACATGCGATTCCTTATCACTGATAGACCTAGTGACTCTAACATGGACAAGTACATTGAGGTGAGGAACTACAGTCTACAGTCTCATAACTACCCCCCTTTTCAATAGTTTGATTTATATTTATATTTTTGAATAATTAGCTATATCCATTATCAGATTGCCATTCATAATTCAGCTACCTAATCAGAATTGAAGTCATAGATCTTTATGCATTCAGAAGTAGCTGGTATTATTTCATAATATGCAAACTCCCATGAAGAGCCATGACAGCTTATTCTGATATCATGAAGGTCAGAACTGTAAGGTTGCTTTTTAAAACCAGAGGATACTTATTTGCTAGCCTCTGGGCTATGGGTTTAGACCCTCCTTCGCAGTCTTTGTGACTTTGTGACCTAAGTCATGTATGAAATCTAGGCATAAGGAAAGTTGTCAACCCAGGAATGCTCATATTTCATTGAGGAATGGAGCAAATAAACAGACCAATTTGTTTTGAAAACAAAACTAATATAATGATAAGCCCATCAAGGATGAATTCATGAAACCTCTCTTAACTGTTGCAGGAGCTAAAGAAACATCATGCTCAAGATGTTGTACGAGTCTGTGAACCAACCTACAAAGTAGAAAAACTGGAAAGAGAAGGAATTCGCGTCTTGGTAAGACATTTTGACTTGTATACTTTTAACCCTGGATCATATCCATATTTTTTGGTGTTATCTGTTTTCGGTGATTTCTATTTTAGTAAACACTAGTTCCGTATGTAAAGGCTGCAGAGAGAGAATGTTAACCTATTTAACATTACATTGGCTTCAGTGTTTTTGAGCAAACTAGTAAACATAGATGTTCGTTAATTTCACCTTTCCTACAAATGGCTAGCATATTTCGCTGTTGTTGTCTTGGCATAGGAGTAGAATTTAATTTTCATGATTCAATGACCATCATGCATCATTTGAGTGAATTCATTTCATTCTTGGTTCTAGAATAAATAAATGGCGTAATGATAGGGCAAATAAATCAACCTTCCATCCTTAATGTACAATTAATTTTTGTATTCACCCTGACATGTTGATTAAGCTAATCCCCTGAACATGGTATATCACAATGGCTTTATAGGTAAAATCACTTACCCTTATATGTTTAATTCATTGGATGAATCCATTAGCCAAACTAAATTGCCAGCAAAATTAACATGTAATATTATCAGTGACATTTGCTTGAAACTACATTATTCGGTAAACTTAAACAAATTTAGTTCTGGTCCAAACACCTACTACATAATTACACCTTATTTCCCATTTTGTACTATTTTAAAGATTTGCTGTCCCATCCCATCTCTATTCAACAGCAGTTATTTGAAGACAGTCATTATATTAATTTTGACCTAAATAGAGCAGGAGTCATAGTGATATAAAGCTTTGACACCCTAGAATTTACATAACACATGTATGTAGCGAGGTCTTTGGTGATTTCAGCTATATATTGTACACTGAAAGAGTGAAGATGAAGCTCTCTTTTAAGAAGCAAAGTCGAACAAATTCAAAGGGTAAATATCATCACTTAACAATACATATACTCAAAGACAGCAGATAGTTTAATGTTCCGGAATTTCTTTTCTTTATTTTTTTTCGAGTTGATGTCACCCTGGTTATCATCTAGAAAATGTCTTATGTTGCCAAACTTTATGTTCAGTTTTGCTGCAAAATTTGGCCCCATGTCTTTATTGTATTAGCGTCATAAAAATGCAGAAAAGCCATTAGATAATGCAATTAAGTCTCAGTCATGTTAAACCACCGTGAAATTGTATTATTTTAAGAATAATTCAAAAAATGATGACTGACATATTTTCCTTGATATAATCACCATGTTCTTTATAAAATGAGGTATTACCCTTTACAGTTCGATTTTACTTCCTTAAAAGAGAGCTTCATCTGTAAACACTCTTTTTATTGTATATTTACATTATGAGTAGTGTGGTATTAAGATATGGTATGCACAATATATGACATTAAAGCCTTTTATGTCATATCTGGAATTACAAGGTGTAAAATGTTACAAAGGTGTGAATTTCATTTGACGTTAAAAGGTTCTTTCTCCCTGTGCATAAAATCCGTAAAACCTGTGTAGAGGAATGCCCTTGGTTCTGCCAAAAAATGTCCCATTTGCAATGTGTTTTATTTACAGATGTTATGGTGTCACAGGGATTTAATAGCATCTCCCTTGATCATTCTACAAATTAGTCCAAGGCATTTGATTTTGCAATCAGTTCGAAGTAAACAGCAAGGGGTATTTTATCTAAAGGTGGCATCCCACACCATTTCTCTACATGAGGTTAATTATTATATTTGCTAAATTATCAAATTATATTCTTTTTTTCTTGCTTAAAAATCAGTGGGAGGTTATTACTATTCAATAATAATTTTGATTTATGTAATCCCGATTTGCTAATTATCACATTGTGATGTTACGTTGTCTCCTGCCAAGAAATCACAGTAGGAGGTGAATCCAATGATTTTTGAAAATTGAATGTTCCATTTACATGGGTTAATTTTCCATAATGGTGCATTCCACATTCAAGTTTGGAGGTGTTCCACCTTCACAGGTTCAATTTACATTACGCCAATGGGTTTTAAAAGTATAACTTTAAAATATGTTCTACTTGCAAGGTGTTCCACTAAATATTTTACAGGAGCAGTCAAATATTTATTCATTCACTTTTGTAGATATAATATGGAACTGTAAAATCTTAAAAATGTCTTATACAAGGATTTAAGCCCTGGACTCAGTACATAGTACCGAATCATTCCTCAAAAAGGTGTTATTTCAATCATTTAGATATAATTGGGCACATTTTCTGAAAAATTCAAAAGATTCTGTTCAGTGACCTTTCCTACCTCCTACTTTTAGCTATTTTTCTGTCACATTTTCAGAGGGCTGAAAAGGTTATTTCATCATGTTAAGGGTCATTCTAACCATGAACATTGTGATCCTGGACCTGTAAATGGTATGTGGAACTAGTTGAATTGACTGGAGGACAAAACAGAACTCTATTATCTTTGTTCAAAAAATGTCTAAAATTTTTTTGTCACTTCCTGTTTTGTCATTTCCTGTTAAGTATCATGGCACCTTAACTACATTCATTGCCTAGCTACCCCACTGAGGGAGGATATCTTTGATTGCCAAATCAAAACAAGGTTATGCTGAAACAGTTAGTCTGAAGTTTATTTGAAACATTTAGAAGGAAGGTCAGTGATTAGCTCATATATATACCACAAGGTCAAGGTCATTTGAAGGTCAGCATGGACATTTTGTTATATCTTTAGAGCCATCATCTGCCAAGGTCAACTGAATTGAAGTATGTTATTGCTTCCTCTTCAGTAGGCTTCTGCCAAGTCTAGCTCAACCAGACTGATATATTCAGTTATTAGTAAACAGAAAATAAATGTTTGTTTCCTTATCTGTTCTTCATGCGGTTGAGATAATAAAAAAATTGACTCAAACCCATAACATCTCTGGAGATTTTCCTAAATATTTTTACTCTGTACCATATACAGATATTGACCCAACCAGAGAGGTTGACTGTTAAAGAGCCAACGATCGGGAAGGTATCATGTTCAATTATGTTCTATTAGGATGTTGTATTCTACCAAGTTTGTCTTATTTCTGGAGTTCCTTGATAACTACCTGATGATTTGCACCGTGGAATTATATCTTGCTTTATGACTTTACATCGGGAAGCTAATAGGCTGATGGCTATTGGAGCCTAATTTCTAAGAATAAATGAAAGCCAGATGAAGAGGTTGCCTTTCAACCTTATCTTTACTTGTATTTATGATGATGTAAGTCTCGAAGATACTCCTAAATCTCAGCTTGCTCTCCAAATGCACATAGCTCAAGGTCAAAGGTTAGTTCACAAACCAATAGTGCAATCTCGCTATCTCGCTTTTTGTAATTTGTACTTTGTATTTAAAATTAAAATTTTTTCACACATTCAATTTTTATAATTCATAGGCAATATTAAGGTGTATTACATACCTAGTGAAGCATTTGTATGGAAGTCAATGGGAAAGTTAGCTGACTATATCCACCGATTTTGCCCGATTACCCCGATACAGCCCCCTTACCTCGCTTTGCCATTAGATTCTTAAATAACCATGACAATATGACGTCAAGTTCCTTTTCAATCAAATTCTACTCGCACAGATGTTTGACATCATTGATACAAAGTAGGCCTGGGAATAAAGGTATGTAATACATCAGTTATGTCACTATGATAGGCATATTTCACGTCATAGTGACATAAACTCTAAGTACCAGGCCTCTCAAAAATTATCTCAAATTTTTTTTGGCCTACTCTGTAAGTATCCCGTCTCAATAAAAAAAAACTTATATCTGTGGTCTGATATTTAAAATGAATAAAAACTCAATTTCAGTTGTCCTGTATATGATTTCATAAGGTCTCTAAATCTTCTGAAAGGCAATTCAGTGTAAGGATATCTATATCATAGGCTAGGGCTCAAATTAATCCCTCTCCATAAACCGCAAATCTACTAGCCAGTTTAAAAAGTTAATGTTGACATCCTAGACTGTTAGCTCCAGTAATGTTCTTGTATAGTGTGTCTTTAAATATGATATAGAGAAAATGATGAATGATGAATATGACACACATCTGTGGGGTTAGAAAATATATTCGCTATTTTTCATAATATACAGGGTGGGCCAAAAAAAACCAATACCCAACTTTAAATCAGGATAAAAATAGTTACGTTCAATGTGGTACATTGACTTATATATCATTTTAAAGGTAATACATTTTCAAACAATTTGGTATATAACACTATGACATAAAATCAATAGTAAAGGTGTATTATACTTATTTGGGAGGCTGGGTCGCTATTTAGGTCTCTAGATTTTGGGGAGAAAACAGTAAATCTTTGAAATTATGTAAACTTTTTATTCATGGAATATCATTTTGTTAGGTGAATACAAGCTTGTATATTTGCATCATTTGTGACTTAACTTATTGTTTATTAATTTCAGTATTGATTACTATCAATAGGTACTCAAAAGAGGTATGTTAAAAGACAAAAAACGTATATGTGGTGGGGGGGGGGGTATTTTTCAATAAGACAGTGCCTTGTCCCATAGATCAAAGGTGACATAGGCATTCCTTCACGAACAAGTTGTCAATTTGACTGATCCAGATGCTTGGCCACCCAGCAGCATATTAAGCAATTGTTTAAATAAATAAATTGTAAAATGTTATTAAACAACACTGAAATTCATAAACAATAAGTTTAGTCACACATTGATGCAAATAAACATGCATGTATTCACCTAACAAAATGATATTCTATGAATAAAAAGTTTACATAATATCACAGATTTACTCCCTAAAATCTAGAGACCTTAAATAGCGACCCAGCCTCCCAAATAAGTATAATACACCTTTACTATTGATTTTATGTCATAGTGTTATATACCAAATTGTTTGAAAATGTATTACCTTTAAAATGATATATAAGTCAATGTATCATATTGAACATAAGTATTTTTATCCTGATTTGAAGTTGGGTATTGGTTTTTTTTGGCCCACCCTGTAGTAGAACCTGTATAAGTGGAGCACCTGTGTCGAGGTGTTCCACTTACAGAGGTTCATTAAGATGAAGACCATGGGCCGCATGGATAGGAGGTGTTTCACTAACAGAGGTGTTCCACTTAGCAGTTTCTACCCTGTACTATTTGTGAGATTTTTTCTCTTTTTTATTGACATAAATTAAGCATCAAATACATGATGCATTTGTTGTAAGATTATAAATACAGCAGTATCAAAAGAAAAAGTTAAGTTGAAAAACGCTCTCCAGCCAGTTCTTCAATCCAATAAGCATACATAGAAGCATACATAGGATAGAAGTAGATGTTCATCTTGTTATAGACAGTTGATGACCTTGGAATAATAGTTCTAGACAACATTGATCACGTTGCCAATTTCCATGTTTAAGATTAACTAGAAATAGGTGTGTACGTATAACTTGTATACGATGTCGAAATAGCCGATTAATTTTGTATAAAACGTGAGATATTTTATTTTACAATTCAATGTTCAAAATTGGAGGGTTTCACGTTTCATTTTTTTTTTAGGAAATCAGTTGCAGGACATATTGTTCACATTCGAAGATATTCTGACCGTGTTGTCCATTTTGAGGCAGAATGAATAATGCCATTGTTGTAAATGTAGGTTACCCCAGATGGACCTAAGTTATACTTTAGTTATATCATAGTAAACCTTAGATACATGTATGTTATATCTTTTATTACCTTATATGATGATCATGAATCATCATGTAACATACATGTACGTAGATGTAATCAAAATTGGCATGTAATTTACTTAATACAGGAAGTATCTGATATCCAGATTATAGATCTTGCGTAGGGACAAGCTTATATGCCTCGAAATATCCCTTTTTATGCTGTGATAAGGTGGCATCCTTCACTGCAGATAACTGATCATCAAGGATCAGAAACTTAACAGGTGTTTTTAGAGATGCTAAAGAAACTTCCCAGTATGACAAATTATGTTTATTTGTCATTCTTTACAAGATAATATTAAATAACTACTTTAGTTATATTTAGAATCTTATTGATAAAATCTCATAGTTATTACCGAAGCTAAATGAAATAAATGGATTCTTTTTACGCAATCCACGTAAATATAAAAATGTAAAATATTGTAGAAATATATTCAAGTGGGTAACTTTCATTTCTCATATAACTCAAGAAAACATAAGAAAAATACATAATTGTCAAAAAAATAAAACGATATAACTACAGCATATAATAATTCATAATTTTGGTAATGGTTCGATTTTCAAATTAAATCTGTGTCTGGCATGTTTTATTAAAAGCAGAAATAATATTAAGCAAGTGATACATCCTGTTATTGTTGTTTATTAAAATGGTTTATTACATTCTTTATGTAGCTGTCATCCTTAGTCCGCATGGGCTCACTGTACACCACCATTTGATTATTTTGGGGAAGATGGCGGGGCAAGGTATAGATACACAGAAGGCAAAACAAATTGTCTTACAGCAAGATATCTCCCATCATACCAGGCCAGATACAAAATTTGATTAATCAATTAAAAAAGTGATGCCCCATATTAGCCACATGGTGGGTGGCGAATGGTGGGCCCACACAATTATTGTGACAGCTACTTCAGCAATAATGACAAAAACATGTTGCATAATTAGTAAAATATGGAAGTTCATTGCTTTAGAATTTTTTCAATCAACCTCAAAGAGCTTTCAATCAGAATATGAAAAAACATGTTCAGTTAAATTATATTAAGTTTAACTTTGTTGTTACTATTCCAGGACTGGGCATTTGATGATGGTAACCCACCACCCCTTGAAGTCATGGATGACTGGTTCAACCTTCTTAAGACCCGCTTCAAAGATGAGCCAGGATGTTGCGTGGCTGTACACTGTGTAGCGGGATTAGGAAGGTACGTTTTTCACCAAACTGCAAACTCACAATGATTTCAACAAACGAAAGATGGTAAATACCTCTTTCACCAATATCATCAACAAATGTGATGTGTTGAAAGGAATTTAGTTGTAATATTGTCTGTAAATTGATTAAATCACTTTCGGGTCTTGCTCACTTTTGCCAGGGCTGGTTCACATTTGAGAACTTTGGCCCCAAATCACTTGAAAAATGCTCTTAATTTTAAAAAGTGCATGATTTTAAAAGAAATTTTGGTCAGGGGAGGGGGGTGTTCTTTTGAACCTTAAACCCCTCCTGGCTACGGGCCTGACTTTGGTTCATAAGCACTGGTGGTCCAATCGATTACGCTGGTTTCGGTAACAAAATGTTGGAACCTCGAAGTTACAATTTGTCTAAGAAAATGTACATGTTTGCAAACAAATAGTTCAGAAGACAACAAAATCATCAATTTAATACCTCACCATTGTTATGTTCATAGATGGGTTAGAAGTGCAGATCTGAAACATTTTTTTTAAGTTCAGTTTATGTAACAAAAGTGAGGTATTAAATCGAAGATTCTGTTATTTTCTTAAACATATGATACTGACACATGTTTGTAATAAAAATGTTGTGGGAATCCTGCTTACAACGCCTGGAATAAGGAAAAAAGAAAAATCTTACAGTTAAGATTCTGACATTTTATTACAGAAACTAACCATTTCGATAACCAGCATAATCGAGTGCATCACCTTTGTATGATCTTGAAGGAGATCCATGAATTCCAATCAATCATCATAGATCTGTTATTGGGATTCAAGTGATTCATCTGATAAAAATTTCATATTGCTGTCATATTGAGTGATTAGGAGCATCTGAGCCATTCCATTACCTTGATACATATGTAACATAGTTTACCCTGAAATATTTGGCAAGAATGAACCACCCTCTTACTTAGAGTAATAGTTGTTCAACTGTATCACTCAACTTCGACAGGAATGATGAAGGAGAATTTTGCACTCACTTGAGAAAAAACTGATAGGAACATTTATTTGTGTCATTGGAAATGTAATTTAAGCCATCCAGGAGTTGAATAAATGATGTTTTTAACATGAACCTAGTCAATTAGACCAAATGAGGCCAGCCAAATAGTCAATTGATTAAATATTTAGTCCAGCTAACTAGGTTTATCTGTGATATTTATATCTAGTTTTCTGTGAGTTTTTATGACCTCAAATGATTAGTTTGAAATATACAGTTGGTTACATTATGGTAGGAATGTAAAACATAATTTGTGACCTAGTTTATCCATGGTTTGTTCTTAAATTATCCAAATAATTTACCATACATTACAATTTTCACAATCGACATAATACATATGAGCCTCGCCATTATCACAAAAATTTAAATTGTGCTACATGCCCAAAAAATGTGCCAAAGATTTAGAGGAAAATGTGCTAAATTCAAATTTGTCTTTTTGGTCTATATCTGCAAGGAAAAATTGTTAAGACACAAGCCATGGCTCATCTGAAAGGTGACTCTTTGTGCTTTTGAAGAAAAACAAAAAATCAAAACATTGAAAAAATCTGTGATAAGACGCCTTTTCCTGTTTCCTCAACCACTTTAAAACATACATTTTTTCTCTCAGCCAACAGGACAATGTGATGAATATCTGAATGGACATTCTGTTATCTAGTATTCCCTCATATGAGCTGAAGTTGATATGTTCACCAGTATAATTGTTTCACAGGTTCATATTGATAAATAGATATCTGTTATGTTTGTTCAATAAGCCCTATTGTTGCCCAAGGATAGGATAACAATGTGAACTTTAGAATTATCTAACAGAACACAGTCATATATTGTATATAGCCCTATTTATTGGATTGATTGTTAACTTTCTGAATTCAGTTCCCTTAATTGTTTGCAATGCAAGTATTTACAAGTAATGCAAGTATTTACAGATAATGCAAGTGAAACTCAGAGTTTTTAGATCTTGAATTTAACAAGAATGGAGCAAAACCATGTACATTTTACTATTGAGTTTGAATTGACGTTAAAATACATATTTTATAAAGGTTGACACTAATCTTACTGGTGAGATGTCGGCTTATTGACGTATTGATTGTAACTCCAGACTACAGTGTCTGTCTGTGTACTCGTTTACCCTTGGTTTATATTTTAGTACAATCGAGACATTGTTGGCTTTTGTTGAATATTGAACATAGAATCAGAAAAACATTTCACCAGGAAAACAAAGAATAAACCAGGAAATAATTTGAATTGATCATATGGGTTTCTATACTGAAAAAATATTTAAAAATGATTTTATGACCAGCTCCATGACCCAGACACAATTACAATAGTGTATTTTCACTGACCCAATATGAATGGCCGTGAATGAACTGACTATCTAACAAATTCATTTTTTTTTTTTTATTAATGGCTGTAGATTCTATCATGTTTTGGTATCTATGGTTGTTTGTATTTGTTATTCCTATTGTTATAGTCCCCAACTTTTTTGTTGATGGTGTTTGGTGGTGCTGCCGTTGGTGTTTGGCATTAGGCGATGCAGGTGGTGACATCTTACATGTTAATACATTGTCATACTGGAGAATCAACATATAATATAAAAAATATCACTAAGGATGTTCCTTATCAGCTGTCACCCTACAAAACAGGATACGGTACATTTTTTTTGATTTTTGGATCCATTAATTAAAGATAGAGAAGAAAACCCACTCTGTATGACCTCTTTTATAATTTCAAATGACATACTATAGTATACCACTTCATATACATGTCAGTTCGTATCATTTTATCAGTGCTGTGTCCTCATTCACATATTTTAAATTTTGTATTACCCTTAAATTATTGATGGTACATAATTCCAATGTGTTGAGTCATATATTTTCTAAGCATTAAAATGAATATAGTGGAAATCTATGGTTCAGATGTTTATTAAATATTATGAATATATAACTTCTATTAGTCAAAATATTGATTTTAAGACAAAATAAGAAAATAAATTAAAGGGATAACAGGAAGCCTGAGTGCAAATAATTCAAATAATACTATCAAAAAACTTGAGATCAGGGAGACGTAAATTACTATATAGATAAATGACTGATTTGTTTGAAAAAGATATATTGAGAGCTAACTGTCTAAGTATTAAATAGTGTATAACACGCCGTGCAGTGCAAAATGCTCCTAATTTGAATTCAATAGTTATTTTTATATATTTTAACCAGGAAGTTATTTTACTTTAAATCATAATGAGTCATAAAGGATGGGCCATAAAAATGGAACACTGACATATGTTTTATATAAAGGAGTGTATTTGAGGCCTGGAGTGTCATAAAAATAAATGAATAGAATATAAAATCAAATGATTCGCATTTTTCTTATTGTATTGTTGGCATATTTTATATCTTTAGCTTTCTTTAAGAAAAATACAGGATGAAATATTCATTTGAGAAAGAGTACTAACATTACTGAATAATGATTCTGACATTTAAAAAATTTCTCATCTAATCATTTACCAAATGAAATGAGTCTTAAATGTAGGAAGGGCTGATATCATATTTTATGGAGTTAACTTAACATTTGTATAGTAACTGCACCCTATAGCTATTATATTTCTTATGGGAGTGATTGGATTAGAGTTCTCCCCATAAAAGCAATTACATTTAGATTCACACAGATGAGATTGCTGTGATTTGCTTCTCAATGCAATCGAATGCAATCGAATGCAATCATGTGGGTGGCTACAATGTTATCAGTGGTATTAAAATGTTGAACAGCAAAGTATTTTTTTATTTGGTTTAAATTTTTGCAATTCCTTCTCACTAAAGGGGGTTGAATAGCAGGCCCGTCAGATGGGGGGGTGCGACCGCACCCCCTTTGACACCCCCAAAATGTTTTTTTTAAAAAAATTTGAAATTTTATTTTTTGTAATTTTTTTTCATCATCTCATACACTTTTAAAGTGCCCAGAAAGCATCAAATAGCATCTTAAAATTGTAAAATTTTCTAGAGTGGGCCACCCCTCACACCCCCTCAATACAATGGAAAAGTTCTGAATTTATTTTATGTATTGTCTGAGACACTTTTAAAATGCCCAAGTGCCCAGACATCATCACATAGGTCCTTGATATAGTCAATGTTTCTGGGGGACTAACACTTGCTCTCCATCGGGATCCCCATGCCACCCAACGTCCCCCTCTGGCACCCTCGCCCCCCTTGACACCCCTCCAAAAATTGAAAAAAATTGTGATTTTCTCAATTTTTTAATTGACTCATACACTTTGAAAGTGCCCAGAGAGCACTATATAGCGTTTTAAATTGTAAAATTTTCTAGGGGGAGTAGACCACCCCTCACACCCAAAACAAAACAATTGAAAAGTTCTGAATTTATTTTAGGTATCATCTCAGACACATGTAAAGTGCCCAGACATCATCAAATAGCTCCTTGATATAGTCAATGATTCTGGGAGACAAACACTTACTCGCACTCTTGCATCCCCACCCCACCTCCCCCTCTGGCACCCCTCCCCCTTTGACATCCCCCAAAATATTGTGATTTTTTCAAATTTTTTATTGAGTCATACGATTCGAAAGTGCCCAGAAAGCACCAAATAGCATCTTAAAATTGTAAAATTTTCCAGGGAAGTAGGCCACCCCTCACATCCCCCACCAAAACAATTGACAAAAATTCTGAATTTATTTCATGCATTGTCTCAGACACTTTTAAAGTGCCCAGACTTCATCAAATAGCACCTTGATGGTCAATGTTTCTGGGGACAGATATGGGGGACAAACACTTGCTTCCCCTCTTGCACCCTAATCCCACCTCCCTCTCTTGCATCCCCCTTTGACACCCCCAAAAATTGAAAAAAATGTAATTTTTTTTCAATTTTTTTAGATTGACTCATACACTTTAAAAGTGCCCAGAAGCACCAAATATCATCTTAAAATTGTAAGAATTTCTAGAAGAGTTGGCCACCCCTCACATCCCCCACAAAACAATTGAGAAAATTCTGAATTTCCTGTATTGTCTCAGACATTTTTGAAGTGCCCAGACATCATCAAATGGCACCTTGATATGGTCATTGTTTCTTGGGGACAACCCCTTGCTCCCCCTCTGATCTGGCACTCCACCCCACTTCACCCTCTCATTCTCTTTGACATCCCCAAAAAGAATTTGAAAAAAAATTCACGTTTTCTTATTAACTCATTCACTTTAAGTGTCCAGAAAGCACCAAATGACATCTCAAAAGTGTAAAATGTTTTAGGGGGAGTGGATCACTCCTCACAAGTTTGGAAGTTGCGTTCGTTAATTTTAAACACTTTAAAAGTGCCTAGAAGTCACCAAGTGACATAATGAAATCATAAAAACATAAAAATTTCTGGCAGCCCACCCCAAAAACTAAAGCATTAATTTACTCAAACACATTAAAAGTGCTCAGAATTAACCAGACAGCATCTTGAATTTGTAAAATTTTCCTTACTGCCCCCTTAGATGAAAATGATTGAAAAAATCTGAATTTCTTATAAATAGATTCTATTTCAATTAAAACACCTTGAAAGGATCCAGAAATCACTGAATGTGATCTTGAACTGGTAAAAGTTCTCGGGCTTGGACATACAATATTTAATCTAAAAACAATACGAAAACAATAAAATACTACAAAATATAGGGAGTAACCGACCCCCCCCCCTTGACTCACGCAATTTGGTTTACGCGTCAAAAAATTGACAATTTTATTTTCTCTTTAGTTAAAACCGCACCCCCCTTGGAGAAAAGTGTCTTACGGGCCTGTATAGGCCACTAGTTATACTATAGAAATACAGACTGTTTATAGTTATGATCAAAACGATACAATAAAAAATGATTGTAAATGATATTGGATGATCAGAAAACTTGATTCCCAAGTTGTCTACTGTTGATTTGATGAGCCCAGTGTCTTAAAATATAACTCTTTCAATTGTTTCACATTCACTTCTGTATGCTTCCTGACCTAGCCCTTACAATGTGATGGCCTTCACATTTCAGTTTGACATTATATAGTATACAAGTATATAGTCAAAGAACTAATAGTAAATCACATGTGGTATGCAACTGAAAAACATGTGATTCAGATATTAATAATACATGTATGTCATTTATTTTATTGTTTTTTTTGTAATTATAGAGCACCAGTGTTGGTTGCTATAGCTTTAATAGAAGCAGGGATGAAGTATGAAGATGCTGTTGAACTGATTCGAAGGTTAGTATTAATTTACCATTCTCCTGTCCACTTTTGGTGGTTTTCCAGCTTGAAGAAATTAAGTCAGCCCTCTGAAATAATAAGAAACTGATGCACATAGCAAAATTAAATATTCATTTCTGAGATGTGATTTTTGCTAACTTGTTCATCAGACATAACTTAGAGATAGAAATAACCAAATTAGTGATGTGAAAAAACAAACATATTTTATTGTTTTTTGTCAGTAACTTGTCTAATATTGCTATGCAAGTCTGAAATACCTTACTCACATGTACATCATATATGTAACATTCAAGATACTTTTGGCAGCTAGAGTATACATGTATCATTATTTTATCGTGGATTTTCACATGTTTATTTCTTTATCTTGACATAACAATTAATAACAACAACAGAATTTTTCAAAAACAGATAGGCCTATAAAATGTTTTATTATGTCTGTGAGGAAATTACAACTGGATCAATCTGGATTTTGTTCATGTTAAATGGTTGTCATTGTGTTTCAGAAAGCGTCGTGGTGCAATCAATGCCAAACAACTGGATTTTCTATCCAAATATCGGCCCAAATCTCGACTAAAGATCAAGAATGGCAACGGAAAAGGCTGCACAATCATGTAACAATTGTAATTATGTGGAAATAATACAGAATATTCAAAAGGAGTATAAGACATATTACTACAAATGCCTTACTGTATCTAAACCTACCTTTCAAATGATGTATATTCATTTTCTATCGAGCTTCAAATGGGATTTTCTGTGAAAAGTGTGCATTTTGTAAATCCGGTCACTTTGATATCTGATGTGCCTACATCCATGTTATTTGGCTGGGAGAACATCATTTGATTTATGAATCTACAAAACCAAGGAAGGTTTATATCTATGTACACTCCCCTAAAAAAGTTTGGCAACTGAAAATCCCCATTTTGACAATGTGTTAATGCCTGTTAAAGTTGATTTTAATTCATCAGATTTGTTCATAAATTTCTGATCTTTTGTAATTAATTGAATAAAAGATATTTAAACAGAACAAGATTTAATACAATATGGAAACTTACATGGGGCAAACTTGTGAAGAGGGTGTACCTGGAACTTCAGTTCAGATCTTTACAGGATTGACTTTTTGTAATTACACGATGCTATAATTTTAGCATATTATTGTAGATCCTATGACATGCATGGGCCCATTGATGTAGGCCTCAATAAAAAGTGACTGTTTTGAATTTGTTTCTCAACCTCTTACTGTGATCCTATAACAGTCAAAAACTAAAGAAAAGGAACAATTTGTGACTTGCACCATCAAAAGACAAACCTTCATTTCTGTAATGACGTTTAAAATGAATGACCGTGTAATTGAATTTATCAACTTTTAAATTCTATGAGACCCACTTTCCTGATAGATATTGGTACTTCTCATGCCTTTAACTACTTGTCACTAAGATTTTGTTCTGGAGTTATTCAAAGGTTGAGCCACTTTAATTGTTCATTTTCTGAAGTTATTGGACTTGTAATAGATACAGTGTGGTTGTATTTGGGACTAGCTGCAGTATTTGAATGAAATATAAGCATGGATTTATCAATTGTAGAATAGTTGGGGTCCAGTCTGAATAATATATTTTTTCTTTGTTTGTAATAGACTGGAATAATAATTCTTTGTTTTATAAATAAATTGTTCAAATTTTTAATTGGGCTGTAAAGGTATGTAGATATTTTAAATATTTATTTGACAGTACCTGTGTACATGTACAAATTGTGACCTAGTAGCCTGTATGTATAAACTGGAATGTTGACTATTAATTGTACATTTTCACATTTGTTTTTCTCCTGTTAAAACAAGATGGAGAGTTTGGACTATTTGATTGATTTATTTTTGTCTTTATGGAATTGTACATATCTTTGTGCATCATTGAATAAAATGTTTACCTTCAACAAGGTAACACAAAGTCAGAGATGATCTGTCAAATGTGCAGTCCAAGTGATTGACACTTCCCATGATTCACTATATTACAATGGTGGTTGCTGGTAGTCCAAGTACACACAGATGTATTAACATAATAACCAACTGTCATTTGAATCTCGGATCTGCACATTTTGTGTCATGAATATAATGTTTGATGCATGATCATGCAGACAGGGTTCATACCTTGCTATCAGAGTATAATAATGGTACTAGTGTATTTATATCGCACAATTCAAAAACAACTTCACATTTGAATTGGTAATAACTCTACATTATTACCTAAATAATAGACTTTATTACCAGTGATTTCAAAGTATATCACATAATTACCAGTGGTTTTAAAGCATATCATTGTGGCAGTGATGTAGAACTTCACCAGTACAGAAAGGTCACTTTCATCTAGCATATTACAATTGCAGTGTTCATTTATACAGTGCAGTATACCATGTACGAATCTGGTAGCCAAAATTGTATATAGATCTTGTCATTTTCTCAATAATTTGCCAATTCAATTCTGAAGTGTAGTTATTTATGAATTGTATGAGATATTTATAATTTATTTAATGGTGGATTATCAACAGATACCTCTGTGAGATGGACCGTGCTATATATATACGCTCATACTTTCAGTGGTATTATTTGCCTACAGTATTGTCTTAAACATTCTCACCCAATACAGACGGTGCTTGCAGCAACCACTTGGTGCGGATATCATGCACATGTGGTGCTGAGTTAACAGTTAATTAATTAATTAAAGGAAATTAAGTAAATAGTTGCCAGTGCACTTCATTCTACAATTACACAGCAAGCATTAAACCTCTCTCCAACGTATAGATTTTGAAATTGCCGCTTTTATACACCATTTGCAGTCTATATTTAGTATTGGTGATCAAGATACCCTGTTGAAGGTCATATTGTTTCTGTGTAATTCTATTAAAAATAGGAAAACATTATTGGACGTGTGCTACCCCTATACACTTGGTGCAGATAAGCATATTAATAAACCGGGAATTGTCATTTGGGCCAACAGTGAAGGATAAGGTTTAACGCCTTTTGAGTTGCTATAGAATCAAGTACACAACTTTTTACATTATTTCCTTTTTAATATGCATTATCTACAGAATAACTGTTAAATCCGCGCTTTGCGCACATTTATCTGGTCAGCGTTATCTGCAAGCACTGTCCGCAAGGAGGGTGATTCTTGAGTCAAAAGGGTTAAATCACAGTGTTCAATACCTGAGATTAGATACTGCTTTGTGCCTTGTATGGGAACTAATACATTGTCTTGTATGCTCTTGTGGTATTTGATACAATTTTATGGTTCCTCATTGTAAACTTTATTAAGTATGGGAAAATGTATGACTGGCTCGTTGACGTGGAATCATAATCTAGACTCATTATCTACAATGACAGTGCCTGGTTGTTCTGAACCACTTTTTTAAAAAAAACATGCCCCTGAATAATAAACGGCAACGTGACAATGTACTAGCTGTCAGAGTAGCGAAGACCAAAACACTATGTGATAGAATTACTTCTTGCTTAGCATGGATATAGAGAATAAGGAAAATATGTCTTAAATTTCTACAACTGTTTAGCATGATTCAACTTTCTGAACAATGAAAGAAATTTTTTAACTAGATTTTCCATGCAAATTAACATTTTTACATTGACATTTGTATATGATTGAAATATTTTATGTGTTTCATGAAATGGAATCTAATATTACTGAATTGAGCAGTGTTGTTGGTCCTTACTGTGAAGTTCTACCAAACTAACAGTGCAGTTTATTTAATCTGCAGTCCTAATAAATGAAAAAAAAATGTGACAGAGTAGTAGAAACTAATATTGTATAATATTGATAACAGAGAGGTTTCGCACAGCGTTTTTAGCTCAATGTATTTAAAATCTTTAACGAATTCACGATTTATGTGTAGCAGTTCAGTTAAAACAAGATGGTGTTGCGGATACGTTTTAGCAATAAGCTGTTGTGCGAAAAACCTCTCTAGAATATTATCAAATGCAAATTATTGCTGTTCTGCTGTTGAAAGTTTCATACAAGTGTAACTGTGCTTGATATCTGTACAGTGTTGTCAACTGGTATGTGACTCAGTCCAGCAATGTCAATTTGTTTGTGACATTAGTGCAACATCAGTACACTGATATCAGTTTGTGTATTATCTGTAAACAGATGTCAATGTGTGCTTGAACAGTACACGGATGTCAGCCTGTGTATTATCTGTAAACAGATGTCAATGTGTGCTTGAACAGTACACTGATGTCATCCTGTGTATTATCTGTAAACAGATGTTAGTGTGTGCTTGAACAGTACACGGATGTCAGCCTGTGTATTATCTGTAAACAGATGTCAATGTGTGCTTGAACAGTTCACTGATGTCAGCCTGTGTATTAGCTGTAAACAGATGTTAGTGTGTGCTTGAACAGTACACGGATGTCAGCCTGTGTATTATCTGTAAACAGATGTCAATGTGTGCTTGAACAGTACACTGATGTCATCCTGTGTATTATCTGTAAACAGATGTCAATGTGTGCTTGAACAGTACACCGATATCAGCCTGTGTATTATCTGTTTTCAGATGTCAGTGTGTGCTTGAACAGTACACTGATGTCATCCTGTGTATTATCTGTAAACAGATGTCAATTTTTGCTTGAACAGTACACTGATGTCAGCCTGTGTATTATCTGTAAACAGATTTCAATGTGTGCTTGAACAGTACACCAATGTCAGCTTGTGTATTATCTGTAAACAGATGTCAGTGTGTGCTTGAACAGTACACTGATGTCATCCTGTATATTTGTAAACAGATGTCAATGTGTGCTTGAACAGTTTACTGATGTCAGCCTGTGCATTATCTGTAAACAGATGTCAGTGTGTGCTTGAACAGTACACCGATGTCAGCCTGTGTATTATCTGTAAACAGATGTCAATGTGTACTTGAACAGTGCACTGATGTCATCCTGTGTATTATCAAAGTACTATGTGAGATTGCGCTAGTGTCAACTTGTGTATTATCATTGCATTTGTGCAAACTAGTGTAACAACAGTGCAGTGATATCAATTTGTGTAATTTGCCACTAGTAATAACTGATCAACAATGTCAATGCATGGTTATCTTGATTAAAGGGATGTATCCATGGTTGATCATTAGTTGAAAATTGTACATTATCCATAAGGTGATCGTTTTGTAAAATTTCAACTAAATATAGAATGTAGAATAATGGGGTATTTTTTATTTGTTCAGTCAGTCTTAAGCATTTCAACTTGTGCATACAAAAAATGGTAAGGGTTTCATATCAGTCACTCTAATTTCTACAATGACAAAATGCAGAAGGATGAACTTACAAGTAACATTAAGTACTACTTTTGTTATAGTATTACTGTTATATATCCAGAAATAGAAATTGTGTAATTTTATGATAAATTAATTTAATAATACTGTGCTATGTCATACAGCGCAACAATTCTGTAATAATGCCATGTTTTTGAATTATTGTAAATCCAATTTATGGTAATTGTATTATAAAATGGAATGTTTTGTTAATAGAGCAAGGATCTGATTCTACATGATTTATACACAGTTTGTGTGACTTTTGTAGGATGAGATCTTTGCTTTATAACAATGTTCTCCATGGATAGTTGTCAATATAATACTGGACTTATGTCTGGGTGCTATGTGAAAATAATATGCTCATCTATTCCAAAGGTAATTCATTGTTTTGTTCTTTTCTTATTCACCATTAAACTAGAAATAGTAACTATGAGAAATAGTTACCATGCACTCAGCAGTTGGCATTGATAGTTGTAACAAGTGTTACAATGGCCACCAGATGTCATATTAATGCACTATTTAGTTTAGAGCTAAATGTCACTAGTTGGTTGTAGTTTCTCTGCACCAAATGCAATCACTTATTAGGCATTATTTGGAGGGGTCAATATTACTATGATAAACTTCTCCCCATGGGACTAGCAATTTCATGCAAGATATTTGAAAGTTTTAGTAATGCAGTGGAATGGATTGATGCAAACAAATTCGGTAAATTGAATATTTACCACTATTTAGATGATTTTGATTTTGTGGGGTGCTCTCATTATGAATGAATGCCAAAAAAAACATACATGTACAAAACTTTCTAAAGCTAGCAAAAAAGATCAACAAGCCTATAAAATCGTCATAAACATGTGGTCCCTCAGAAGTAATGACAGTCTATGGTATCGAATTAGAAACACTTATCTTTAAACGAGATTACCCCAGGATAAATTAGTGGATTGTGTCGCTATTGTGTGGAAACATTCAACTGACAAAACAAAATCATTTTGAGAGCTGATAGGAAAATTATCATTTGTGTGCAGTTGTTAGACCAGACAGAGCATTTTTGTGTCCCTTATATGATTTTTGTGCCTGTGCAAAATTTAGGAAACCATTTGGGAAGAAATCGTTCACAGTAGAAATGATATAAAAATAAAATGACAACTATCATCACCTGCCATTTGTTACAGATGCCAACCATTGAAAACAAAATGCCAAACAACAACTGTTGAACATGGTTTACAAAAAAGCACCATTGGTGTGAAGCTTTATGCTTTCAATGTCCTGCTTAAGAACCCCTATTATTACCACCTTGCTGGGCCTGTTCTGGGAGTATTAGTTTAGAAGGGATTTATTTTACTATATTGACCTGAGAAATATTTGACGTCATAGTGCAGGCCAATAATGCATTAACGCCCGGCAATTTTCCCTGGGAAATTAGATATCGTTCAGTGCGTAAGATCTTGGACCTTTCTCTATATTGCCCCTCGAAATGACGTTACAGATGCTGACCACCAAACACCAACTGCCAAACAACATCCCAAAAAAATTTGGAAACTAACAATATAGAAGATATATTTTATATAACGTAAAGCGACAATGTCTGTACATGTAAATTCAATATTTATTTTTGTAATAAAGTGCACAACTTCATATGAAAAGTTATAGCATACATATGTGCAATTGCAGACAACCCCATACATATGTGCAATTGCAGACAACCCCATACACACTAACACACCTGAAATAAACACTTTTAGTATTCCTGATATAATATGAGGCAGAAATTAAAACTTGAATGACAACGAAAAAGAATTACTTTAAATGTAAAAATTATTATCTACAAAAAATTACCTTACTCTACAACTATACATTCACTTTACAATGTATATTGTTGGCACCCTGATTACATTACATCCACACTCGCAAGTTGCAATACCTAATATATACATGTACTTATAATATTTGTGCGATTCTGAATGATTCTGAATTTCAAAAATTCAGCTGTGCTTAATGCCTCTAGTACTCGAGTACATATGCTGTGACACCATTTCCCAACACTGTGCTAGAATGTACTCTCATTCTGTGTTATGTTAAATAATTCAAACGCATTGTTTGAATACGTGTACTGTATACAATTGGGTGACTTGATGAATGTTACGTTGTCTCATATTTGATTTTTTACAATACAGTAAAACCTGTGTTAGTGGAATGCCTCTAGTGCCTTTAAATAGTGTTCCACTTGGGAAATGTTCCACTTACAGAAGCTTTATATTGAGATAATGGGTAAAACAAAAGTGTTCCACTTACATAGGTGTTCCACTTCACAGATTTTACTGTACACTAATTACATATAACAACATGAAGTAAGATATGCAAAATTATATACAAGCATCACAATTTCTGACTTGGAGCCCAGCGATGGATTCCTCAAAAGCAACAAACAGATTCTTGAAAATGCTAAATAGAACTCACATGACTGACTTCCTTATGGGGAAGATATACACACTTGCGAAGTGTCACCCATTCTTGTACACTCAGTTTATGTAATTAGTAATAAATAAAACATAAACTAAGACTGAGTCCTGATTCTTATTGTAAATGAGACACAAAATAACAAAAATGTTCACTACTGGTATACCTGGTATGTAGAGCTAGTTATACTTTACAATAATGACATCTACTTTAATACATCTGACCTTTCCAATAAATGCTACCATCCTTTACTATACCAAATGAGCTAGAATATCTAAGTCATGCCATATGTTGTATGAAGTTCGAAAATCTATGACCCATGACATCATGAATTTTGGCCATTATAGCCTGGTTTCTGTAATAATACGATTTTAACAGAATAATTGGAGTAAACAGGTTACACCTAGCCACCCTACTGCTATGTAACTCACATATCATATAACATTGTCTAACTAGCTTAATACAGCAATACAGTACATAAATACAATACGTCATCTCATGTGATCTTACAACACCAAGATCCACTACCAAATATTATCAGTTGAGGAAATATTGAAGTTTTTTTCTGCAGCAAATGATGAAAGGCTTTATTGGCAAGGTCAACTATAACTACAGAACCTACAAAAGCCATTTACTAGATTTCAACTTGTACCATTTATGCTTGCTATATATACTTCCAATACAGGCTCACATACCTATTACTCCACCTTAAAATTCAGATAAGGCAATAACATGCAAAATGTCACCACCTGCTATTTGTTACAGACACCAAACGCTGACGCTGACACTGTCCACAAAAGTGTTGGAGACAAAATGTCGCTTTTTGTGGTGGTGACATAAAAACCAGTATATCAGAACACCTCTTTGATCAAAACAAGATTTTGTCCCAATATCTTTTTCTCCATTGACTTTCAAACTTTGAAAATTAAATGTCTCCCAATCCAACCACACTTAGCTGGTCCCAGAGGTGTTAGATTAGACAGAGTTCTCTGTATTATATTCAGCTGATATGGTATTATTAATGTAAAATTGAAATTTACTGGTCTTCCTGGTTGGACTAGAACAATTCTGACCAGATAAACTGTTCAAGTATGCTGCGTAGCACTGAAAATTCTTCCGATATTTTTTTTTATCAGAAATGCTTGTGAGGTTAAGAGTTGCTCTCTTAATTCAACATAATGACTTTAATGCTTTATAAGCAATGGACTTAGTAATTTGAATTTGCTTAGCTAAGAATGTTCTGGTCATGAACCACTGGCTTATTAACATGAACATCCTTATAAAGATTTGCACTCGTGTCATGTTCATTTAAACGTTGTTCTATTAGACTAGACCCACCTTAAGTAAAACATGGCAAGAATGACTTGTTGGCTTTTAATGTTAACCTACTGCTTAGACATTTGGAGGTAAAAGTACATTATGTGGCATACATATATCTTAAAAGGAAATAACTTGGGCATAGGGCAATATGAAATATCACTAAATGTTTTGGAACACCAAAATATGTACAAGGTCCCTTAAAAGTATTAACCACTTTTCCCACCAATGTTGCAAATACAGCAGAACACATTTCTATTAAAGGTTACTCTCTTGCCTCAAAAGTTAGTACCCCAAACAGCCACATGAGAATCATATTATATACTGTAGTTGGCCTGTTCGGGGTACTATCTAGAAATTTGAGATAATAAAAAAACACTCAACAAGACCAAATTGAATAAATTTTAACTTTCCAGGCTTTTTAGAAATACAAGATCTAAAAAACCTCATGAAATTTGACTTTTATGGCCAAATTAATCAAAAACATCTGCATATGATAAAGTAGCCATTAACTAAAACATGTAGTCTATCTGTCTAGAAGCAAATATATAGAAGCCTCTAATAAAGTCTCATTAATCTCACGTACAAAAACTATTATGCCTATTATGATTAATTTAGAAATTATCATCTCTTTATAGTATGATAACTAGACCCTAGGATCCTGAGTTATATCACCCTACTCTTGCAAAATATAACCCAGTGAGTTTCTCTTGCAAGATCTTGATAATAATAAAAAGGAAGCTTTAGTACTTGGTCCCATCATGGGCATTCAATAGATCTATTGAAAGCCCCTGGTCCCATACATACATACCACTAGGGCAATTCTATGTTTAGCACGACATAGGTTTTAATTCATCATGTCCACATTTCGTACCATTAACACAATGAATTGTTTTGAATATACAAGACTCATTATAGACAGACCAAACATTTACAATTTATCAGCTGTACAAAATGGTTATACTATTAAACATGTAGTGAGATATCTAACTGAGAATACATGATTTTACAACGATATGCATTTATTTGCCACAGAGAAAATAGTGCAAATAAATATAATAGAGCCAAATGATACTGTATAACTGATTAGTTAAATGAAGAAATTAAGTACCATTCGTGTCTCAGTGAGATATCAACTTTAAAATCTCGATGTTAAAAATTTGGAAAATTCTGGAGTATCTTTGGAGAGAATATCAAAAGGACAACATTTAAAAACATTCTCTTTTAGATTGGCTACTACATTTACTATTTTACACCCCCAGTATCATTGTGAATCGTTGCCACTGTTTTATTATGCATGAACACTGGTAGTTATTAAGTCTAGTATATAAATTAGATGCAAGTATTAGAGAATCCTTCCTAATAATTTAGCCTTTATAAATGACCATTTGATTGTGCTTTCTTTGCTCTTCTTCTAGTATTGTAATGAGGTTTTCCATTGGTTGTTCCACTATCAGTGCTGCCCTCTATAGTAGAATATTTTGGTGCGTCTGTTGACTCCTGATTGTCTTTGCTTGACTTCAAGGGGTCATTGAACCTGAAGTTCACATCTTTCTCATTTGTCAAGTCAACATTCTGAAATGAAGATATCAGAAACTTTAAAAGAGCCATTGAAATAATAAGTTTTTGTAACATTTTTACAATTTTTTTTATAACAATTTTACAAAATGAGTTTACACACTGTATGATTGACCGTCTAGCATTTTCAGTTGAAGACTAAATAAGATATTCTCACATATAGTATAAAACAACAGTTCTTTCTAATTTGATGAAATATGAAAAATATATTTATTTTCATTATCTTAACATTCTTTTTTACAAATATGATGATTATTTATGAATGCTAGGATGAAAACTTCATAAGGCTGGATTTAAACTTAGGGTCACATCATAATAGTACTCTCCCAGCCCAAAAGCAAAATGGGTGTTGTAAAGCGTTGGTTCGTTAACCTATAATCTATAATGTAACCAAAGCCAAAGCTACTGTAATTGATGAACCTCTATTACTCTGAATGTAATTTTGATATGAGTAAAGTACTGATGCAAATCAATGATATGTAGCAAGTATGTTTTTTGAATTATGTCACCCAATCAAATAAAATGTGTCTAAATCTATTATATTTTTAGTATATCTCATATTATATGTGCTCATATTGGCCGATTAATGTAGAATGTTAATGGAATTAATAGAATTGAGAATCCATGCTGAAATGTTTCAGGTATCTACATGCAGTAATTCTTTACTGGGAAGGAGTATTTCAACAAAAGGAAGACAGACTCCTTATCTCACAGAACCAACTATACTGACTTTTGTGACAAATCAAAATTAGTTAAAACAGTAATATTTATCTTGGCTTTTTATCCGAATTCAATTCTTAGAAGCAAAAATATGATAAAAAATATTTCTGGAAAATTTTAGATTTCATCTCTCATAAATGAGAAAGAATGTGTCTATGTGTATACTAACAGAGTGAGGTAAGCAATACGTTTAGCAGAAGGTATGATAAATGCGTGCAGTAACTGTAAATCACATTTGAGCTCATAAATGACGATGGCTTTTTGAATATTACAGATAGTCTGAATGTTATGTTTGAAGGAGGGAGGAATAAAATATGTTACATTTTGTTAGTGCAATACTTTTGGATAATTCACCCTCTCAATCTTTACAAATTGTAAACTTTTCGACAGATTGTTTTATCTTCAGGAAGAGGATTTCAATAAACCTGAATTCACCAAACTCCCCTAGTTTCCTAAAAAAGACTGATCCAGTAGGCTTGTTTTGAGCTTCAGTATAGTTTTTGTGTAACCCTTTAGTGAACTAACGCAATTCCTTGTAAATTCCTTGTTTCATCAACTCATAACATACTGCAGATAGATGCAATTTTGGAAGTGAATATTACATTAAAAGGTATAGAATAGTAACACATTTAAGCATCGATATGGCACATTTGCTAAAACATATGATCCTCAACACAGGAAAACGGTGTTATCACAAAAATTAAAATAGTTATACAAAGCCAAAAATGTGCCAAGGATTAAGAGGAAAATGTGCTAAATTCAAATCCATCATTTTGGTCCTTATCTGCAAGGAAAAATTGTGAAGTCATGGCTTTTGATATGACCCCTTTTCCTGTCCCATGTGCAAATATACTCCATACTTTTTAGATATGAAAATGTTCACAATTGTTGTGCAACGTGAATCCATATTATAACCAAGTATCTATCCAAAGATTGTGTTTCACCACAGTGTAATATGAAATTGTGACTATCTACAGAAAAAGCATCTAAAGAACAATTTCGAGTATAATTTTCATAAACAATCATTTCTGTAACAAATCGAATGCTTATAAACTCATTCAGCACAACAGAAATCATCATGTGTACTGTCTTTGTACTTAGCACAATCAATTGTTACAGTTAACATTCACTACAACACAAACTTTCATATATAAACTATTATGAACACATCATTAAGCACAACACATACTAAAAACTCAGCACCACAAATCAATCATATCTATAACAGCACCACAGGCATTTTATGTGAAAAGATTTTAGAATTGAATTATATTTGAAATTAGATAATAAAAAGTATAGATTGGCGATAAGTAGATTTCGAATGAGTTCTCATCGATTGGCGATTGAGACTGGAAGACATGCAAAGCCAAAACCAAAACCTAGAGAAGAAAGATTATGCAATACCTGTAAACATATAGAGGATGAATGTCATTTCCTTTTAACTTGTACAAAGAATGATGAGCATAGACAATTATTGTACACTAAGGCTCGTGAAATTCTAAGTAACTTTGACCTCTATAGTGAAAATTTATTTGTCAATCTCATTTCAAGTAAAAACTTAACATTACAAAGACACTTTGGAAAATTCATTTATCATTCATTTAAGAATTTATAGTCAGAATGCAGGGTAAGTGCACCACACTTTAAATGTAACCTTGTAACCTTGTCCTTTCATCATGATGTATACTACCTTTATTTTGGGTTTTTGTATATCTCGTATATATTTTTGTACTTTTGCCTTAGTTAGTATTTGTAGTTTAGATATTTAGTTTTTTCATAGTTATGACTAATGTAATCATGTTATGATACAAGATGTCAATAAAAGTTATATATATATTAGACGAGTAGGGATTTGCAAAAAATAAAATAAAAAAGGATCGACTGACCCTGTTGGGTTTCTTGGTATTTTTGGAAAGCTGTGCATCCCCACAACATCTTCTACTTAATAAGAAGTTCTGAAAATGGTCCCGTTGCCATGGAAACGGACGCTGAATAAAATACCTGCTATTAACAGTATTCGAATCACCAATAACATGTTTTGTTATATAACTATTCCATTTCTTATCCGTTTTAAATAATCTTGGTACCAAATGAAAGCATGTTGAGTGCCCTTTCAGATAAAGTATAATTTATGCAAATCAGCTCATTTGCATATCTTCTGTGACGTCATAATTGTGATTTTTCCTAATATTTTGAGCAAGTTATTAAAATACATGTTATAAATACCCATTTGAATTAAATAAGTGTAGTAAAGTTGTAAATATTCATAAAATACAAATGTAGGAGAAACAGGCTTTATTTTGATATATATAACATATCTCAATCAGTTTAAGCGATATAGCCTACGTCCTTTTAATTAGTACATAACTGGAAAAATAACAGCAAAAGTAGACCTATTTTGTGGTACAACTTGTATTTTACAAAATATGAACTAGCCTTATGTAAATTATGGGGGGTTGAGACGGTAAACACTGATATTATTAGGTAAACTTCAGACCCTACTGGGTATCTTTAGAAAGCTAAGCCTCTACTATATCTTCCACATAATGAGAAGTTCTGAAAATGGCGCCGTTGCCATGGAAACGGATGCCGATTAAAATACCTGCTATTAATAGTATAAATATCATGTTTTATTTTATAACTTCTCCATTACTTATCCATTTTAAATAATCTTGGTACCAAATGAAACCATGTCGAATGCCCTTTCAGAAAAATTATAACTTATGCAAATTAGCTCATTTGCATATATTTTGTGACGTCATAATTGCAATTTTTCCTAATATTTTTTAGAAAGTTAGTAAAATACATGGGATAAATAACCCCTTTAAATTATATAATTGTAGTAAAATTAAATATCTTCATTGAACACAAATGTAGCCTAGACAGGCTTTATTGAGATATATAGATCATATTTCAATCAGTCTGGGAGATATAGCCTACATTTTTTTAGTTAGTACATAACTGGAAAAAATACAGCAAAAATAGACCTACGTACTTATGGTATTTTACAAAATATAAACCAGTCTCATATAAATTATGGGTGCTGACATTGAAAACGCTGATATGAACAGGTAAACCCCAGACCTACTGGGTCTCTTGGTATCTTTAGAAAGCTAAGCATCTTTACTCAATCTTCCGCATAATGAGACATTCTGTAATTGGTCCCGTTGCTATGGAAACGGACTAATAAAAACAAATAAAAATAATACACTAGGTATTGGCAATATCGTGATCATGAACGAAAATGTTTGTCTCACAACTTTCCTATCTATTATCCATTTTGAGTAATATTGGAATCAAATGAAAGCTGGTTATTTCAGTTACAGTGCAATCTATGCAAATTAGCTCATTTACATATCCTTTGTGACATCATAATAGTAATTTTTCTCACATTTCGAGCAAAGTATCAAAAAATGTTATAGAAAATTAAATATATGCAGTAAAAGTGTAATATATTCATGTATAAGATAAATGTAGGCCAAAGAAGTCTTAAAGTCTGGCAGAAATATAGGGTATTTTGACATTCAATCGTTTTCTTCGGATTACAACTTATCAACATGAATATAGGATTGGGACCTCAAAACCACCGAATGTCGGAGCGGCACCCTTGGTCAACTCTCTACAGAGCATTTCTTATACCCCCCTGATAAAATATACAGGGGGTACTATAAGACACCCCCATATCTCAGATACTAATAAATATATTAACTTGAAATTTTCAGGAATTAGTTATAGTATGATGCTTGACATGCATGAAAAAATCAAGAAAAAAATCTTAATCCATTGCTATAGCAACAGTAACAGAACACTATTTGTTACCGTAGAGATGCATCATGTTATTTTGCAACATGCAACATTTCTTCATATTCTTGATTCTTAAACTAGCATATAGTATTACACTAGTATATAGGACACTGCATGTATATTAAATGAAATCTAATGAATTCATACAGTAATGAGGTTGGCATATAGTCTAGACTTTGGCATGATGTCTTAACATTATAACCATTAGTTTTCCTCATCTGAGCAATACGACTTTGGTGGTTATCATGTACATCCATCATAATGAAATCTAATGTAATCATACAATAGAGGGGTTGGCATAGTCTAGATTTTGGCATAATGTCTACATTTTATAAGCATTGGCTTTCCTCATCTGAGCAATCAGACTACTGGGGGGCCTGTATTAACTTCTGGGGGCCATCGTATAGCTTTTAAAGGCTTGTGAATTTTTGATTTAACATTGAATTCAATTGGATATTTTCTCTGACAGTGAA